AGGGCCTCATGTCATTGTGTAGGGTAGTGATTTATGTACTTTGTGCTGTAATACCGTTTGTGCGCACATCATCCGGTTTAAAAGTTATGGCTGTAAGAAAATTCCGTTTTAAAATGAATTTCAAAATAATTTACCAACATAACTTCTCAGCCGGATGTTGCACGCACACACGGTTTTCACAGCAAAGACACAAATCACTTCGCTACACAACAAAAAACAATGTTTGGGAGTCCGCGCACTGTTTTCGAACAGCGACAGCTTTCGTTCGAAAACATTGTTCGCAAAAACAGTGTTCGCGAGTTTTCGAATAGCGGCAGTTTTTGCGTGTTCGTACGAGTCTGGCGCCAAAATTAATACGTTGTATCAGGTGGCTTCAGGCATTGAAATAGTGCATTCGTTCTTTCTGACTGTAATTTAGTACTCGCATCTGTGTACAGTAGGTTGTTTTCTGTATTTGGTAAAATTTCATTTTATAACAATTTATTCGGACATACCATTTCTCTCTATGGTGGTGTCTTCTGTCTGTTCCTGGCTAAACTCGCTCTGCTTATTGGTGTTTCATATATACTGGCACTGCCGGTCCTTCAGCAAAATACTGCTTGTAGCACTTGACTCGCTGGCGGAGTTAGACGGAACACTTAGGAAGAGAGAATCACACTGACGTCCCATCCATGGATCCCTTCTTCTTGGATAGCCGGAAACTCGCGCCGGTATTGCATCTACAGTGAAACCGGCATCCCTTAATATGTTGTCAACCCACAAACCGTGGCATCTGAGTGCGTTTCGTTAAGGCCTCAGGTGAACAACCCTGTTTGAACAGCTCCACAACAACCGGCCGCAGCCCTTCGTACCGCTGCCGATCCTGTGCCCTAAAGATTGCCGATCTCCCAGCTGCGGCCAGCACCCGTTTTATGAAATAGACGGATAGATTGGTCCTCCGCAAAATGTCGGAACCAGAGTGGCCGTTGTCGAATAGGTCCACAATTTGTTGTTTCTCCTTCGGGGTGATGTCGTACATGTCCCGCGCAGAAACTTTTCCAATTTCTTGATTCCACTTTTCCAATTTCTTGTTTGATTTCTTGATTTTTTTTTCCTTGATTACCTTTTCCACACTGGGGCAAGGGAATGCCGGGTATCGGGCCAGTTTGACCAAAGGAATGCTGAACGGCTCCATCGGTGCTCCGACCATTGGTCCATCCTTGTTGCGTATGTATCTGCGGCTCAGTAGGGAACTGCGGTGTTTCGCACTGAATTGCGTTTGTTTGCGAAATGGACGTGAACCAATGATTCCTAGCTCTCGAGCGGGATTTTATTACCAATTGATGTGCCTGGAATTTCGCTACTGTTGGTTAGGAGAGGCTGCTGTACCGGGAAATATTGGCCACTCTCAGCCAAATGTACGCTCGTACTGTTATAATACGAGTACATGCTAGTTGTCTGTAATAAAGCTCCCAAGGATTCGCTTCGGTTTTCTTCCGTTACCCAGCGCCAGCGGTAATTATTGAAAATGACACCAGTCCGGCAATTCGTAACTCTAACCTGTCAAAAAATAATACTGTGCATTCAGTTCTCCACAGTTTGCGTTAAGGTATACGTAACTGCGCAGGTACGATGTCAGTGTAATCAACATGGTGAAAATCTAAACAATAAACAAAAAGCAATCAAAATTGTTCTTCCTGAACGAAACTCTTCCTGTGCATTTAATGTTTCCACGAAACAATCTGCCTCGGGAACGCCGTATACCAAGGTGCACCTTCGTATTCGCCATAAAATTAGAATTGCTGCCAAATACAAATAATAAATAGGAAATCCGGATACCTGGTGCCAAATTCGTGTTTATGTAAAAGTACAGATACGTTCAATTTCCCACACTCCCCAAGACTTTTCTGCATTGTTTGATGACATTGTGTAGCCACATGAATTGTATACATGAACGAAAACTGTATGAGTGCGCAACATCCGATTGCGGATTTATTGTAAACTAAAATTCAAAAAGTTCAAATGCGATCCGGTGTACCAAAGTATCATTATAGGCCGATGTCCTTCAAAATCTGCAGAAAAAGACATATACGCATCCGTGGTTTGACACGGAAGCACAATTTTGGTTTTGTTTCAGTTTGCGCAGTTCATTTTAAATCTGGTTCCGTATCACAACAATCTTTATATATCATGCAAGTGTCTTTTTCAGCAAAATTAAAAGAAGATCGGTCCATAAAAAATGTTTTGGTACACCCGAATGCATTTAAACTTTATGGAATATGTATCATTTTACTCATAACTTCGCAACCGGATGTTGCGCACACAAACGGTTTTCAAGTCCATGTATACAAAGTTACAAACCATTAATTATGTCACACAACACTGCAAAAAAGTGTTGCAAAGTGTGTGAAAGCGAACGTTTCCGTGCATGTACACGAATGTGGTATAACTTATGCAAAGAAAAACCATCAGTATCTTTCCGCTTACGCTTTACTAAAATTATTAAGACTGTGTGGCTACGTTTCTGATGCTCAAAGAACGATTTGCATATCTATACGAGATACATATGGAGTACGACGTCCAAAGAGCAAAAGATTGATGGCTTTCACGCAACCGCTTACAATTTTCAAAATTAGTCAATCCCAGTGAACCCATGATCACTGCCCGTGATTGCCGATGCATTAATAACTCCTACAGTGTACGCCATAAATGTGGTTACACGCAAACCGCGCGCAACCAGATACTTATCTGTACTCAGACAACCAATTCCGTGCTGGCCATCGGCCTGCTGATGTTACACTTACCTTACATTTCCCAACGATAATCATGATATTTCAAAAGAATGAGAAAACAATTCTAAGAATTTTTATACCAGAGAAATTCGTTTTTATTTCATCTAAGAGAAAATCGAGGTTCCTGAAGTTTCCCGTAGACAAAGCATATGCTTGAAAACAAACCAAACCGTGGATTCAAATCCTATGCTATGTCTACGGGAAACTTTAGGAGCCTCGATTTTCTCTTAGATGTAATAAAAACCAATTTGTTTGGTATCAAAATTTTTAGAATTTCTTTCTTGTTCTTTTGAAATATCGCTTGATGGTTTTCGTTGAGAAATGTGCAAGTTCCAAGTGCCTGAGTTTAGCACACGAGTCTGCGCGCAATGGACATGACCGATTTATTTTGGTCTTGCCGTTAAAATATCGGTCCTCGGACCGATTGTCTAGCGTAACCACATTAATTGGCGTCCACTGTAATTTTGACTAGGTCTTCAATATTTTAAAAAACCATCGTTCACAAGAAGGATTTAACATTATCTCATTTACCTGTAGACTTTTGATTTGATAACGCAAAAGCAAATGCAAAAGATGGATTATTGTACATACCTCTTAATGTTCGGTTACTGCATGAATGGCTGGAAGTATATTCGCCACCACATACTTAATTCTATCGTAATTATATATTTCAGAATTCCATCGGCAAAGCGCGGCTAGCCTGGTATCCTGCTAGCAAACCTTGAGAAGTTGGCAAGGCAATTTCGAAACTAAAGACTGTGGCGATAACAAGGAAATTTTAGCTGCAAAATGCATATCAGTGCAAGCATAGGTGCAGTCGGTTGTGCCGGCTTGCTATAAGTTTGTCTTGTTCTCAGGTAGGCTCAATGTGCAAAGAAAGGTACCAAACCAAATCACACTGTGATGCTATCGGCGGGAGCTTTTGCTATTAAGCCTTTACTGGCCGGCTTGTGGCGACTTCGCACACCTTTACTTGATCACCATCAGAAGATAAATAATCTGGCATTGTCCGGTGAATGAGATTGGACCGTATAACAATATGCATAATACAATAATAACCAGAAATTCTCACAGTATTTATATTCAGCTTTAAGTTGTTACCGCCCACATAGCCCAGCTTTAGTACAGTAGCCTGACCAATACCGAAAAACACTCTTTTCTTGAGTACTGACCTGACGTAAACAAGCCCATTAGCCACGAAAGATCAGAAGACAGAAGTTCAATTACTATTTTCATATTTCATATTTTGGTAGTTTCATATTTTGGTAGAAGTTGATAGGATCTGAATCGAAAGATTGTCAGTCTTCTCCGTGTTTCTTGTGATAACCAGTTTTGCTGTTCTTATCGGGAGATCTGATGCTTCGGCAGTTTCTAGAAGGTAATAATATTTTATACGGTTTTGTATCACAACATGGCTTTACAAGCGCCAAGCTTGCAGCGACGAAATGCGAGTAAATTCCCTATCTAGTCTGTATATACAGACTATATTAGTCCACTAGAAGTCAACTATGTACAATACACGTAGTTGAATTGCTTTTGTAAAAAAATGTCTCAGCATTTACCACCAGAAATACTCGTCGGTACATTAGTGTCTAAACAGATTTATACATTTGTATTAAAATAAGAAAACCTTAAAAACTGTGCTAGCACCCGTAAGATTTGAAGATTGGTTCTGTGTTTCAAACATTTACGGTATGCCGTGAGCAGAATCACAAGATAAAGAATTGTTTTTTGCCATTGCAGGTATAAGGTGGAAGCTTCGGAATTCTCAGACGCTGAATGTTTTTGAAAATCAGAATTTTTCAAAAAAATTTTAAATATCCTTGTACAGCAAAAATTACCGTTACTGTAATATTTTTAAGGGTTGATCAGTGGATTCAGTGCGATGGTGATCATGCATTTCCGGTTTCAGTTGTGATCGCAGATTCAGCGGTGTGGTTTATAGGTGTGGCACAGCCATAGCCCATAGGTTTCGTGTAGAATACGGAGCATACCATAATTAACGATTAATGTATTCTTTTATGTTTTCTAGCATGCTGCATGTAAACATACCCATACCCATGCTGCATACCCATGCTGCATGTTTTCTAGCATGCTGCATGCTGCATGTAAACATGTAAACAACACAAAATAGATTGATAAGGACCAATGCATAGTTTATTTCCGCCATACATGCAGATCGCAATAAGCGAACCGAAGACGATGGAGAATGTCCGAGCACGTGTCCGTTATCAATACATTGTAAAAATATTCGTTAAAACTCAACGCATATTGTCCTTCCATTCAAATTTAGGAAGCCATTAAGCTTAATCAACTTCCAAGGACTTCACGAGAAAAAATTACGTTTCGCAGATTACCTATATAAATACGAGAAGTTTTCATTGCCAGTATATGTTTATAAAGTTTTCGTTCAGTGAAACTAAAAACTGCACAGCAAATACATTACAAAATTGCTACAGACTGCCTCGAGGAAAAACAAAGCCAAACCGACACAATATTTCACATTGAGTTAAGCTGGGCCTTTACCGCATGCATTCGTGACTTCCGGTTGGAATTCCGCGATTGATATTTAACAATATGCTGTCCCATTTTCAGTGGTTGTCGACTTTGAAAGTTACACGCCGTGCAGAACAGTAAACTCTCCGGTTTAACGAAACTTTCGTGCTGTTTGGAGATTAAATGGGATAGAAACAAGTCCGCGTCCTTCCACGATAAGCGGCAGATGCGGCACTGGTACGGTGCGCCAACTGCATCGCATGACGGTGACGCTGCCTCACGAGTACTCTCTACGGAACAGTTAGGTAAATTAGCAGACGTTTCCGCCGTTACTTCCGGTTGCTGCTGCGGCTGCTCTCGAGCGGATGCTTGGGTGCGATGCAGGACTTCTTTCTTGGAAATGTTGCGCTCTCCACAGAATAATTCGAGGGGAGAGAATGGATCCTCCGCATGTACATCGGTATCTGAACAATAAATACAGCTTTTTGTTTGTCTATTTCTCGTACATAGTTCACGATAGGGTTCTCGTAATTCACGGTACTATACGCTCATTAAGCACCCAGTTTTAGCAAAATTAGGCACGTTTTTCGTGCAGGTTCTTTATAATTTACAAATGCATGTGATTCAGTTGCCAATAAATTTTAGGAATAATACCTTGGCCGTATACAGGTACATGTAAAGATAATACAATAACTGCTTTAATATACAACTTAATTTGTAATTAATTTGTCACGTAGTGTTATTTGATTATTATAGGCAGATATCAGATTAGTTTTTAATTACCGCTACTCAGTAGCTGTCTGCTTGCTTTAACTAAAATGCGTGTAGGCGGTGTAGCATTCAACACATAACACATGAAACGTACAGAGTACTACGTACAGATACAAGTATAAAAGTATAGATATAGAAGCAGTCTATGATCACCGCTTCATTTACGCCTTTCGTACTTTGACATGTATTCGAGATAGACTATTTGTTGCAAGAATCTTCCTAGCAATTTTAGTGCAAGCTTTAAAATAAAACCATTGTAAGCTTTATAATTTAGATATTCAAGTAAATGCCCCACATATTGACTGTATCAATTACATACACAGTAGATACGCACTACATAATGTAACATCATTTTGAAAGAAGGTGTAGAACTGCATGGCACAGTAAATATATTATGTGCATACATGAATATCAGATGCCTGTATTCCACAGACCGTCAAGTAAATAGTAAGTTATGGAGACGATGGAGGTTTGCTTCCTACAGGAAATCGGGCTGAACATATGTGTTCGTTGAAATCAGAAATACGCAATTAAATCAAATTTGCGAGTACTTTTATTGCAAATTTAGCAACCAAATCAACTCCAACTTACCTGCTTTAGGAGACCTTGGGGCTGTTTGGCCGCTGCCAATTCCACCACATCGGAAGTCACATTAACGGCAACAGCGGCATTCGACGGGCCATTATTTGCAGATTTATTTTTGTGCCGTCCACCGCTCACTTTGTACCCAACTGCGCTCGTTGTTCCCCTTGGTCGACCCCTTGGACGGCGGGCTGCACATAGAAAAAGCTGAAGCCTTTCACTAGCGAGTGGTCTCGACCCAGGAGTCATGGCTTTGTGCTGTCCCGGTGTACGTAATCGGAAGCCGGTTCGAGAGGTACATTAACTTACCGTTTTGGCGTTCGTCAGTATTCCGACTATCTTGCGCACTGCTTATACTTTTCCTTTCAGCAAGACCTGGATGGCCATAGGGCCCACGTTCGCTATGGTGGGGATCCGAAATGGGCAGTTGGGTGTCGCGCGGTTTAACGGAACGCCCATCTTCTCCATCCTGCGACTGCGCACTGCGCAGCATCCGATCGCATAAGGGCGCACCGCAAGATTGCGCCGTCACACGGATGACACTCTGCCGGCTCACGCCTAACCGCTTGGCTATTTCCGCGGGTCGTACGCCGTCGGCCTGCAGCTCAGCAATCTGCGCCATCATCTCGTTGCTGACCGTCTCATAGATACCGGTCCGCGCAGCACTATCGCGTTTCTTAAAGGACTTGCCCGTTTCGCGCAGAAACTTTTGCAGAGCATTTTTCGATACGCTGACCTTTTCCTGAATGTCCGTTCCCATGTGGCCTTCCTCAAAAAGCTTGAGGATTGCAGCTTTCTGCTGTTGGCTGAGGCCAGGATTGTCCCGTTCCTTGAAACTCATTCCCGCGCGTCTCAGTGCAGCATTTATGCTTTTCTCGTTAACCTGCGCTTCCTGCATAATATCGCTCACTGTGCTGCCCTTTTCGAATAAGTCAACGATCTTCTTTCTCCGCTCGGCACGGCAGCTTTTGCGCCATGGGTTGGATTTCCGCCGGGCGGAAATCGAGGGTGCGGTGCGAAGGATCTTATACATGGTGGTAATTTTGACACGGCACTGCTGGGCAATCTGCGCGTTAGTGTACGCGGAGTTGCGCCATAAGCGGACGATCTGCTCTTTTTGCTTTGCGGTGACGGGCTGGCGTTGCCGCTGTGGTTCCCCTTCCATCACTTCCATGGTCTGCGAATTTAACCCCATTGTTATTTAATACTTTTGCAAAAATTGCATCAAAGATCAAACATCCACATACAGTTACTTTGTATGATTATTACTCTGTACTCGTATACGAGTACTGTACATGATTTATCAAGGAAACGACTATCTCATGATCATATCTTCAGCCTCCCCGTGGAAATTGTGCAGAAAAAGCCATACCACAAACAAATTATAAAACCGCCACTAAACTCGGCGTGGTGCGTGCATGTGACCGAACAAAAAAACGTGGTCACGTGCATTTTGTTTTAAAGGAAGTGGCCCGGTACATGGTACCAAAGTCGTGTACATGCACGAAATCTTTCACTTTCGCGCATTCCAAAAATCTTTTTTCGTTTGTTTTATGACATTCTGTTGCCAGATGATTTGAATACACTGGCTTGAAAACCGTTTGTGCGCGCAAGATCCGGTTCGCGAGACGCTCAGGGCTGCTGCGTGGACGGACTAGACTCAGTCACTTTCTTCGGACCGGGCCCGGCGGAAGTTACTGCGACTAGGTGCTGCTATTTCATTGTGGCCTTTTTCAAAGCACTTACGAATTTCTCCTTTCTGCGCTTGATCAACGAAACAATTATCTCGTGCCGAAAAACTGTACCCGGCTTGTAGAACGACCGCGGACCGCCATCATAGCATCACGTTCTACGCTAACTTCGAGCATAATCTCGGCTTTTGAGTAACCGCTTTTGAGTAACTCAGTGTGCGCATTTTCGTTTCCTGTTCACTGTGCGCAGGCCAATAAAACAAGAATAATACAATCCAATTTTAATATTATACTTTCTTTACGTAATCATTTACTGCTGCATTCTAATAAAACTGCGAGATACGACACTTTTACGGTGAGTTTCAAACTGTCAACTTTCACCTATGTTTGTATGTTGGATTTAACAGAAATTCCATTCTACATAGTTATTATAACTGATCACATCACAGACAGATCTATATGAAGTGTAATATTTGTACATATACAATAAATTAATTATTATGACTGATCACATCTGATGCGAGCCTACATGTCGATATAAAGTGTAAGTAATATATTTAATATTTATATAATAAATCAACTGCGTAGTACAAAAAGTTATCGTTCATTACCACTCTCAATAATGTTTATCCAGCATGGGTTCGAGTTAAGGATCCATCCAGAAAAATACTGCACGGGCCAGCACGGCTAATAAGATAATATGCGGGAGGAAAAATTTGGAAATTTTTATAGCCAAACCATAGAACCGTGGAGAGTATCGTGGGGATCGCAGAAAATAAAAACGCGCCAACATGGAACACCACGTTTGTAGCCGGATCAGCAGTTTACAGATACCACTCTTAGAAGGCAAATACTATAATATTAAAAGAATTATTATTTTTATGGTTCTCTGAAGTCTAAACTCCGGCACAGTTACGGAGAAGTGGCAGAAATAAGTACTCAACAACTGATGTTTTCGGCCCTCGAAAACTCTGCTAATAAGACAGTTGAAATTTGACAGACACACGAACAATTAACTAGCTTTGCCTGTCTATAAGGCAAGCACAGGAAAGCAATTATGTCTGCCTCCACTTTGGCGTTTAACCGATGCAGAGAAGGAACAAGCAGGACCAGGATCTTCTCTGTTCGTGCAGGCTTTCGCATTTGATAAAGAACGAATGACCTGCTTTTTAGACTATTAAACTTCCGGCAGACTATATGTATCAGTATGTGTATTGTGTAATAAATGCCTAACTGGTAGCAAGATATTCGCTTTGCTTACCTGTTAGAAAGCGGAGCACACCTTAATGTGTTGTGATAACTGATAAATGCCATATATTGCGCTCAAAAGCAAACCCGTTGCAAAAGTTTTTGGTTCTCTTGTGAGCTCTGATTCGACTGTGCGTATGTTTGTAGTCCGGCTTGCACAGAAACAACGCGTATTTTCGCAGTTTAAATCACTCTAAATCGGCAGGGTGTAATACCTGGCACTGGCAAGTGCCTCTGGCGTTGCCACTGGCATGGCTAGGGATAAAACCTGGTATGTTATCCTCTGGCACGCAATAAAATATGGCATATGCCGGAAAACTAGAATTATTAAAACCATAACTTTCACTACGATGTTGGAACTCACTGTTAAAATGCTAAAATAAAAAATAGCGATTAAACTGCAACTTTCAAAACTAAATATAAAAATGATCTAGTACCATACATCGTACGGTTATTCGTCCCGGCAAATACGTAATAGAAGTAGAAGTATTACTAAAACTAAATTTTCAAGACATTTCTCATGTGGTGATATTGCACTTGTTCAAGTCGATCTCTAACGACCGGCAAAATAGTGATGTTTGAGTACGGCTGATCTCCATGTTGACGATTTCCGGTGGGTGGAACGCTGCATGATGGCACGAGCTCTCCCTTTGTACACACACTGCACCTGTATACGAAGTCATATTCGTATTAAGGTCATACACATACAGTACGGTGAGTTATACGGCCGGGTACTGCAGCAGTTTTAGTACAATTATTGCATTACAAAATTGCTTAATGGAATAACCGATGCAAAAATAGGGGCAGTTTCTTCGATTAATTGGCAGTTTGTTATTCTAACGGACACTGAAGAGCTATTGAATTACTGTAATTTCATGGAAATTGATCTCATGCAACAAACGAGTTAATTAGGTCTTATTAGCTTAATATCTTACTACGTAGATCAGCCTGAATATTTACCGCTGTCACTCTTTTTTCTCTAGTGGTGTTGCAACCTGTTCAGCACTTCACGATCGTCGTTGCACCAACTACATGTATGTATGAAGCCCGCTATTGAGAACTGGGATTCCAGAACGAGATAAAAATAACAGCAGTAATATTCATCATTTAGCTTATTCACCAATCACCGTACGTCTAATTAAAATGCAACTTTACATAATTTCAACACTTCAAAATATCGGTACTTATCAATATTTGTAATTATAATCCGTGTTGTATACCACACAGCTCCGAACGCTTACCCAGTGTTCATCCAAAATGTCCAGCATCGGTACATTTCCAAGTGCTACTCTTTTCGACAGATTAACGCAGACACAATCAGTAATGTTTCGGAACGACAATTCATAAAATTGTTCGTAGTATGTTGGCAATTGTAAGTGTCAGCGTGTCGTCTACGTAAAAACGATGGCTGAAGGCAGAACAGTAATTTTAAGTTCAAAATGATTAGCGTTTGATGTCTGAATGGTAATAATATGTAATGTTGTGTCTCTATGTGCACTGAACTTTGGTCCGGCGGAAGAGAAGGTCGATGCAGTTGCGAATCTGCACCGTTGCACGAAACAAGAGCGCCTTATACGAATTTCATAGACATACGCACACACTCATAATACAAGTACATGTGCCAATTGCCTTTTTGCAAGCAACTGTTCTTATCATTGCATGATATTCTGTTTTCCAAACAACAGATAACCCAGACCTTTAATCATCAGTCATGTCAAGTTTAACATATGAGTCAAAGACAGTCAATAAGCGTTGGATTTAAGTCGATTTTTTCTGTTTTCAGTGAGTGCCATTTCACTTTGTGTCGGTTGTAGTAAGCTTGCACATGTAAAGATTCATACAAGATTTATTGAAATTTAAGTGCTCATTTGAACATGTATAGTTAAAGCTTAAAGGCAATTCGCATATACTGGTATGCAAATTATGCCGCTAATTACGAAATTTAAATGATGATGATGACAACTAAAAGTTAACTTTATTTTTTACAGGTCTGTTTGGTGTAGAATAACCGAATAACGGGTGTTTTTCGGGTTTTCAGTGATCAAATCACAGTCTTATCGTGAGCGCATATTGCCGGGATATTTACCTGCATTTTTTTAATTATGCAGCTGTGTTAAGAGCGGCGTCATTTTGATCTGCTCTGTGTGGAAATGTTTGTGTGGTTGTACTTTTTATCGTGACCTGTACCATTGCGTAAGGAACAGACGGTGCGGAATAAGCCCGATGGTAAAATAGAAGTTTTTACTTTTTACTACTCGTCATTATTGCAGCGAACTTTGTCTGGGCACCAACCGGTGCCCATTAAGCGGTGAGGATTTTTGCATTACAGTATTAAGCGTACACCGTCCATGCCAAATGATTGCAAATCGAAACGCGGATGCCAAATGATTGCAAATCGAAACGCGGATTCTTCGTGAATCGGCGTGGTTTGGAGCTTGGCACAGTTTTCAAATTCATTCTTTTTGCAGCACCATTACGCATTAATTGCTGATCGAGCTATTCATGCCGGTGGGTGTAATTCGTTGAGAAAATAAGTAAGGTCTTGTAACTCTTGTCCATGTACAGGTTTAAGCATTAGCAGCTATTAATGCAACTGATACCATCGCAGTTTTATTAATTTTTGTAACTTGTACAAGGGAGGCAGCGTCAATATTTTCTACTTATTTATTAACCGCTGTGCCACGTGTTTTCTGGCATTTGCCATATTTTATTGCGTGCCAAAAGGATAACATACCAGGTTTTATCCCTTGCCATGCCACTGGCAACGCCAGAGGCACTTGCCAGTGCCAGGTTTTACACCCTGCCCTCTAAATCACCAAGCAGGCGGAATTTTAATACCGACTTTGGAAGAATTAACGAGGAGATGTTATTAGTTTTCATTTTTTTTCTCTGAGAACTGTCTGTACCATGCATGATGTCTTTACTGCAAACTGTAGCAGGCCCTTTCACCTTGGACTTCCGTTGACAGAAACAAATCCACATCGTTCCACGATAACTGGCAGATGCGACACTGTGTCGTTGGTGTTGCCGGATGCCGGTGACGACGCTTCCTTAGCGGCACTATTCACGGAATCGTTGTGTGACAGCCATTTCCCGTGGGTTTTTCTGACCGCACATCGAAGCCCGTCGAACACAGTGCGGCCCCCACGTCGACTTCCTTGGCAATATTTCTCACATGGTCAGTACTTTCCACCAAAGAAGTCACCCGTAGCATGTTCCACATGTGTAGCGATGTCTGTGAAATAATTACCAACATATCGTTTATCTAAACATTCTGTAACGGGAATTCATATACTAATGGGGGCATATAATTACATCTATCACTTTAGACCTTAACGTTTTGGTGACCACTCCGTACACACCCTTTCATTCCGTGCACAACCTTTTTGAGAACTACCTTTTACTCCGTACACAACCTTTCGGCACCACCTTTATCTGTGTGCGCTACCTTCTATTTTTTTAATTTTTTCACAGCACAGTTAATTCTGGAACTGCCACTTTTTCGTTAGCAGCAGTTATTGCTGCATATTTCAAAGTACAGTACCATCGGCAGTTACAAAATCGAATTCCCGTGAGAAAATTCTAGGCGCCCTTGTGCCGGTTTTTCTTCGCAGGGTTTGGAGTTTGGACAGTGCTTTCCTAGCTTGACTTAGTGCAATCTTCGCTTGCTGAGCTTGACATAGTGAAAAAAGTTTTAGAGGAAAAACTCCAGATGACCATAAGTATACATAACAGTTATCAAAGAGTTTAAAAAGACTTATTGCAGGTAGTGCCCGAAAAGGTTGTGCACGGAATGAAAGGTAGTGCAAAACGCGTCATGTCATGTAAGGCTTCATTTATTCCATATTTGCTCTACAAACAAGGTAAGAAATTCGGGGCTTTTTTGCAAACTTTGTAAAAGCTCCGAAAGTTCGTGATTACAACGTAATTAATCCGATCAAATATGTCAAGGTGCGAAAACAAATTTACATGTATCCTTGTACATATTACTCGCTCGTATACTTTGCTTTTTGATAACTACTATCTTGAAACAACAATGTTTTTAAATTTTATCACAATTTTATGCAGATTCGTTGGTTTCAGTAATTGTTACCGTTTTGGCTTTCTTCGGTATTCGAATTACTCGTATCTTCATCTTTTAAACTTTCTTCTGCAGTGTCATCAGAATGGTCGTGGGGAGCGCGATCGCTTTGGCCAGAATCCGCTTAATTAATAACTCGCTGTTTTTCGCGAGTATCCACGGTATATTTTTCTTCCACACCGGGATCACCCTTCGAATGCGGACTGCGGAGCATCCGGCTGGACCGCGAAATTGCGCTGCTACATGGGCAACACTTTGCGGACACACGTCCAACCTCTTGACAATCGCTTCCCGGACACTATCAGCCTGCAGATGTGCAGTCTGCGCCATCATCTCGTCGCTGACCGTCTTATATCGACATCCGCGTAGCCACATGGGCACCTCGGCCGCCGCCATCTTCCGCCTGCAGCTGCACAAGACGCCATCTCGTTGCGGAGTTATCGGTGTGCGCATGCACCCGGCAGGAAGGCGGATTGGTGGATGAGCCGTCTACCTTTCTGCCGGACTTCGAAAGGACGGTGATGCAGTGTCACTGGACGTCCAACAACATCATGCCGTTTACGCACGCCGCACCATGACGTTCTACAAAGAATTTCTCCATTTGGCGCAACAGCTGCATAGTGTGCTTGGACACGTTGACCTTTTACTGGACGGCCGCAGTGGTCACGTGTTATCCTTTCGCAACAGGCTTTATGATTACCGCTCTTTTCTCTAGCTTGGCGCGCTGAGGCCCAGATCATCCCGTTTCCTGAAACACCCTCCGCGGATTGTTTTACGATGACGTTGACGTTTTCTTCATCACTATCTGTGCGCTTTCTAAATCGGAATAATGTCGAGGCTTGTTGTCCGTATGACCCTGCTCGAACAAGTAGGCGATTTGTTTCCGCCACTCGTCCAGGGACCCATCGAGTAGCTACTCTAGATAATCGAGTTCCCGCGGGAGCTGTGCTGCGCTCACAGCTTAATGCACGAAATCCCTTTTGTACAAGCTGCAGTGCAACTCGTTAATGCAGGGTAATATAAATATGTCTGTGATGTAACCGCAAAGCGCGACGAGTAGAGAATCTGTTCTTTTTGTATCATTGTATGCCGCTAATTTTCTGGCGTCGGCTTCGACAGTATTGCTGTTTGAGCCCTTATTTGACTATTTGGAAGTACCAGCTAATGGTTTGTTACGTCTTATTTGCCCTGTTCCGCCTGGCGCATTCCGACGTATCAACACCACCGCTACTTTTTTCAATTTTATTGGTTTACCACAAATAATTCTTCTGTAACGTACCACATGTTGAATCGAAGATTAGTGAAATCAACATGAAAGTATTTGGCCAGTAAGAAATATCGAAGTGCTGTCAATTTTAAAGAATCCAGGAAACAGTTTTGCTTAATTATGACAAAAAAGTAATAATAAAGTTTAATGAACTTTTAATGTTATAAAAAATCGTCTTGTTCTTTATTGATGTTCATGTATACGACGTTATTCCAAAGGTTAATAAACAGTAAGATTATGACAACAAATGTACAGTATAAAATCATGACAGCCTAAGAAAGTCACTAAAGATCACTGTTACTGCAAATAATAAAACTACACAGATAAACAGTACTTTAATCTTGGCAGCGTAAAAATATGCCAAAAACGGTGATCGTAGAACAATAAAACTAGCAATTGTCCGTCGACATTTTAACGGAATGCATGCTACAGTTTGGAGGAGTGGTTTGCGATTGGTACTTGATAATGTGCTTGCCCATCGTCGCCGGCTTTCGGGTTCGGAATTTACATCCGGTACAATATAAAAAAATCCCGGTTGCACAAATCTCTTCATGCTCTCTGTTTGCCAGATGTAAAAGGAATGGTTCCTCTTTTTCCCAGGATAAGCGGCAAATCTGACACTGATATCTTCCACTTGGACCGTCCACATACGCATTCTCTGGCGGAAGCAACGGTATTTTGGAATGAATTTCCGCGCACTCATCCGCCGAAATACTGCAGTATTCCATGGTTTTTCTCTGTGGTTTTCTCTGGGCGGAGAAATGTTGTTCCGTTGGAACGTCTGTTTTCAAGCATATTTCCGGAATATCCGTGGTCTTGTGATCACCGAGCGCTGAAATTCAAAAGAAGTCTGCCGGATAACGCGTGGACACTTAACGAAGTTTACAGGTTTTTCATTTCATATAAAGAGGCTGATGAATGGTTTCAGCCTGAAAGTAAAATCAATAAATTTTGTCTGAAAAAGGTCATGAAACAATCTCCAAACAGTTTTTGGCAAATGAAAGTTTAAGAATTATTTTCTTGTGGTTGGATAAATAATCACATTGTCCTTCTTTGACATATCTGTAAGCTACAGACAGATACAAACAGTACGAGTGCAGAATGCCACTCCTTGAATTTGGGAGAATTTAATTTTTCTTGTAATTTATTCCAACGTACCATTTCTGTCTATGGTGGCTTCTTCGGCGATACTGGTCACTTCCTTGGAAATTTCGGTGTCCTCTAGAGTGTCGCGCATATATTGGCACTGACGGTCACGATCATCCAGCAAAATTCTGTTGGTAGAGCTTGATTCGCCAGCGGAATCAGACATGTGTACATCTTGGAAGGCAGGATCACGCGGACGCCCCATCCATGGATTCATTCTTTTTGGGCTACGGGAAGTTCGTACAGGCGGCGTTTCCGAAGGACCGGCATCCTTTAATATTTTGTCCACCCATAACCTGGAAGTTTTAACGCGCTTTGTTATTGCTCGAGGGGACCAGCCCTGTTTAGACAGCTCCAGAATAACCGGCCGCAGCGCATTGTACCGGTCCTGATCCCATTTTCTAAAGATAACCGCTCGGCCAGCTGCGCCCAGTATTTGTTTTACGGAGTACACCGACAGATTGGTCTTTTGCATAATGTGGGAACAAGAGTGGCCGTTGTCGAATAAATCCACAACTTCGTGCTTTTCTTTCGGGGTGAGTTCGTACATGTAGCGTGTGTTAATATTTCCAGATTTCTTCTTTTCCCCGCATTGGGATCTGGGAATGCGAGGCGCCGAGGAAGTTTGGACAGAGGATTGCAGAATGGCTCCGGGAGGGTCCTCGCCGCTCCGTTGATTGATCCATTTTGGCTGCATATGTGGTCGAGGCTCAGCTAGCTGGAACGGCGCTGGTTCGCATTGAATCGCGTTTTTTTGCGGGTTGGACCTGAACGAACATTCCATCTCCAGCGGTGTTTGCTTTCGAATTGACGTCGCTGGAATTTCGCTGTTACTGTTCAGGAGAGACTTTAGTACCGAAAAATATTCGTCGCTTTCAGCACGATCCATGCAAGTGCTGTTGTTAAACCCGCTGGTTGTTTAAACGTTTGCACTCCCAAGTATTCGCTGCGATTTTCTCTTTCGTTCACTCAGCGATGATTATCGAAAACGGCGCCACTCTGGAACGACTTAATTCTGACCTAAACGGACAAATAATAGCACTGTGCGCTTAAGAACACTGAACACACTACCGTATATTTATTTATCGTTAGCAATAAGTACACTAAAGTGTAGTAATACTGTATTAATTTTATTATGTTTTGGTACAGTACTATTGCTGCCAAAATAAATTATAAATCAGAATAGGGGCCGTGTAACTGTATAATCATCGCAGGAGCTAGAAATCTGTGTCACGCATTTTTATTTATAAGTACAGTACAGTAATCGTAATACGTAGCCCGCAACCGCTGTCGGTCCATCAATACTTCCTTATCGGGGAGGCAGAAATTACAAATACTGCACGCACGTCATTCACGTTTTACAAAACCATTTTTATACCTGTATGAACAGGTTTTACTTTGACTGAAGATTTTTCAAAACTGCAAAAAGGCTGTATTAATTCACGTACCTCTAGTGTCAACCCATAAGCATGGAGTTGCGAAGCGGCATAAGCAAAACGCAATAAAAGTTAAGAAAAGGATCACAACGGGAACATTTGCATAATTCCAGACAGTTTGTTAATTTTGTCACAATATTACGGCTAGCCCAACAATCTGCTAGCTTTGGGAAAGCCGGTAAAGGAAATCTGAAACAGAAGATTTCGTCGATGACAGCAAAATTTGATTTAATATTATAACACACGTACATCACCCCACAGCATTGCAAGCGCAGGTGGGTGTTTGGTTGTGCTGTAGAAATGTTCTAATTTCTTTTGATCTCAGGGAGACTCACTGGGCCAAGAAAGTTGTTAACCGAATCACACTTTGGTGTTATCGGCGGAAGCTTTTGTTAACGGGTTTGCTAGTCGGTTTGTGGCGGCTTTGCTCTGCATCAGATAGGTAGCCTGGCCTTGTCCAGCGCCAATTCGACGAATGAAATTTGACTATGTACCACATACTTGCCATACCCCACACTTATTTGCAAATATATCCCCGCGGTCTTCGTATACTGCTACCAGCTGACACAGACGTAAACAAGATCATTAGCCACAAAGAGCACCGAGAGAACATTAGTTTGTTCTATATTTGGACATCAGATTTGAATCGGCAGTCCTCTTTGTGCGAGTAGTTTAAATGTTCTTACTAGATTCGGTTCCAAAGGCTAACGCGGCATTTTATCCTTGCGAAAGTGGCCGTGCCGGCACGCATTCTTGTGATTAACTTGGATTCTGCTGTTGCTAACAGTTATAATGTTGTTGTGAAGAATTATACAAAGTAGCACAAGGGAAGTGCACCGCTATAGGCTGGCAATAAAAGACCGAAGCGAAGCGCTTGTTCATAGTTGTCGATTTTATTAATAATATTTTGCACGTATATAGGATTTAGAATACGAATATTAGAATACCTAGTTTAGAATACGTTTAGAACAGGAAGACAAACTGAACTATTCCGTTTGTTTTTTGCCTAGAATTAATGAATAACCTGGCATTGTACAGATACAGATGCTAAAGTGCTGTAAAATAACTAAGACAAAATTAATATTCCTTTTTGAACCGCCTTTTTTTGGCTTGGGTCATCTAGCGATAATTAAAAATATAAATATCAGTAACAGTTCAACATTATTGAAGTTTTTATTCGTCGGCAGTTATTGATCACCTAAACAAATTTGCATTTGTATTAAAATGGGAAAGAATTGGAAATGCTTGGAGCACCAAAGTAGCCGCCGAAGACAAGCAACAAAAGCGATGTGGCCAGTACGTCGTTGAAGCAAGCCCACCGGAAACGGACGTTCGATGTGGGCATTGGGCAAACAGAAATTTTAGCGGCAAGAAAACAACCATGCACACAACGAGACCAGTTATACGGGCAAGAAAGAAAGCACGCACATGCCATGGGCTTTCGACAGGATGTCAATAAAACCATAACAGTGAATGTTGTAATGTTAAAATTCGGCCGCTTTTGGCATCAGTAGAAAGAAAACAAAATTCTACAGGTGGTGGTGTTGTAAAAAGATTCATAAGTTTGTCATACCGTAAGCATCTAATCGAGCAAGGAAGTTTTCTCTAAGGAAGCTTAAAATAGGTCTCTCTGTTCCCTTTCTTCGTCTCCGGATCAGCTCAGAAGGTTTATGGCTGTGAGCCTGTAAAGCCTGCCTGGCCACATTATTATTATATGGCCAATGTCCGGTGTTCGCAGCCATTAACAATATATTTAGAATCATAATTCATAATGAGAACTTAATGATCATGACGTCTTTGAAATGTCAGTCACAGACATCTGTGCAGTGTTAACGTGCATGAAAAGGCTGCACTGCCCGTAATCTGTTTACGTGAAGCTGCAGAAATTATGGTACGTACCACAAGTATGTATTCTAAACATGGCCAAAAAAATTACGTTTATTACAGCTTACAGTTTCTTTTACAATAAAAAAGTAGACACGTATAGTAAATACGCGGCTTCATATGCGCTACGGTTTTACCAGGTTTCAGTAAGGAATGTTACAGAATTGTGCATGAAATGCAGTACAAACAAACACACTGTCATCATGAAAAAACGGAACCCGGTACACAACATACAAATGTATTTCGGACATTTAATCAAAAAACTTATGGGCCTGCACTGCATGCACCATCGACTTCCGCTTGCCATTCTGCGACTGATACATGACAATATGTTGCCCCAGTTTCAGTGGTTGTCGGCTTTTAAAGTGGCACGCCGTACAATGCAGAAAGCTCTCCGGTTTAGCGGGTACTCGGTGCTGTTTGGAAATTAAATGGGATAAAAACAAGTCCGCGTCGTTCCACGACAAGCGGCAAATGTGGCATTGGTACGGGGCGTCGCTGGTATTGCCATCCTCACCAGTTGCCGGTGACATTTCTTTAGCGGTACTGTCCACAAAACTATTAGGTAAATCAAGACAAGCCTTCGCCGTCACTTCCGGTTGCTGCTGTCGACCGGACACCAGAGCGCGCCGAACGCGGTCCGGGTCCACACCGACTTTCTTGGCAATATTTCTCACGTGGTACTCTCCACCAAAGAAGTCATCATAAGAGGAAGACTGTGGTTCTACATATGCATCGGTATCTGCGAAATAATTCTTATTTTTGGCATCTAAACACTTTTGGAATTTTACGCCAATGTTGCCACATTAAATGCATAAATGTTTTTACGATGACAGTATACGCGCTTTCTTGCAGCTTTTCACATGCACGAATAGGTAACTACGAGTGTAGTTTGTTATATACAGCACATGCAAAAATTGAACAATTCCAGATTTTACATTTATTATTGATTATCACAAATACGCGTAGCTTAGGAGAAGTTCTCATTACTCTTAAAGTCATCGTCGATTGGAATAGTCCCGGTCTTAATTGTGCAAACAAAAAGTGCATTAATAGATATTTATGCAGAACGTACAAGGCATCCTATAGCTTTCCGTACCCTTTAATTGGCTCTAAACGAAGTATTTTGTCACTTTTTTATATGCGTTTTACAGGCTCTAAAAGTTATTGATCGTATCTTATTCGTATGTAATGAAATCGATGATGCCATTAAGTGGAAATAAAAATATGAAATATATGAAAATAAATATAAAATACATGAAAATAAATAATATGTGAAAATAAATTAGTATAGCTTCTCTTTTCAAAAATTTAATATACAGGGTACACACGCCAAGTTGTCACCAATGTAATATTACAATGCAATTTTGTATCAGTACGAACAGATTAGCGAATTATCCTTACCGTTTCGGATTTCTCCGATATTCCGCTTTTTTACCGCCTTGTTTATACTTTCACTCTCAGTGTCATCTGGATGGTCGTCCGGCGCAAGATCGCAATGGCTACCATCAGCAACAGGGCGGTTTCTTTTGCAGGCATCTCCGGAACGCTCCTTTTCAACACCCGCATCACCTGTCGTGCGCGGGCTGCGAAGCATCCGGCTGGGTCGCGGCGAGCCGTGAAACTTCGCTGTCACGCGGAGGACACTTTGCCGGCTCACGCCCACCCTCTTGGCAATTGCGGCGTCGCTGATACCGTCGGCTTGCAACTGTGCAATCTGCGCCATCGTTTCGTCGCTGACGGTCTCATCAACTTCCTTCTGCGCTGTATTATCGCGTTCCTTAAAGGACCTGCCGGCTTTTCTCACTACATTCCTCACTGTCCACTCCGTCACGTTGGCTATGCGCTGGATCTCCTGTCGTGTGTGGCCTGCCGTAAAGAGCTTTAGGATTTCCGCCTTCTCCTCTTCACCAATGCCCTGCTTGTCGCGCTCCTTAAAAGACTTCCCTGCTTGGCGTAACAAATTCCGCATAGTCCACTCAGATACGCTAACTCTTTGCTGGATCTCCGTTCCTGTGTGGCCAGCCGCAAACAGTTTTAAGATTTGTGCCTTCTTCTCTTCCCCAATATCCGGATGATCCCGTTCCCTAAAAGACTTCCCTGTTTGGTGCAACAAATTCTGCATACTCCACCTGGATACCTTGACCTTTCTCCGGATGGCCGGCCCCGAGTGGCCTGCCGCGAAAAGCTTCAGAATGGCCGCCTTCTTGTCTTTGCTAAGGCCCGGACTATCCCGTTCCTTGAAACTCCGTCCGGCTCGTTTCAGTGCCGCGCGGATGATCTTCTTGCCCACCTGCACTTTCTGCATGATGTCGCTCATTGTGCAGCCCTGCTCGAACAAGTTAACGATTTGCTTTCGTCGATCGCCACGGGATTCCCCCAGATAATGAAGAAGTTTTTGCCGGCCGGAAGTGGACGGTACGGCGCGCAGAATTTTGTAGACGGTGCTCAGACCCACTCGGAACTGTCGGGCAATCTCTGTGGTGCTGCAGCGGGAGTGGCGCGACAAGCGGAGGACTTGTTCTTTCTGAGCGGCGGTGATTAGCTGGCGCTTTAGCTGCGGTTGGCTTTCCATAACCTATTCAATGTATCGTTATTCAAAATTATTATTTATGTAAAATTAGTGTATAATTAAAAAGCACTTTGTATATTTAAACGTTTTTTAAATTATGTCCTTATTTTGCTAAAAAATTTGTGCGCGATCGATGCGAACAACATGAGTGACATTACCAATAAAATTTCTGTTTTCTTGAATACAGAGGACCTTCTCTTCACTTCGAAAGTTTGTATAGAAAGCTGTCTTTTCATAATCATTTTACGTAACTTATTAAATAGTTCTTTAACAACTCGTATAGCAATTCGCATAATTATTAAGAACGTGTTATTGTCTCTTACATGTTCTGGACAGTTTGGTAGCTGGTCTCTCTATCCGTTCTAAAATACATATATACCGTGCTTCCCGTAAAACTGAAAACAACTGTTGAATTTCAGTAAATATTCCAGAAAATCGAAATAGAGGTCCGCATGATATCATAATATTTCAAGGATTCAAAAGCATATCGACGTGCAACAGCACGTTTATCGGCGTGAAGAGTTTGCAACTTTTCATGATAAACGATCTAAAGCAGATTCTTTCTAAAAATGAAATATCAATAAAAATGATACTCGCAGTTCTGATTCCTGAAGGACCCTCTTTTACGCGAAGCAACGTTCAACTGGCAGATGCAGTCATGCAAAATATAAGAATCGATGCTTTCTGCCATCGGATAGCCAGCCTATAATATTAAGACATCAAAACTAGTCCTGCCTGTACAGCTTACAGACGCACAAAGGTGAAGCATCTGCGTGTGCTGACCAAACTCTCTCTGCTCGGTTCCTTCTGGAACGAATGACCTACTTTAGATGGACAAGTAATGCCACAACGCGCAGTTTGGAGGAGACTTACAATTAAGAGAGCCTGTAACAAACGGCCTTTATCAGAGCTCGCATACGAATATTATGTTATTTTACTTCTGGAAATAAGTAGGCTGTTTAATTTTTAGTCTAGTTGTGTGGCGCTAATTGTTGACTGGTTCAACCAGTCAACAATTAGCGTCACACAACTAGACTAAAGACAACTAGACCAGTCTGGTTGCAATATTCCAGTAACGCTTGTTTTTTGAATATTATTAAAAAAACATGTGTTTTTATTAACAGTCAAAAAACACGCGGTATGAACTCACGTCCTGAACTCGTGTCAAGATTTCCTATTAATCTTGATGCTTTCGAGCATTGCCGAGATCATGTGCTAATAATCATATAGTCAAAATACAAAAAAAATTCAACCTTTCAAGAAAAGATTTAGTGGCACGCTACTGGGTACCGTCGTCGCATTGGCAAACGCTTGTGTATTAGCAATGTTTGCGGTGTGGGCGTCGGCGTTCGGAACGGAAAGGTCAAGCGGGTATGCACCACTGGCACCGTGGCGTGCCAGACGGATATGGTCCGTCGTCTGGGCGATGGTATGGGTCACCGGCACATGGATGGCCGTCTGCGTCGATCTTGGGTGATGAACGTCTGGCTGCCACCCCAGCCGATTTGCTGCATATGCGCTTGATCATGTACATCTGGGCGGGTTTCTTGCGGACGTTATACTCAGGCTAGTGCCTGGTGGCCGGATGCAGGTGTGCACTGGATCTCGAACGTGTTGCAGTTGGACGCACAGCAACTGAACCTGCTTTTGGTTTATAGGAAGAGCTGGTCGATCAATTGGGAAGGGGCGCCCCAATCAAACACCGGCTTTCCCGTAACTGGCACTGTACATGCCTTGAAGGCAATGGGAACAACCGAGGCCATGTGTTACCGGTGTTCTATCGTTTCCGGTTTGCTGGTAGCTCCAAACTGTGCCGCTCGTCAAGCAGTAGTTGTAGTTCCTGCACTTGCATGTACATATTCTGTACTTGATTGTGCCACGGCTTTGGGATAGCTCTTCTAGTTCTAGAGGAACTACCCTAAAGCCGAGGTACATACTATCAAAATGCTAATTAGTATCTGCCAGATAAGGGGGTACCGATTAGCATGCATCTTGAGATGTGGTTTTCTTATGCGTCTCTCAGGAATATTTCACTCCCGGCAGACCATCATTATTCGCTTTGTGTAAAAGGCGGAAACAGCTAGATTCTTATGTAATTTGTATATCGTAATTTGTATTTCTTCTCTGTGAGTTCAGTATTATATAACTTCTGCTGTTAATCCTACTGGAACATAATAAAGATATACCAACAGTTGCTTCCGTTCTGCAAACTGCAATAAATTAACGAACCGATTGTTGTGCATTCTAATCCGTTGTTTTGTCTATTGCGATGGCATTTATTATTATATGCCAACTGATAAAGAATTTATGAGCACTACATGGTGTTCTTATTTCCTACACTCGTATACGAGTTTGTAAGCATGAACGTGCACAATATTATGCCAGCTGCAACATCCAGAGGCTTTACAAGTGGTAACTACATTTATCACAAATCATAGTCTAAGACGGCAGTTTTTATTGAGTCAGGAATAGGATCCAGCACAGCTAAAACAGCTACAAACATTATGCTTTAAAGGGAAAAACCAGATCCACGATATACAATATTATATTTTGGTAATTCAGTCAAGTAAATTGTCGGCCTTCACCGCATGGACCCTTGACTTCCGGTTGGCATTCTGCGACTGATACTTCACGATATGTTGTCCCAGTTTCAGGGGTTGTCGACTTTTAAACTGACACGCCGTACAGTACAGAAAACTCTCTTTTGTCGCTACGGGTAGTTTACAGTGCTTTTTTGAAATTAAATGCGATAAAAACAAGTCCGCGTCCTTCCATGATAGGCGGCAGATGCGGCACTCGTACGGTGCGGCGCTGGCAGTGCCACCTGCACCGGATGTCGGCGGCGTTTCCTCAGCGGCAGTGTCCACGGAGTCGTCGTGTGCATCCCCATGCGGCTCTGTCGTCACTTCCGGTAGTTTTTGCTGACCGGAAACGAGAGCGCGTCGAACACGGTCCGTGTCCACACCGACTTTCTTGGCAATATTTTTCACGTGGTACTCTCCACCAAAAAAGTCATCAAAGGAGAAAAACTGTGTTTCAGCATGTGCGTCAATGCCTGTTAAAACAAAACTTTTAATTGTCGAGACAGTTTTCGGTAATCCATATATGATATGGTTGTAAACTTGTATTTGCATATGATTGCTAAAGCATACAAGTTTCCCAGCTAATATATCTTTCTGAGACTTTTTATACGTCAATTTTCCTTATTTTCTCCGTATGCATGATACTGCAATTTCGTACCGTATTCCTCGTATTATATAATAATAGTTTTACAAAATTATCATTGCAGTAAAAGGATGTTATCAAAAATTACCGGTTACCGAATAAATAACTTAAGAAATCAAATCAGATCGGATAAAAATATTTACTACCAGATTGATCCATGTTTAGTAATTTTTACTGGCAACTGCAAGGAAAGCATTTCACAGAATAATTATGTGAAACATTTGCGCTTGCCTTTGAATTCCATATCCCGTTTTTCAAATATTCAGTTTTTCAAGATCTCCGGAGATTGTGACTCTTAGTACGATTATGATTTTTGCATAACAAGTCCCGAGAAACAGACAACAACGGTAATTCCATGGTACTGCTTTAATGTACAGTAATTGTAATTGTATTTATAGATCGTATTTGCTATAAATTCCTTTATTTACCATGGTTAATGTCAACCTGGATAAAATGTACAAACAGCAGTGTGAAGCACATTAGTGATTAGCGGATATTATCCATACCGTTCTCGCTTCCGTCGATATTCCCATTCTCTTCCACAGAGTTTCTATTACCGCCTTTGGTTTGATCCGGTTGGCCGTCGGAGGAACCAACTTCTTGGCAAGAATCCGCAATAGATCGCTCACATACGTCAGTCGCACAACGTTCAACTACATCGGCATCCCCCTTCGACTCCGCACTGCGGAGCATCCGGCTGGGTGGCGGTGAACTCTGCAACTGCGCTGCCACGCGGGTGACAGTTTGCCGACTCAATCCCAACCGTTTGGCTATCTCCCCGAGAGGGACACCTTCATCCTGCAGCTGCAATATCTGCGCCACCATCTCATCGCTGACCGGCTCAACCACGCCGCTCTCGGCAGTCCTATCGCGTTCCTTAAAAGATTTCCCTGTTTGGCGCAACAGACGTTGCATGATATACCTGGATACGTTGACCTTTCGCTGGATGGCCGGTCCCGAGTGGCCGGCCGCGAAGAGCTTCAGGATTTTCGCTTTTTTCTTTTTGCATAGGTTATCCCGTTTCTTGAAGCTCCGCCCGGCTTGTTTCAGAACGGTATAGATAATTTTTTTGTCCACCTGCGCTTTCTTCATTATGTCGCTTAGCGTGCAGTCCTGCTCGAACAAGTCGACAATCAGTTGCCGCCGCTCGTCACGGGAACCGCTCGGTTTTTGATCGAGTTTCTGCTGGCCTGAATGGGAAGGGGCGGCTTTCAGAATTTTGTATACGGTATGACATCCTACATCGCACTTCTGCGCAATCTGCTTATTAGTGTACGTGGTTTGGCTCGACAAGGTGAGGATTTAATGTTTTTGCGCTGCAGTTGTACGTCGTCGCTGTTTTTCCCTCTCCATCACTTCCATGGCCTACGAAATTAGCACCAATTAATATTAAATATTTTTATGAGACAGTTATAATAATTATGACGTTTTATGACAGCAACACCACCTATATACATGTAATATGAATTAAACACATACAAAATATTAAAATCTCTGGAGTTAACAATTACTGAATATTTACTGCGGATTGTCACTCACAATATTGATGCTGTATGGAAACTATTAAAGCCAAATCCAGAAAAATATTGTATGGTCAGTAACACGCTCCGGAAAAAAATCGAATTTGTAATACACGGTGCCACAAGGCTGCAACAGGATCTCCACAAGGAAACAAAAACAAAAAACTACTCGTATTAATCGTCGACATGCACCAGGACCCTTCTATCCGCACAAAACATTTGCGTAATAAGTGATGTGAAGCAGCTAATAGTCATTCTTAAGCGACCAATAACATCATAATTCGGAATCGTTGAAGTAGCCTGTGTGGTAACAGAGAACTGACAGAAATAACGATGTTTTCTTCCCTCAGAAAGACAGCTGACAGACACGAACAATTTTATCCTGCAGTACCTGTCCATATGAGAGGCACACAAAGAAAAGCATGTGTGCCTGTTTAGTCTTGATATCTGCCCTTTGACCAATGCAGGGTAGGGACCACCAAGACCAAGATCTTCTCTGCTCTTGTTCGGTTCCATCAAGACCATGCGTGCTTCGCGCTGTGACAGACTGAAGTGAGACCACAGGCAGAAATCAGCGGGCCTTTATCAGATTACGTATATTAACAATTTTCAGAGTGCATTATGTTATTTCCTGTACTATTGTAAATCGATCTTCTTGAGATTTGTGTTCTTATCAGTAGTTACATGGCACGAACTGTTGACCGATCATAACATTCTGATACTGCTTGTTGCTGTACTACTAATAACGAAAACCAATAAACTGAATATTTGACTTTTCATTTAGGCTTCCTAGTAATAATTTCAGAGCGAACACCAAAAATACACGATTACTGCTGGCAATTAAAAACTTTCAATCCGGTTAACAAACAGAAACACGCAAAACACGTATAAAAAGTGACCTTTCAACGAAAACATCAGTTATAAGCAACGTTAGGTACCCCAGCCGCATTAGCAAATGTCTGTGTGTTAGGAATATTCACAGTGTGAGCGTTAACATTGGGAACAGAAAGGTCAGGCGTGGTGTGCACCACCGGCACCGCGGCGTGCGGAACGGACAGGTCCGCCGTTTGGGCGGCGGTGTGGGCTACCGGCACGTGGATGGCGGCCTGCGTCTGGGTGATGGGCGTCTGGCTACCGCCCCAGCCGCTGTACTGCGCCTGGTACGGGGTGTACATCTGGACGGGTTTGTAGCGGACGTTGTACTCCGGCTGGTACATGGTGACGGGATGGAGGTTGTACTGGATCTTGGGAGTGTACAGCTGGACGGGTTGTAGCTGCACTTGCGGCTGGCTCCAACCGGAGTTCTGCTGGTAGCTGGTCAGCGGGGACGCGGCGCCCCAACCGGCACCGGTGTTACCGTAGCCGGTAGCGGTATTTCCGTAACCACCGAAGGCCAAACCGCTCAAGTCCGTCAGGGCGTAGGCGAGGGAGGCGGCCACAACAGAAAGGAGAAGTGTTCTCTGTCAAGACAAAATTAATAAATAAATGTGGATGCACGCGGCAGACCATTAATTCACTGGATGCAAAAGGATTTCGTAACAGAAGACATAAAATTTGTCGGTTTTCATGCTAGTATTGCAGTATTGTAACGGCACTATAAGGTATAAACCATAGTTTCTTATTTAATAATGGTGCGATCTATACCTGAAAGGTTATTCATTGTTACAGCATTATTTCATTCGTTGTTATATGTACCACGCAACAGGCTGTATTTTATCAAAGAAAATTAAACGCAATTTTTTTAATTTCACCGAAAGGTTATGAATTACTATTTCTCTTACCAGTATGCAGTGCATGACGGAGAAAATGTTGACGTATTAACCACTGTAAAATGTGTTATGCCAATCTAATACTAAATGGGACAACTAATCTACTCCGGCGACAAACAAAATCAACGTCGCTGCTGTTTTAAACTGACCGCTAATAAAACCAGTAATTTCCCAATCCATTGATTTATATAACAAAATGCGCTTCTCGATACGGCTGGATTAGACCAGACAATCAACAGAATCCACGACGAACGAAGAAGCGAGCGCCAGCGGACCAGACAATACATTCCTACGGGATACTAACGCGATGTATTATAAAGCCCAAAACTCAATGATAATTCTGCAGTTTCTCCTTGGACCGGTCGTGGTCATCGTCGCCTCTGACTTTCACTTTCTCTCTAAAAGTTGCCTTTCATCAGACGACTGTTTCTAGGTCAGCTTATTACGCGAGCGCCATGCAGAAATAAAATATTTAATTAATTTCAGTCTAATGAGCATCATCGGCAGTGAGAAGCAGCGTCGCTTCTACACGGCGCAAAAGTGGCGGCGCCGGTATTCATCGGTCTGGACGCAGCGCAAGCACAGCCCTTGAGCTGTCGTCGACGCAGTCCAGACGCAATCGCGCTTGAGACCCGAATGGGGAGAATGGAATGATGGAAATGCCCTATTTACCTAGTTCTGTGGCATTGTCGGGGTTTTGCACAACTTCTCCCTGGCGATCCATTGAAGCCTATAAAAATCTCCGGACAGTGACACACAACGATCAGTCTTGCAACTTTCGCTTTCGACGTTGCATACAGCCCGTGCCAAATAGTTGTCGTTTTACCGCGTGATTTTGCATAGTTTTTGCTAAATTTTGTATTATAGTGTTTTAGTATTTTTGTCGTATTCCACAATGCAGAAATCGGTAAGTTGCAATGTTTTTCTATATAATAATTATTATTAACCGGATAATTTATTAATAATAATCGTCTTTCGCTTCGTAAACTTTATTCGACCATTAATATCCGAAACACGAATACATTCTTTCACAAATCCGAGCTACTCCACTCATAAATTTTAAAATACTTCGGTATTATTTACGAGTGCTTACAATTTCCAGTGATAAATTTTTTTAAGAATGATATAAAAACGAATAATTAGAGTTAATTTTTTGTGACCTTTATTTAGCCAGCAGCGCTGTATGAATGCGTTGGCATTTGCTAATATCCTAGATTGACTCATATAATGGATTCAAAATCTATTCGTGCGACATAAAGACATAATGGAAATGATGTATCGTGCATCACCTTCTGAATTTCTCATTTAATTTTTTAAACGGTCTTATGTCATATTTCCAGTGTTTTATCAAAGTATTTCGGTAGTAATGTGTTACCTGTATGAAGACAGCCGATTTGCTAGTCCACACTTCGAGGAAAATATTTTTAAATTTAGATATTAATCCTCCTCGTCGCGGTGACCTTTGTCAGCGTCGTCAACGCCCAGTTCGGTTTCGGTTTAGGCGGCATGGGCCTCGGCGGACTGGGAATGGGCGGACTGTGGGGCGGCCTGGGTGGATTCGGCGGCATGGGCTTGGGCGGTATGGGCCTCGGCGGTATGGGCTTCCCGTTTGGCGGTATGGGCATGGGCGGCCTGGGTTATGGCGGAATGGGTATGGGTGGACTGGGCGGTATGGGAATGGGCGGCATGGGAATGGGCGGCATGGGCTTCCCGTTCGGCGGCATGGGATACGGCGGTATGGGCGCGGGATTAGCCGGAGGAATGGGCGGTGGTTGGGGCGGCGCCGGCGGTTACTCCACTCCCATGATCCCCGTGGTGGCTGCACAGCCCACCGCGGCTATCGCTCCTATGGCTGCCACCGGATCAGGTTGGGGTAGGAAGTGAACTTTTACCACGCCTTTTGTAATTTGAATGTTGCTAAATTGGCGAATTTTGTTGCTAACGACTGTTTAGTGTTTTGAATGTTGCGGAGTTGTGTGTTGGCTCAGTTTTGTTGCGAGTTTGTTGTCCTGTTGACGTTTGTTCCACTGACCAAAGAAAAAATAATGAAATGTAAAATCCAAAATAGCGCTGTCGTTCAGTTCGTCAGTAGATACTGCAATAATTAAGCGATCATACTGCTCCATGCACTAAATATGCAGATATGCTGCGAATATTTTCATACAGTATATGCACAGAGACAACAGAGTACGATATTAATTAAATTAACATGACAATCCCGGTAATGTTTTGAAAGTTATTGATTTATTTATGAAAAACGTAGGCGAGATGCAACCTTTATTAATAACTGTTGCGCATTCATTGAACCCAGAACCTGCATCACACGAGTACCATGCAGAGTGTACAGAAAACATGTAACAGAGCACTACCCTGTAGACCACGGAGCTTTTTTTATTAATTAACGCACAATGCTGCCGTATCACAAAATAATGAACGCTCGTCGGTTTTGGCACATGTTTGGTTTGGCTGAATTAATATCCTGTGCTTTGGTGTGATCAAAAGACTCTTGAAATCCAACATCCCATGTATTACTTTTTCTAATCCTGAGCGCTGTGATGCTGCCAGTTCTTGTCGACGTAATTCGGCTGGTTTATTGATTCGACATATGCAGACTGTAATAATATATTAATCGGCTTATTAATACTAGCAACCAGTGCCTTCTGCGCATCACGTTCCATGTGGCTTTCGCCTAAACATTAACGGTGTTTTAACCGTATGACGTGATGTAAATCAACCCTGAAATCAAGCCTGTAATCAAGTTATGACCGATTCATGCTAATAATCGTGAAACCACAATAAGGAGAGCCCATCCGCCGGCACCGGTTTCATTTAATTAGACGGAACAACGTCCCGGCAGGAGGGCAGCGTGCCATTCGGAACCAGCGCCATGATTATTAATTAAATAATAAATACCCCTCCTATACCGGCGAACTGGGCGGAAAGAATTTTCAACAGCCGATGATTGTAATATCTTTATAAGAAAAATTAAGGCTGTAATCGCATCTTTTTAAAACAGTCAGGCAGTTACTTGCAAGATGTCAGTATCATACGCCAGAAAAAATGCTGAATAATTCCACTTTCCCTATCCACGTCAGCGCTGTCCCCTGGGGCGACAGCGATCTGTCCAAGATGATTTGGAACTGGTCGACCATCGTCAAACTCTGCATCTTTATGCTTACCATTCTTCTCAACGGAATCGTACTTTTCGCCTACGTGGTCAACCGCGAACTGCGCACCCCGTTCACCGTCTACGTGATGAACTTGTTGACCATCAACATCCTCTTCGCCGGCCTGGACATGCCCTTCGCCACCATTTTCACCGCCCTGCCCAGCTGGTTCCCCGGATGGCGGGTATGTGCGGTGTACCAGTACATGCTGTATCCGTTAGCGGCTTGTCAATTATGGTCGCAAACCTTAGTGACCATTAACCGCATCTGGGCGGCGTTCCACCCCTTCTCCTACCGTTCCGTCCACAGTTTCCGTATCGCTCTGACGACGTGCGCGACAGTGTGGCTGATTACCCATATAGTTGGTCTCCCGTATGTTGTTCTGGATGTCGTCTGGCATCGCACACCGGCGCCGTATCACTGCGCGCTGAACGAGGCCGCCCAGCCGGTGACCGCTCGGGCGTTCGAGCTGGTCATGATCGATTTAACCGTGGTGATCATTTGGGCAGCGTATCCGCTGCTGTTTTGGAAGCTGTGGCAGCGATTGCGGAAGAAAGCTAAGATCGCCATACCCAGTACGCGGATGGTCAATGTCACCGTGCGGACGGACGGGAGTGACCCGAATAATTTTGGTGATGGCGTGTACGCGCAGCGCCGCATGAGTCGGCGGAAAGAGACATCCAAATCCATCTCCATGTTGTCCATGTTGACCGTCAGTACGTCGGTGTGTTACACACCGTTTCATGCGTTTTTCTTTGCACTGGCATGGACAGCTATCCAGCCGTCGTTTCTATGGTTTAATGTGGCTTCCATGCTTTACATAATTCAGCCGCTGCTCGATCCGGTATTTTTCATCATTGGATTGGATAATTTGCGGGTTAGTCTGACCCAGATGTTTGTACGACGACGAAAGTGAAAGAAACAATATTACTGGACGTATAGTGGATACTATACGTAATTCTATGGATACGGCTTCTGAACTCGAATCTCTCATTCACCACGCTACGACGGAGAAATATATGATGGCCGGAAGATCACCAGTGCACCTAGGATTTACAGTCAACTAACTAATCAAGGATTCTTCGGGTTGAAAGCAGAATTTCTGAGACGAATAAATTGTCCCGTATCGGATGTTATGTCCTTGCGAAATTAATACGAGCGAGCGGCAGACTGAAGGCAGATGGCCCAGCTCTCCGTATAAGCTGCGCGCTCATGCAAATAGCTTAGTGAACAGTATACAGCTTAATCTAGCACTATCGGACAACATTATGTCCGCTTCATACTTTTTGCCGGCTCTCATTTGTGTTCTGTAACTTGTTGTTCTTCATCTGCATTGAACGGAGGTATGGCATGCGTTCCTGAGTGTTTCTTGTGTTAAGGCCGCCTCATAGTTCACCGAAAACGGCAGTTTCGACTAAAAGGTGTCCGAACTTCGAATAACTATGAGGACACCATTCCCCGACTCTCCGTCCCATTTTTACGGATGACTATGAGGGAACATGATCGTGTTGAAACCGAGTCGTCGAAATTCGTGGTTTCGACGACTTCGGTGTAGGAGAGGATGGCTCCTCCCTAATACAGTCTCCGTTTTTTTTCGCCCAATCATACATACGTTTGCCCCAAGCGGCCACTGCCCACCTGGACGCCCAGATTATTAATACACTTATATCCTGTATTGTACCTATACATATGTACTAATTGTTACATGAATCCACATCTAACACAGGCCCTTTTTGTTAAACAGACATTTTAATTACTTAAATAGTTACATCTGTACGTACATTTTTCCATATCTGAAAGTTAGTACATATTATACATGTTTTCCATCTGTAAGCCGTTTGGAAAGTTTACATAAGTTTTACATCTGCTTATTAAATTGTAGCAAAATGCCTCGTAAAACATTAGCAGCATAAAAAAATTAATACCGAATAACTCGGAATTTAGAGCAGCTGTGTGAAGCATTGCAAGGCATTTGGAGATAACAGTAAATATAGAAAGCTACTAATGAGGTATTTTGTGTCAAAAAGTACCGTGACTGGGTAGATTGCCAAATTGAAAGTTTATGAAAATTTTAGTTTCTCAGATTTGGCAAATTATGCAGTATAAAGTGCATAGTTACTTACTTGTTGAAATGTTGTTTGACCTATTGCAAAGCCTTTACTCACTCATCCTACTCGTAATCGACATGTACTGTAGTGTACAGTACTTATTACCAAACCATACTATAATACTCGGCTTTCCATAAGCCTAATGCCGGCTTGCCATAATGCAGCCTTCAACCGCCCTGGGCGGTGACTTCCAACCGTTGCAACGGGCGGTTGCCTACTTCCTGTCAAAATTTTTGTTTACTGGACCTTTAATAAGTATCACGTGAAAGTACGAACTAAGTACTAGAAAAGAGAAGTTTGATTAAGTATGCAAACGAGACAGCGGCAACTACTGCTCCTTAGGGGTGAACTGCCATTCACGCACCCCGATGTTAGGGGGCCAGTTGTCTGCCGTGAACATTTTTTCAGACTCACTGGCGTAAGAACCAACACGTGCGAACAAACTATTCTTACGACCCTTTTTAGCAGAATAAATTGAGACAAATCTGACAGAGATCCCGATGGATTCGATGGTTGCCTTCAAATCCCTACTGTAGTCGTCAGGGGTCTGGTGCTCAGTCTGCTCCAGCGGGGGGATGCCGTGTAGACAGAAATCCTTTTTCTCTCTTTCCTTGTCGGTTTTAGAGACACGCTTAAGCTGTAGGGTCGACATGAAGAATAAGGTCGACCTGTCAAAAGAATATAGCCGAAGCACCGACAACTATGAGGAACACAACTTTCGGACACAACGACGGGACGGTAAGTCGGAGTGACCGTGTCGTGGGAAATCCGTGACCACGGAAACTCCGTCAGTGCCGTCCCGTCGAGAAACTTTTTCTCCGTCTCAGAAAACGGTTGACTATGGGGCCGCCTTTAGCAGCGCTTCTGCTGCGTACGTGTATATTATTATACTGATCTAACGAAACAACACTTCTCAAAAGGTCCGCAAGGGCTTACACGGCATCATCGCAAAACATTCCACGACTGCCTAGATAAGTACTAAAATTATTAGTAGAACTTCTGAGAATTTTTATTCGAAACATTTGTTTTATTTATTCACACACCAGAAGAGCTGGTAATGTATACTGCTGAAGGGTTTTATGGAAAATCGAGATGTGACTCTTACCAAAAACAATTTTAATGCAAAAATTCCAAAAGTGTTCGGTTCGCCAGACAACGAAAACAGTTTACCCGATCACTGCCACAAGTTAATATGAATTAATAAAAGTGCACATCAGTTCTGAGATGGACCAAAGTATACTTTGTTGCAAAGTTCAATTGGCGCACCGTTTCGATAATAGCACCGGAAGACGGCTTTATGTTCATTATATTACGCTGTTGGGCCGTGGGACCGTATCCAACCAGTACGTGTTGATGGAGCCTTTGCCCTGAAAAACCGAAAAAAGAAATACCGCAAGCACAACAGAAGAAATGCCGGTGGCGTCAAATATCAAAGGCAGCTTTTACAGTACGGTACGTAGTTTGTTTGCGGAATGATGCCGACTTTGCCGAGTAATCACTATACGTTGTCCTCGTAATAATAGCAATATTTGTAAGCATTAAAATAATTCAGATTCTTACTTTTACGCTTATTTCCCCACGACTGACAAATTTCAGCGCGGAATTCTGGACAGCCAAGCCGTACGTTGTCGGACTCAGATGGACCTTTCCAGCTATAAAAGTGGACGAGAAAGAACATTTTCATCCTTCTTAAAACTGCATATCTACATCAAGCCTACTGTACCGCTTCCGGTTGATTCCATCCGACTGGCCGTGTTAACGGTGTCTCCAAACCTGGTAGAAGTACAAAATCGGAAAAATGGGAGTACGATTTATGGAAAATCCTTACTGCGCCGCTTACAGGCAATAGCGAGGAGACTTTGTTCCGATAACCCCGGCAACCACCGGACCTGGCAATTCCAAAAAAATGTAAGAAAACTGTAATTATTAGTTAATGCTTTTACTATAATGATCGTGTAGGGCTTCGCAGGCGTTAAAGTAAACCGAAGTAGCTGTCGGTTAAACTTCAGTTTTTGGCAAGAGGAGAGCACCTGAATTGATCCCGATCCGCGCAGTTAAAACAACATCATGAGCTGACCGGAAAGTGAGCGGGACTGCCAGCAGCGCTGAACCCAGTCTGCAAAGCTCGACAGCGTGGTCTACGTTCGGCAAGGGTACACCACTGGAGATCTATATAAGGGAAATAAAACACCAACTGAAGAATTTTACAGTACGCCGAGAATATGGTTAAGAAGCAACATCGCACCATATAACAATCGCCAATCGTTTCCACTTTATATGCATTAAAATCGTGGACGATGCCGTCGAAATTTGAATGAGTGTCGTTCAGGATGCTGATCAACTCAATGGGAGTGCAACACCGTAGAAGGACGGCAAAAGCTGGAATATCGCTAAACAGAATGGAAACGCTGCTGAAGGACTCCGCGGTTATGGGTTCTTTATTTCGCAGACGCTGAATAATCGATCTGCAAAAATCCCGAATTTGTCTACAAGTTCATGGTACATTTTATACAAACGTAATACTTACCGTGGAAGTATCTCGGCAAGGAGCGAATCGGATTTGCGCATCTCGTCCACCAAATCAGCTGTCTTGATCTTGACCTTTTCCTCCAGATCGTGCGCCTGTCGGTCCAGCTGCGATAGCATGTGTGCGACGACGTTTTTCGGCAATTTCGGCAGTTTCCGAAAGACTTGTAGGATATTATGGCATGTGGGACGCAACGAGGGATCGGTGGATAAGCAGCTTTCGATGATCGTATTCAGTTGAATTAAATTGTCCTTGGTTCTGGTATCTGCTGTGGCTAAACAAAATTAATAAATATTTATCGACATTTATGTGTTCGTAAATCTCGTATGATGCGACGACTGCGGAAAGTCGGACGCTACCTTGTGAAGTAATAACATCGCTGCATATTTTCCCAAACTGAAAAACATCATCGCTTCGAGATCCGCTTGTTGTTTTGGTATCACTCGACAACAGATTAAAGAGTCGCTGATAACCAGCTTGGCCAACTTTTAGCGTAAAGCGACTGTTGATAAAACAGGCACGCATGGACAGATGGCCGTGATAATGGAGCGGCGACGTATGTATATAACAGATGCCCTACAAAGGTCAATGCATTGCAGTATTTATTATTTCATTTATTCATTATTTTGTTATCCTTTATATGGCGGAAAATTTTAAGTTTTACGGACCTTTAAAAAATCGTACACAAATGATAGCCGGATGGACATATCATTCAAAATGTTCTTCTGCGTCATTATCTCCCATAAACTTCCTCGATATGAATATTCGCCCATTAGGTAATCCGGAATTCCGCTTGCATTCACAAGCGCTCCATAGAAAATACCGACGTTTTCATTGGTTAATCGGTGCATCTATCAGCAGGATGATCAACTTAATAGCAGCTCACATTTACAAGTTCAACGTTCTGTTGTACTCGATTACAGAAATCTGCTGACTCAAAAATACAAACGCGAACTAACAATCAGCAGGTGACTGGTAAGTGAATTGTTCCGAAACCAGGTTTTCAGGGAGGTGTTGCTGGAAATACGGAGAAAATGAACAGGCTGGTGCTCCATCTGAAGACTATTATCGCTGTATGACACTATCTGCTTTCCGTCGAAGGATTCGTTTGTCGATTCGAACGTCAACAGAGACTCTTTCAGGAACATATGCGATATAATTAGGCGGTTCGCTTTACGCCTGCAGCAGAGTTCCAGATTTAGTTTATTCGTCCACAGTTTATGATATATCAATAAAACAGTTCCTTGAAAAATGCGCAACATAAATTTCTGCAGAACGCCGGAATGGTTATTTTCATACTAATTAACTCGTCTACTAAATAGCACAATTCGGAACGGAAACACGTACCGATACAGCCATCCTGCGAACAGTGATATTGCAATAATAATCAGCAGTGCTACGCCGGCAAATATTGGTCCCAAATTTACTGCAATATAGATATTTCAGAAACGCTATAACCACGATGCGATATCAACATGCCCCAGTAATTTAAGCACTTGAATGATCCGGGCAGTGTTGACCGTCAAAGCCGCACACTGGATAGTTGGACGGAAACTGGGTTTGGTTGTGCCATGTCCAAAGGTCACGCTGGACAACGTCGATGGTTCGGTTTTCGGCATCAAACACCGCAGCCGTCTGCATGAAAGCCAGGAAGTTTTTCTGTTATATTATGCAAGCGTGAAGCGACGAATCAGTATGATATTCATTGTATGTATGTACATACCTCCATCTGCCCATTCGCTGTATTGAGCCGCAGGATGGGTACCCGGAAGGCGGCACTACCGTCCCGTGCTAATTTGGTCACACTCGAGGGGCGATTGTACATTTGGTCTTTGAGGCGCTGAGCAAACGTTCGAGGCCGGAAGTACTCCGCATTGTCCCAAGATCGATTCACTGCCTAATTCACAGTTCATTACGCATCATGTGAATGTATTAACAAAGTGTGGTATCTGTTTACTCTGATATCTCACCTCAGCGAAATTCATCAACAGGTCGTACATGATAGCCGGTGCTTCGTTTCGCTACAACCGATCAGCAAACAAGCAATATAACGATTACGTCCGATAGTACTTTAGAGCACAATGCTGTCAACGTTTATAAGCGCTTACGATCTTTTCTGAAGGCAGAGTTACGTTGTACACATCCACAGATATGCGGGCAATGTCGTCAAATAAATCATCACCTAAATCATCCCACTGTACTCCAAATGATGCGACAGCGATAAGCGACCGAAAAGCTTGAAATGCCAGCTGCAATAAATTTTATTGAATTAATAAACTAAATAATTCGTTCGTTGACAAAATATATTCCGTTACCCCGTCGTCTTCCTCATTTTCTCTCCATGTAATTCGATAGGGGACGCCGGGTTCGAGATCAAATGCCAGTGTTAAGAACACCTGCGACGTACAAATGTGTTATGCATTAATTGAAATTCTGATACCAACACTTGTTACACAACGGAATAAAAGCCCTTAATTACTTACGTATTCTCCGTTTGTCATATTCATTTCGTGGGCGACAATCTGCAAATATACCAATTTAGTCTACAAACAGAAGGACTGATGACAACTCCTTCGAGTTATACCATGAACTGGCGAACAAGCTGCGGGTACATGAAAACAATTATCACTGCAATCAAACAAATATTAATGATCATAGCTAACGGCACCGATGAGGCTTTGGTCTGGGCATATTTACCACGCGTCCGAGTGCGCATAAAGGTCAGGACCTGGCGATATTGTACCGGGGAAAATTCTGTTACTTCCGGGTCAAACACATGGAACTGATTGGCACCGACTTTGCTGTACAGTTCACTTTGGACGAAAGCATCACAAAAAATAGCCGGTACAAAAATACCATGCGTCGGACACCATAAACCAATATTCCTGGTCCATCCGAAATGCAGCAAAAGAGCGGCTACACCGGCTTCCAGGGTCGCCGCGGGCATTGTTCCTAATTCTGCCATGGTAGGGAAATTCTGAAACTGATCCAAGTCTCCATTCGCGGGACTTAAGCTCAAAAACAGCAAATCAGCCGCTGCAATAATATAGTGATTAGATTAAGGTTAGATGTCACTAGTCGGAGATCAACGCTACAAAAACAGTAAGAGCATATTACGTAAATCGTCAACAACAAACAAACGTGGCTGAATGACTTTGGTGGACTTAGTAAAATTGCGCGCCTGATTGGCGCTCGTGTTAACTTTTAGATATGTCTTTTCCTATTAAAGAGCGCAAGTCTACTAAGTATCACATCGACGTTTGTTTAATTTAAATTGTAGGTCGCTGTAAACGATGCTAAGCTTGAGCTACATTTTAAAGTATTTTATTATGAGCATTTATACTTATAAAGAGCATGCATAACCTACCGGTAGTGAATTTGGCTAGCTCCAACTGCGCGCTATCACACCAGTCTGCAACAACGAGTTTTCACTATTTATTTTGTTAACATGGACAAACAATAAAGGACTTGCCAAAATTGCAAATGCCAAAGGGTTCTGGCTGTCTAAGTTGGTGACTAGTATAAAGTTTAAATTAGGATCTATTGTTTCTGTTTACCAACAGCAAGGATCAGCAGGAGACTTTCGTTCAAATCCCTTTGTAGCGCTCTCAGATGCTGGTAATAGTATGCTGAGACAAAGGGCATAATAGCCTCGTACGCATAATCACAAGGATATGAGTATCCTTGTTTCGGCATGTACTGTGCCAGGTTCAAAATCGGAAGGACTGTCAAATGATTCGAAACCAGCGGATATTTTTTCCGTATTGCAGATAATGTGGCATCGTACGCGGGCATCATAACCTCGTACCCATAGACATCGCTGTTGGACATCATCACAGTTGCAATGGTAATATTTAAGCATCGCACATAGTGTAAGGAAAACAATATAAAAAAACCAAATCGCAGATAGCTGCGATGCTGGGCGCATAATAACAGACGATAAACTTTAATGCACAAACTGGTGGACGAATTTGTTCAGCTAGGCCGCCCAGTAATAAGACTTGAATTGCTACTGTAAAGGCTCAACTAGTAAAAATACTGTACCTCTGTAACAGCAATGTAGCTCATGGAAATCAGCTCTAACGCAGAGCAGATACGGTTATAAGAAATATCCGAAGCAGGTGGAAACACACGATCAGCGTAATATTGTTTGTACATCGCCTTTTGCAATGGGATATCAATAAGCATGGTGTACATATGTGTGTAACGGGTATCAAAAATGAACCGGATGCCATTTCCGTATGCGTGGGAGATGAAACCTCCGATCACCGATTAGATTTTAATACATAAATCGGCTGTTCCCATTTATCCCGTACAACTACCCACCAAGCAGAAACCGACCTGCTCCAGCCAACAGTAAGATCAATGACACTCAAACAGTGAAATTCAGTGGCGTTTCCAGTCACAAACCATAAAATTTCTAAAATACGACACTTAAAAAGACCGCCTTTTTCAAAATCTGCAGTACAAGAGTCAATATTTTGTTTCATGAACGACGACGATCAAATGAAATAACACTTAACCACAAATTTCACTGCCTGTGAGCGCGTACAGTCGGGTAAACATTCGCACCTCCGCATGCATATAAGCGATCCCGGCTGGAAACATTGAAAAAACTAGTGTCGTCAACGCCGGGATAGCTGCAGGCTGATTTTGGAAGCGTTTGTTTCTCAGTGGCACTATCAATGGTAGCATCAACTTCCCAACTTATTTCCTGCATCGCTTGGTCATAGGATACGGTATGTTCGACTGCTTCGGAAAATAATCATCCGTGCTGTCTGGTGCGCCCAATTATATCATTCCAGTCGAAATTCCTTCGGGGTTATAGGCATTATACGAAATGTAAGGTGTCTCAAACTTCCGCTTAGCCCATGTTTCCAATGGTCCCGTACCGGCCGTATGTTCCATTATCACTACAGCAAGGAGGTTACAGGCATCATGTTTCCAAACGTTCGCCCGTTCTTCCCGGGGAAGTTTGCGTTACATGTACTGTACAGCGAAGATGTAACTGCTTTTCGCTCCATTTAATAAACGCACTAGCCGCTTATTCAAATGGGCCGCAAGCAAAGAACGGTCGTCGCTCAATAGCCATATCGGAAGGTGAGTTGGACATGTTGACGTACGACCAGACATCGGTAACGGCATCGTAGATCTCCATTGTATGCGAGCGGCAGTGCTTCTTGTCGTCCCACGACCAACCACCATACGCGTAGATTCGGTTGTTCGAAAAAAATGCGCATAAATGCGATCGAGGCTCTAACAGCGAACCGATGACCTGCCAGCTTCGCGTATCCATGTCCAGACGAAGACATGACTGCAGTGGTATGTCGTCCGTGTCTTTATTTATTCCACCCAGGACGTAAATGCTACTGTCCAGGGCAACAAGAGCAAAGCGCGCTCGGGTTTCGGGAAAGTCAGGCAAAGAACACCACGTGCTGGTTGCTGTGTCGTAACATCCGACCGTCATTTCTTCAGCGTTCTTAACGAACCCAAGAAAAATAATTGCATCTCCAGCATACACTGCGTTTTCTATATGTGCAACAGCCTACAAAACAGCTGGTAATATCAAGCGAACTGAGCATGAGTTACATATCTATTTATACCTTTTGGGTTCTGATATTGGAGGTTGCGGCAAACATACATTCGTGCCGCCCACCAAGTCCGCGACCTTAAATACCGGTCCCGTTGATTTGCCCCCAATGTCCCAGTAAAATATTTTCTGGTGCACGGCTATTGGGCAAGTCATAGTTGCATATGCAAAGCGTAGCTCAACGTGACGATCGGTGTTGGTTTCCAGATTCCACATGATTGGATAAAACGGGCTGTAATCATCATCTCTAATTTGGCACAGTATTTCTTTGTCCACAATTATGAACTGAAGATCGAAGCTTTTGCGCTGTAAGGAAGTAGGCAGATCTATTCGTTCCATATGATTCGTATGCCAATCAAATATCTGAACAGATATTGTCGATATTGTCGAATGCTCCGTGGTAAAAGATTTCGCAAAAAATATTATCACATTAGCACTGGAGTCTGTTGAGGCTCTCGCAGATATTTGCGGCGAAGTCGAGACCTTCACTTCGGCTCCATTTTCTGGCGCAGTCGGTGAGTGTCGATAATACACCAGTGTATTGTTATTTTTCGCTGGGTTTTCTAAACCGATTTCTTGCAGTAAACTAAGCAACAGAGAATGCACTTCGCCAGCTGGTTGGCGATGTCGCGGCGTAGTACATAAACAACACTGAATACATGATGCAAATTCGGCGCATGCGCCGTCCGGAAGGCACGGGACACAGCCGTCAATTAGCAACGTCATAAATCGGCAGTCGGGAATCTGGTTTCCTGCAGCTACGTAAATGCCGTTGTGAAGCAGCCGTTTCTCTTAATTCCCTGTAACCACTTCCACCAGATCTAGCAGAATGCAACCTAAGCTCCATATGTCGGTCTTGCGTCCAGGAATTTCTGCTGGCAGTCCTGCAAACTTTCTTAACATTTCTGGCGACATGTAACGGGGCGTACCCCGCAGGCGCTGAATGTCGGCTGACCATGTGGATGTGCGCTGAATTTGCACAAGATCATCGAGGTCGCCAATAAGGACTCTGTGTACGCTGTTCGGCAGTGACATTAACAAGATGTTTTCCGGTTTAAGATCTCCATGAATTATCCTGCGGTCGTGGAGAAATGCGAGTCCGTCCGCCATCTCCAGCCCGTACTGAATGGTGTTGGCTTTGCCAAGTAGAATTTTGCTCTGCCTCATTTTGTTCAGGAAAGTTGCCAAGTCACCCCCTAAAATGAACAAATTAAATAAGCGTCAGTCAGTGGTTGGCGAGCGCGTTTAATGGCTGAATTTAATGGACCCGTCTAAGCAATCGAATGCTTTATTTTGTTGCAAGCGGCTTTCCAGCCAATGTACCTATATAAATCATTTGGCTATGGAAAACAAAATCAAGCAAACAAATAGTGTTTCGGGATGCGCGAAAGCGAAAGGTGCGAAGAATGTGTGGAGAATAAAACGTTGGCGCTGTGTGCTGTGTATCGTACCATTTCGTTTATCAGTGTGCCGGGCGAAAGTATCGAGGATAAACCATGAAATTCCTCCTACTGCAGTTACCGTTGTGCATGGCACAGATAGGACTTTTACCTGTGCAGTAATCCATCATTAGCTCTATGCATGCTCCTCCAGGCGCTCGCGTTAGAGTAACTTTGTGGTACAGCACGATATTGCTGTGATTAAGCGCAACCAGTGTATCAAATCGCCTGTGCATTTTCACCAGATAATCCTCGCTATCCACGGTGTCTTTATCCAAATGCACCACTTTAATGGCCACAATTTCCGGTCCAGCAAAATCCCCGCGGTAAATAATGCTGGCTTGATAGACAATCCCAAAGGTTCCTCGACCAATAAAGTCTGAGTTGCCGTAGTTGTACTTGCAGCTGCTACCAAATATCGTTATTTCAGGTTGGTTCCCGGTTGATTCAGTTTCGCTACTGTGCGGACCCCGGTCCATAACTATACTGCATGATCACGAGCGATAGCGCATACCCATTATCAGTGCATAATGGATTACTGTATTTCTTTATCCCATTTCAGTGCAAAGTTAAAAGAAGCTTTAAAACTGTTACTGGTCTATACGGCTGTTTTGCGCTTCAGTGTGGTTAACACACACAGAAATCCAGCACAGTTATCCTTATCAAGATATTTTAATAATGCGGCGAATAACGAGTTCTTTTTTACAAACTTATAGCATCAGTATGCTATGAATGAATTAATTGAAACGCATTATCACCGGCAGCGTACCGTCCGGCTTGAGACTGCTATCAGACAGATTTGCTGTGTTTATTCTGATCAAACTTATGATTGCCTCGGGGTTTGACGGTTTGGTAAATAAACTAATAAACTGCATAGTACGACTGCAGATATCCTGCAATGATAACACTGCACTTCCATGGCCATTATGATTTATCTGAACGGAAGTGAAGTCAATGCTGTCTAAAACTGCGGTAACGTACCTTCTGCGGTAACGGCAACGAACAGTGCCGTATGCTGATAAACATTTCCCAGCGATGAATGCACACTCTAATTGTACATTGTATATATTGTAGGTTAGTGTACCTATTGAATCATCATTTCGGGGATATTTAACCAGACGATGCACATATTTTCATAATAGTGTGGCAATGTTTGCATATATACTGGCCACTGAAGCAACTCAAGTTTTTGCTCAGGTATATAAATTTAGATAACCGGAAAGTGCAAGCGGTAAGGTCTTATCCTGTTATCATATGTAGATTATGAACCCTTTGTATGAACCATGAAGTTTTCTCCGTTGGCTGACGAATTCTTTTTAATAAAATCTTTTTCCAGTTTGACGAACAAATTGTAATTTTGCCCAGTGATACAAAAATTTTATGATCATACTGTACATTCAACGTCGAAATTTTGTTTAGCAGTATGTACATATAGCACAATTAAAATAACAAGGAAAAGTATACTCGTATTTTGTAAAAATTTGGCATGGAGTATTTGGCTTATGATTTGCCATGGCATAGTATTTTTGCAAAAATTGACTATACAAACAGTCAGTTCCCATGCGAAATCCAGTAAAAGAACGACGGAGAACCACATTTCCCACCATATGAAAATTCGCGTAGACAACCCGGACCCACGAGCTGTGTAAAGTGATGAAATCAAAATCCCAAAAAACGCTTAAAAATGCTAGTATCTGTGCTTAGATGATAAAAACTTACAAGCGGTTACGTTGTTTACCTGCCGGAAAGTGCATTTCTGCATTCGGATACGATGCAAGTTCATGATAAACCATTTAATTTGGCCGTACGCTGTCGCGCTTTCCGACGACTGTTTCCAACCAGTATGTATTAATGGTTCCCTTTCCCTATGAATGAATGCACGGACATGTAAAAAAATACACGAAACAATACTATATTAACGGTGCAATTTCGACACGCAACTAAACGCCCTCGCCAAAACCTACGGAGTACGATTTAGTCACTTACCTTAACAGCGATTTCCCCACGGTCCTCAAATTTCAGTGCAGGGTTTTTTAACGCATCGGCATACGTAGTCGCACTCACGTGAATTTTGCCAGCTGAAACGGTCATTCGAATTATGCTACCAATCTTTTAACCTTGGCGAAATATGATGAAAGTTTTCGTAATGAAAATACCGGTATTTCAATACTCTAGACCGCGCCCTGTTACAAAGTGCTGTGATACAGCACTTTTTGAGTGGTCAAGTCTTCCTACCGGTTCCGGTGGATTCCATTCTACTGGCAGTATTCACAGTGTCTCCAAATCTAATAAAACGCACCAGGAAACTGGAACTTGTACCATGAATCTACTTGTACATGTCAAGAAGATCAGGAAATTCTAAGCAGTACTTAACACTTCGAGTAACCGAGCACAGATTGTTCTCGACTTACAGACAGTATCTCGGAGATTTCGTTCCGATCACCCCAGCTACTAGCGGACCTGACGAATATATGGAAAAAGTTTTAGCCTGATAAGAGCGAGCAAATATTGGCTTTGTAAGGGTACAGCTTCAATACATGAACGATAGCAAAGACGAAGCGATGCTAGTTTAAGCAAAAACATACCCGTGTTGATCCCAATCCGAGCAGTTAAGGCAATGTTCGGTACGGATGCGGCATGAAAAGAACGCGATACACCAATCAGAGTATGAGCTAACATGCACAATTCCACGGCGTGGTCAACATTTGGTTGCGGAACGCCGCTGGAAATCTGTCAAGAGTGTAGGATAAAAGTTTCGGTCAAAGTTATTTTCGGAGTTTCAGCTGAGCTATTGGTAAAGTCGTAAAGAATAAATGGCTTAACCAAATACGATATCAAAATTTTCAGTTTTAAATGCGGAAATTAGTGGCAACCGTGATCTATGGTAAATAAATTCGAGTATCACATTTACGTTGAACCATAGTAACATTTGTATCATGCTGTAATACATATTGTGATGACCACTTACCAAATAAGAATCGCTAATGGTTTCCACTTTATAAGCGTCGAACTCATGAACCACACCATCGAACTTTGAATGGGTGTTGTTCAGAATAGTTATCAGCTCTATAGGTGTGCATAACTGCAGCAATATGGCAAAAGCCGGGATATCACTGAATAGGACCGAAACACTGCTAAAAGACTCCGCGGTGATTGACTCTTTATTTTGAAGTCGCTGAATTATCGATCTGCAACCGAAAAACCTTTGCAGCAAGTTTACGTGAAATACATAGCGTTCCGAAAAAGTACCGCGGAAGTATTTCAGCAAGCAGTTGATCTGATTTGCGTTTTTCATCAATCAAATCGGCCGTCTTGAGTCTAACTTTCTCCTCTAAATCGTGAGAATGCCGACTCAGAAGTAAGAGCATGTGAGATACGACGTTTTTTGGGAGTTTTGGCAGTGTACGAAAGACTTTCATGATATCTTGGCAAGTTGGGCGGTGAGATAACTCCAAAGAAGAGCACCTGGCGATAACTTCATTCAAGGGAGTCGTGTTTATCGTAGTCTTCTCTCCTGTGACAATATTCGTATAATCGGATTAGTGCTATCAATTTAGCATAAAATGTACGTGATACTGATACAAACAGGAACGCAATTTGCCGAGGCAGTGTGCAAACACTACTCGTAGTAAAGTGCACTGCAGTTCGCATTACCTGTTTGATGTAAAACATCACTACATATCTTCCCGTAGCTAAGTATATCGGCATTTCGCGTTCCGGCATCTGTTGCCTTGTTTGTTGATAATATACGGAATATCTCGTGATACCCGGTTTGGGAAATTTTCAAGGTGAAACGACTGTTGATGAAACAAGCGTTCATGGAGAGACTGCCGTGATAATGCAGCGGCGATGTGTGAATGTAACATAAGCCCTGGAAAGCTCAATTCGTTCACACTCAAGAACCGCGATTACAGATCACAATGTATACAGTTTATTACGAACTACACTGGTAAGCGATACATACCTTTATTACGTCATACAAAAAGGAAAGCCTAATTAATAAATCATTTATAATGTCCTTCTGCATGATGATATCCCATAAACTGCCACGTTGTGAATATTCACACAGTAAATATGCAGGGAGATTTGCATTATTTGCAACCACTCCATAGAAATCGCCGACATTTTCATGCGATAATCGATGCATCTGTAAGACAGCATGCCATATTATGTGTGACGAAACAGTGGATTAGGAAGCAAGTGGATAAGTTCCGGAAAGACTAACCTTGAGCAAGTGATTTGTAAGAGAGCGATTGTGAAGCCACGCTTCAGTTGGACTGTCGTCGGACAAACGGATAAAATACGCCGATTGCTCTTCTAACCTCGGTGTTGCTTCCGCATACGATATCATCTGCCTGCCATCGAGTTTTTCGCTTGATGTTTCGAAAGTTAGCGATGAAAAATGTAGGAACATATGGGACACAATCGAACGATTGGCTCTTCTCCTACAAGAAAATATAATTACGATGAAGTATCAAAATACCGATTCGTTGAATTAAAACTGTATGATTCCACCAGTTACGATCAGAACGAAACACTACTTCTGCTTTGGGTAGGGCTTGATATAACTCCGTATACCGGGATGTACGTACATACGAATATATCTGTACGATCCTCCTGAGTCAGTAAAACTAAACAAGGAATTCACCACACTAAAATGAATGAAATTTACATACTCGTACCGATAGAGCCATCCTACGCTGAGAGCTATCACAACGATGGTCACCAGTGCGGCACTTGCTAGGATAGGTCCCAGATTTACTAAAAGGATGTAACCATTATAACCACGCTGGTGGAGCCTACCAACCAGCAACCTTAAAACATAAATAAATAATTTATATAAACCTAGATCAATCGGACAGCTGTATCCATCAAATCCACAAGTTGGATGATTCGATGGAAAGCTGGTCCGGTTGTGCCATATCCACAATGCCGTGTTGACAGTAATTACGGCATTCTTTTCCGTATCGAAAACCGCGGCTGCCTATGCACAATTTAGTCCATTGTTGTAATGTGCTGGATGTTGGCAGTTTCCATAGTTTCGTAAGCTCGTTGCTGATTGTAACTTGTACATTACGCTTACTTCCATTTGCCCATTGGCTGGATTTAATCGCAGAATCTGGACGCGGAACGCTGCACTACCGTCCAGTGCAACCTTGGTCACACTGGACGGCCGGCTGTACAAGTACATTTTCAGGCGTTGAGCGAACGCTTCCGGGTTGAAGTACGCCACATTGTCCAGTGAAGTGTTGACAACCTGTTGGAAATCGTGTCATTATCCTCAACTGAAGAGCAGTTCGTTACACAAGCCTACCTCAGCAAAATTCATGAGGAGTGTGTACATTATTCCTGTTGCGGCATTGCGCTGAAACATTCGGATAAAATTGTGTCAATGTGACAACTTCAAACCATATTTCTAAGGGTTTCATAGCAAAATGGCGTGTCATAGCGTGGGTGTTACACAATGCTTACGATGCGTTCGTAGGGCAACGTTCGATTGTAGACATCCCTTGAAATTCGGTCAGTATCGACGAGGAGTTCGGTTAAATTATCCCATTTCACACGGAATCCGGTTACGACGATGAGCGAACGAAATGCTTGGTAAGCTACCTGAAATTTCCCGACAAAAAAAATCTTTTTTGAAACTAACTGCACTTCGCATTCGGGCCTTGTTTACCTCGTCATCCGTATTGTCCGCCCGCCAAGTAACTGGAGAGGGAATGCCCGGTTGGAGGTCTAACGCAATTGCTATAAACACCTGCTAAGGGTAAATTTCTTCAGCTGCAACATTTGTAAATGGCAGAAAAATTCTGTTAATCATTTACGTAATCTCCATTCGTCATGTTCATTTTGTTGGCAGTGATCTAAAATAGTATTATGTATGAATTTGAGTATTATTTGTACAATTGTAGTGAATTTTAAAATAATATTACCATAAACTGACGTAACAGTTGCGGGAACAGGAAGACCAGAATCACTAGAAAAGAGTATAAGTCTTAAGCTAACAAAAAAAGCGTAGCTGTCGGTTCAAAATTACCGCGAGTTCGGGTACGCATAAAGGTTAGCGCTTCCCGGTACTGTGTATCCGAAAAACCTGTCGTCTCCGGATCATAAACATGGAATTGGTTGGCGCCGATTTTACTGTACAGCTCACTTTTGACGTAAGTTTCACAAAAGACAGCCGGTAAGAGAATTCCATGCTTTGGACACCAGAACCCAATATCTTTCGTCCACCGAAAATGCAGCAATATAGCTGCCACACCGGCAATTAACTTTGCAGCGGGCATCGGTCCAAACTCCACCATTGTCGGATAACGTTGAAACTGTGCTAATCCGCCATTGGCTGGGGTGGAAGCCAGAAAAAACACATTGGCTGCTGTAATACAAAACATGCCCATGCTTGCACCAAGAGTGATAATCCTCGGTGTACGGAAAAAGCAAACAATATTCTATTTATTTATTCTGCCACTATTGTATTTTAAACTGCTTTAGCACTTTATCCGTGATCTTTTTTAAGAAACTTTGAGAAATTAGTAATTTATATAAGTATTTTGTGCCGTTCTTTCGTTTATAATCGCAAGTCGAATTTGAGATTCACCGGTAGCAAACTTTGCTAACTCCAGTTGGGCATCGTCGCACCAGTCTGCAAAAAGTCAGTACTTATAACGATCGGCACAATTATCAGACCTATCCGTAGAGTATGAATTTATTTTGAACTGATTCCACTTACCCATAGTCAAAATTACCGGGAAATTTTCGCTGGAATTCTGTTTGAAGAGAGACAAATGCTGGTAATAGTGTGCTCCAAAATATTGTATAATAACCTCGTACGCATAATCGCACGGATACGAGTAACCTTTAATGGGCATGTACTGTGCAAAGTTCAAGATTGGCAAATCGTTCAGATGCACAGAAACGTCGGGGTAGTTGTTCCTTAATAAAGATAACGTAGCGTCGTACGCTGGCATCAGCGTCTCATAACCAAAACCCTCGTTGTTTGTCATCATTACGGGCACAAGCGTAATATTTATACAACACGTACATCCCGTGTAGTGGACCAAGAAGAACGCAATGATGGTTAGACGACGTTGCAGACGCATCGCAGACAGTGTTAAGATTCCCGGCAACCAGTAACGATTGAAAACATAAACCGGACGAAAATTATCTTTTGACGACGTAGTAGTCCATCGTTCTGAAAGACGTAGCAGACTGGGGAAATACTGAGCAAAATGGCTACTGGAATGACTCGTAATACGATACCATGTTTGTTAGCAAATCTGTTTGTTCAGGAAAATAGACAGAGTTCTAGTTTGATCGACGCATGGTTAAATGTTAATAAATGGCTACCGGTTCCACAATATCAAGCGTTCTACGAGCAAATGTTTTCTTTCCACCTACGCGACCACACCTATGGTTTTACCTGATGTTTGTTGTGGCAGCTAAAAGGCCAAATCAAGTGGAATTTGCTCAGAAAATTCCAGCATTACAGCAATTTTGCTGTAATGGCTTGTCAGCGTTTGCGGGACCGAGATACGTCGAATGCTCTGTGCGGATTGTGCTCACTGTCAATTTCCTTACAATGTACACTGCGCAAGTGCCCGTGCTGCGAACAGTGAAGTGCTCTAATTTGCTTACGCCATGGAAGTACGTCATTATTGTAATTTCAGTTTTGCAGCTACTTCACTGTCTTTACAACAGTAAAGTACGTACGGTAGTTTGTCAATATTTGTGAGCTACAGCGTAAAACAAAATTTTAAATAAAGATTGATTTAGGATCAATTTGGCGGCAGATTTGCCTGCCACATCTAACGCAGTACACCGCACAACAAACGCAAAGAGTTGGAAAAAAATCGTTTTTCAGCTGGTCTTACAAGTTTTCCAGAATACGGCGTTCATCATGCCGTATGTATGTAGTTGTCATGCGCACAATAATGCAAAGTAGTACTAACGAAAGCGGTAATGCGTTAATGCTCCGTACAGCCAACAAATATTAATTCACAATCAAAATTACGAATTCTTATTCGGCCTTTGCAACTTTAACTGCACGGCAATAAAACGCTTTTGCAATTCAAACACATGTTTATTTCATCAAAGTTATTTCATAATGTTACGATAGTGATGATGTTAACACCCTAATAAGTTCTGAATTTCGAATCGGAAGGAAAAATTTAGTAGTAGAAAACCATCTGGCCATATCTTAAATAAGGCTGTTTAGATTGCGTATTGTTGTTGTACAGAGGGCTGTTGCCGCTAAATCTGCAAGTGTTATTTTGTTGCAGTTACGAAGTAAAGTGACAAAGTTAGACGGTGTCGTTCGGTAGATGGACACTACTGAAATAACTGCTCACAATTTCAACTCACAACTTGACCAAGCAAGTCTATGCCCAGAATCTTTTTTCTGGAGAAGACTGTTAACACGTCTTTGTACGACAGTTTATTTACGACGCGAAGACTCGTAGTGAAACGAATGGAGGCGTTTGAACAGTTAACATAAAACCGATTTAAATTCATATTGTCTGTGGAATTAAGCTATTTAGCCAAAGGCGCCGGAAGTATATGCGTAGACACCGCTAACATCAAATTCCGGAACGCCGTTCTTATACAGAACCGCTCCGCCGTACGGTGTCACCGGGAAGTTTAGTTTCTCAGCCAAAGCCTTAACGGACGGATTATCATCCAAGCAGTCGAACTGCACGTACTCAATCCCTTCCGGTAATGCATTGATCATAGCCACCGCCAATTGTTCGGCCACATTCAGGCTATCGGCAAACAGCGGTCCAAACTTACACCATTTATCCCCGATGCATTTGCGCAGCGCTCCATACCCGTGAATCACCCCATCCTTCACGTACACCAACGCGGACGTAACCTTTGGATGTGTCAACCAAGCGTGGAGGAATTTCTCGCGGTCTGCCGGGAAATATCGCCGATCAAAATTCAATACCTCCTTGAAATCCACATCTTTCAGCGGAATAATGTACGCCGGATTGTAACCTTCGGGCAGCGGCAGTTTTTCGGGATTTTGCTTCCGGTAGATGGATGCCGTCCCGGTTTGCGCGAAACCTTGTCGTTTGTACCATTCCGTCATATGCGGGGCGGCGTATAGACCGATGACCCGATCTCCGCAGTGCGCGATGCTGGCGTTGAAGACTTTGGTGCCGAAGCCCTTGCCCTGATGTTCATCAAAGGTCATGAAAGTCCCAATGAACGCGAATTTGTCGTTGTGGTTGACGGCAGAAATCATGCTGACGATTTCGCCGTTCAGGAGACCGACGTAATTTCCTTCTGGATCAATCAAGGAAGAAAACGTGACGTGCCCATAACCGGCTGGCCAACCGTTCTTGGCCGCCATGTCGTACAGCGTGGTCTCCAGCTTGTTACGGAGTTCATTGGTATCGCAGCAGCGTACCTCAAAGTCGGTACCTGTGTACTCTTGTTTGATCGGTTTTTCTGTTGACTGAGCCATTTCGAAATGTTAGAAAAACCAAATAAATGGGGAGCTAGCAATGATTACAGCCACTCAGTAAAGTTATGGATCGTCAGCGTATGTGTGCGCTTGTAGACCTAGCAAAAGTTTTCAGCTTGGCAATGGGCGTACATACGCGCTCCGTGCACGAGCAGTATATTGTCTATGCGAGATGAAAATGCTGCTACAGCAGTTAAGAAGATTATTTTGTATGCCTTATCAGCATTTTGCCGATTGTACACGTTATCTGATACAACCTAACAATAGTTACTTATGAATCGCACTGATAGATTCGTTCTGCATGAACCGTAATTAATTTACTGATAGGGAATCGCGGAAACGAAAAGTTGCGTAATTTGCCATGCATTAAAAATGATCCCGAAAAGCTTATACTGTAGAGATAAAGCTAATGTTTATTGACTTTTTATTTGGCTTTGGCTGTCAAAGATTACAGATAGACTGAGATAGCTCATAGAAGTATCGCTTTTTAAACAGCAGCGAAATAATATGTACAAAACACGTTGGCATCGCGCTGGTCGACATATTTATTGGTGCTTCTTCTCATTGATACTGTCCATCCAGTAAGTGTGCACTAATCCTTTTCCCTGTTAACGAAAATCGCATTTATTCAGATTCGGGTACGTACTTTCACTAAACAACTTTAAATGACTGAGTCTGACCTTTACGGTGATTTCGCCGCGTGAGACAAAATTCAACATCGAGCTTTTCACGGCAGCTTCGTACGTTGTCGGGCTAACATGAATTTTTCCCACTGCAAAATCACATAATTGAAATACAAACCTGGGTGTATCGCTGTTAACCCGCTCGACGTGAATTTTAAGGCTCACCGGATCCAGTAGATTCCATTCGACTGGCCGTGTTAACAGTATCACCAAATCTGTCAGACAATAACATATTTATGAAATCTTCCCTTCTCGTATGTAGTTCACAACTCGACTGTTCAATGATTACTCACAAACAGTATCGAGGAGATTTGGTTCCAATAACACAGGCCACTACCTGTCCTGCAATGATCCACAAGTTTGCGATTATTCAGCAATGATACATATATCTTTATATTCATACAAGCTTACCGACCAAAGCGTATTTATGCGCCGTTTTTAACTCCTCGATAACTCGTGGTCAGTTTAAGCCTAGCTTGGTCTTAAAAAATTCCATATTTTCCATAGGTGTGCCAATGGATTTTGTTTTGTTTTAATTACCAGTGGTCAGAAGATGGTTTCTGGGTCTTAAGTATAGGAAACGTGAACAGCACTCGAAGAAGTATTCACTGCACAGCAACAAAAAAGTGCTTTACAAAATAATAACTGTAACCACGGAGACTACAGAGTCTGTATAGCGGATGCATAAATAAATACTTGCTCTTTAGGTAAAATTTGTATATTATTACGTCATGCAAAAGTCCATACGTATTTCAGAGCGTCAAAACGTCAGAAATTCAAAACGTAAGAACGTCAGAGCGTCATAAAGTGAGAACACGCCTACCAACGCAACGAGCGCTACAATGCCGCAAAATAAATTTGTGGGCAGCACACACATGTCTTAAAATTTTTGAATTTCTTACATTTTCTATGCTGTCTTAGGTTTTGTTAGGAGTTTTTTTTATGTTTTATTAGGTTTTATGTTTTGTCGTGTTTTTGATTTTCCGTACTCGGTAACATGGTCGGTCGGTTTTCTGTACTTTTTAACTTTAAACGGTCTGCTTCTTGGTTTCTTAGTTTTTATTTGGTTTTCTCAGACGGAAAAGCAAACTGTGGCGACAAAACAATTTTTCGAAGACATCGGGCAACAAAACTGTGGAAACGCGAATTGCCGGTCTGCGGGTTTGGTTATTCATTGATATCTCGTCATACGAAAAGTCGGGAGGCGAAACAGAAACAAACGGCCCGCGCTCAAGCTCTTACTCTGACCACTCAAAGTCTGATTCTAACTCTGACTTTCCAAAGTCTGATTCTGACAACTCAAACTCTGGCCCTCGAAGTCTGGCTCTGACCGCAACACTCTAACCACTAAACTGACCACCAATACAATATGTTTTCAGGTTTCTTCATTTTACATTGTGTTTCTTATGTTCTCAAGTTTCTTAAGTTGTTAGGTTATCCTCATTCTTAGGTTTACAGTAAATTTCTTGGGTTCTTCGGTTGTAATGTAATTCTTAGGTTATACTACCGTGACTAAGGACCCTTACGCTATTTAAGTTTCTTTAGTATTTCAAAAAACATCCTGACAATCAGAAAAATAACCCACGAATGCCGCAAGTAACCTAAGAGACCTAAAACCCGAAGAAACCTAAGAATAGCTTAGGAAACTTAAGAATAACCTAAGAAGCCTAAGAAGCCTAAGAAAACTAAGAAACTTAAGACTAACCTAAGAAACTTAAGGATAACCAAAAAACCTAAGAAGCCTAAGAATAACCTAAGAAAACTAAATAACCTAAGAATAACCTAAGAAACCTAAGAATAACCTAAAAATCCTGAGAACCTAAGAATAACGTAAGAAACCTAAGAAATTTTAAAATTTTAAGAAACTTTTGTGCTACATAAAATATTTAGAGTTCACTGCATTGGTAGGCGGGTACAGAGCGTTGGCTGGCCGCAGAGTAGAAAAAAGAAAACTGTATTTACTAGAAATAGATAAACTGTTTCTTTCACATATATCTTTGGTGTAATGGTGTTTTATGAAATAAAAAAACTACGCATAGAAATCGATTCCGTTTTATCTTTCACTTTTCTTGGTGGCAGGCCAATTTTTAGTTATTTTTGCACTTTGAAAAATTGCCATATTTTACCGCTTGCCACTCGCGAAATGCCACATGCCACTGCCGGTGGCAACTGCCAGTGGCAGGTGCCACTGCCACCTTTTACACCCTGCCGAAGTACGAACATCAGAACGTTAGAACGTCAGAACGCCAGAACGTCATAACGTTAGAACGTCACAACATCAGAACTTCAGAACGCGAAAAATTAAAATTGTCAGAACGTCAGAAATTCCGAACGTCAGCCTTTATATATTTACAATGACCTTTCCAAAGCAAAGCCAATACTATCCAGTACTTAAGTGCCGAGCGCGGATGCGCGAGGCTACCTTGTAGGTAAATGATGTTAACTGACATCAACGAATAACGTAATATCTATATACATGCTTCGTTTCGGCTTTGGTTATTTCTAACATTCGTGATCACCTAAAACACTAGCGAGAATTCGGGATCAACTTGGCCGGCTCGTACAAAACGGGCAATCACCATGTTCGCAATTATTTTGTAAACTAACTAAGAATTAGTTACAGACTGTACGCGTATAACGTTATGGCGAAATTACTCGTACATTATTCGTATAAAGTTATGGAGAGATACCGGTCATTTTCAGTAGCAATATGCAGTAAATATAGGAATACCTCTTTTCTGGACAACTACTACTCCTTTCTGCCTCACTGCTCCTACTCCTACAGGTAGGTGAACAAGTGAAAGTAAAAGAAATCGGTTCGGAAAAAAAATAATTTCGCTTTCGTATTGTAACATAGTGTCGCGCATTTCGATATCGCCTCACTATTCTCTCATTGCAAGCACTACACTACGATGCCACGCTCCTTCCATTGTATAATCTCGGTAAAATTATTATCACTGTCGGCTTAGTCTCAGACACTGTCTGTCATTATTTATTCTATTTTGGAACGGGCTTGTATGCAAGAGTACACGAAACGGGCCCAGCGGTACTATGAATGCCTATTACATAGTCCAAGGTTTTACCTGTATGAATACCAATCCTCACGGTTAGCAGAATATCTTGAGCCGCACCGGCACGGAAAGAATGCGAGGTTTTGAGCAAGGCATGAGCAAGAACGCACAGTTCCACGGCATGTTTGTCATTCCGCAACGGGACACCACTGGAAATCTATATTACCGGTACAAAAGTCATAACAATGATGACACGACGAAAACCTTATTGAACCTTTCTTCGTAACGATCTTACCATATAACAATCCCCAATCGTTTCCACTTTGTACGCATCGAACCTGTGCATCACATCATCGAACGCCGAGTGTGTATTATTCAAAATATTGATAATCTCGATGGGCGGGCAGGATTTCAGCACCTCGGCAAACGCCGGAATATCACTGAACAATATCGATACACTATCGAAGGATTCCGCCGGGATCTGCTCCTTATTACGCAGCCGTTGTATTATTGATCTGCAATGATGCCGCATTAATGTATGTTATACTTGATCGAAAGGTCAAGGTAACCGGCTACTTGGGCAGCATCTCCGCCAGAAGTAGATCGGACTTGTGCATCTCATCAATTAAATCGGCTGTTTTGACGCGAACGATTTCCTCAAGCTCGTGCGTCTGTCGATCCAGTAGCGACAGCATATGTGATACGACATTGCGCGGCACATGCGACAGTGTTTGGAAGATCTTGAGAAGCTGCTGGCTGGTGGGACGCTGCGCCGGCTGTTGGTTGACACAGTCCGCCATTGTTGTCGTCAGCTTTGTTTGATTCTGCATTATTTTGGCATCTGTTCAAACAAACATAATTTCTCCATCAAGAATTTACAAAACAGTGAGCCTTTCCATCACCTGCATCCGCCAAAACCTCGTTACACATTTTACCAAATTGGTAAATATCTTCAGTACGAGAGCCGGTGCTGAGCTTCGTCTCCGTGGAAGTGAGACTGAAAATTTTTTGGTACCCAGCTTGAGAAATTTTCAACGTAAACCGGCTGTTAATAAAACAGACGTGTGCCGAAAGGTTTCCGTGATATTGCAAGTGCGATGTGTGGATGTAATTTAACCCCTGATTAAACAAATTATAAAACGAGAAATCAGTCAATCGATATACTGAGCATAATTCTATAATTTCTGCTATTAACAGCCTACTTTGATCGCGTCGTGTAGAAACGACAGACGAATCGGTGTATCGCTTAAAATGTTTTTCTGCTGCACCACATCCCATAAACTTCCACGCTGGGCAAACTCGCACATCAAGTACGACAGGACACCGCTGTCGTTGGCAATCATCCCATAAAAGCGGCCAACATTTTCGTTCGTTAATCGATACATCTGAAAAATTGGATTTTGTAATCTTCGCACATGTAACGCAGAAGTTTACATACCGCTAAAAGTTGACTAGTCACAGCTGCGTTCTGAAACCACGCTTTCGCGGAAGTGTTGCCCACAAGGAGCTCGAGAAACACCGGCTGATTCTCCAGTTGGAGGGTTCCCTGCTGGCACGAGACAAACTGCCGTCCACTGTTCGGGCTTTTATTAGGAACATTGTCGACTGTCTCGAAAGTCAGTACGGATGCGTTAATGAACATGTGCGCAATGGCGAGCTGATTGGCTTTCCGTCTGAAATAAGTACTACGTCATGGCAAATTTGGAAGCGGTTTTTTAAAACGCCATTGAGACGTACCGGTAAAACCAGACAACTCCCAATACAATGATAATAATCAGAAATAACGCGACGATTGCGAATATCAGTCCCCAATTTGCTGTAACAATCACAATACATACTCATCTTTGAAATTGCCTTCTTCCTGATAAACCTTTTTGTGTGCAAAGATAAGGTGACCAACCGGACTCGTCTGGACAGTGCAGTCCATCAAATCCACACAACGGATCATTGGACGGAAATGTCGTTTGGTTATGCCACAGCCACATTCTCGGATTCTGCATGATGATGATCTGGTGCTCGTTATCGAACGCTCCCACTTGCTGTTGTATATAAACATCCCGGAAAATAAAGTGTTTGCGCTAACATTCGGTTGTAAGTCGCGACACGGTACCTCAATTTCCCGGCTTTCGGTATTCAGCCGCAGAATCGGTATGCGCAACGACGCGCTTCCGGTCTCGGAGCTCATTTTAATTGGACTGTCGGGCGGATCGTACATCTGGTGCTTTAGGTGATCTGCTAGAACACGTGGACGGAAATTCTCCGCGTCGCCCCAAGATTTATTCACCACCTTAAGAGTAAAAACGAAAAATGTCAAAATTTATTGTAGCGACGTGGTAAAATGCGTATTTGTTATTTCATTGCGTCATGGGTACGGTCTCGGTTCAGGAAAAAAACTTTTACACCAATTTATGCAGGATTAACTATCGAATTCTAAATAATAAGCGCACGTCAAATAAAATATTAAATCTAGTATATGCAATTTATTCTATAAGATAAATGCACGGTAAGTCCCGTAACGCGCTTTGTAGGAGGGGCAGTACTTTCAATGACTTTAATTATTGCGATCATTATAAAAATGCAATAAACGTGCGAGTGTACTGCGTATACTCACATCGGCGAAATTCATTAGGAGATGGTACATCAGCGCCAACGCTTGAGTGCGCTACAGCAGTCAATGATCAATGGTTGTAATACAACTTCCGGTACTTAAGCCAGAGCGAAATGACGTTAAAATTATTTTTTCAAGTAGTTTGTTACCTTTGTTCCCGGGGAAATGGGAAAATTGTACACCGTATTGGAAATCCGGGCAAAGTCGTCAACGAGGTTGGACAGGGCGTTCCAATCGATTTGCGCTTCGGATACCGCGATGACCGACTGATAGGCTTGGAAAGCTTTCTGTAATTATCGACGCCGCTATTTTTTATTTGCACTTTATTTGTTATTTAGAACAGTATAATGCTGCCGCAGTAACATGGTTATCAGGTTGTAGCTGATTGGAGTACTGCACTGACCGGATCGTCTTGATCATTGCCACGCCATGTAAACGGATCAGGCAGAACCGCGCCATATAACTCGAAAGCCAAGGTTAAAAACACCTAAACAAACAGCTCCCATTAGTACAAAAATTATAAAAGTTTTACATGGATTGTATTGAAGTACTGTAGTGGCACATAAAAAGCTTGCTTACGTAATCTCCATTAGTCATATTCATCTCATTCGCCACAACCTGGAACATAAAGCAAACAACTCAACACCTTTAAACGAGCCAATCTATAAACAAAGAACTTTCGGTGTTAACGTACCATAAATTCGCGTAGTAACTTTGGGAAAAGGAAAACCAAAATCACTAAAATAATTCAGAATTATCATAATATTGCCAGCAGATTTTTGAAATATTTATCAGTCAACTATTTGATTACCGCGCGTCCGGTATCGCATCTCACTCAGTACTTTCTTATAATTCGCCCGTGAAAAATCTTTAATTTCTCCGTCAGCCACATAGAACTGCTCGGCGCCAACTTTGTTATAGAGTTTCGTTTGCAGGAAGATATCACAGAAGATCGGTGGAACCAGCATGCCGGCGGTGGGACACCACATGCCGAGGCTTTTGGTCCAACCAAATTTCAGTAGCAACGCTGCCACGCCGGCTACCAATTCCGCGCCGGGCAGCACACCCCATTCCGCGGTGGTGGGATACAGCTGGAACTGGTCGAGCAGCCCGTTGGCCGGAGTTAGATCCAGGTAAAATACATTGGCCGCTATGGTTATGTTAGAATAAAAAAAGCATCATGCAATGTATTTAAGTATTTGTTTAAAAATAACAGGTTAATAATAGTTTAAAGTTGCGAGAGAGCATCGATCGTACGGTAATAGGCAGCCGTTATACAGTAGGTAACTAGCTGAGACGTCAATACTTTGTTAAAGCCCTTATTCTACGAAATTGCTTTACAACTGTTTACTTACCGGTAACAAACCGCGCCAGTTCAATCTGGGCAGCATCGCACCAATCTAATGACAAAAAACGGCATAGGTATGTATTACGAACAAAACCTGAGTTAACGCTACCAGTTTTCTTTCTATTATTTTAGCAGCTAAAGTGCTAGTTTAATTTTTTAAGCTCTTCGAGGGAATATTCCGGTCTACAACTGCAACAATCACAATAATCTTTTTTATGCTGTAATTTATACAAACCAATATTAAATGAAATTTTCTTGTTGTAGTTTTCCTGCTTCTTCCCTTATTTTGCCTTACGTACGATTTGACCAATAAAGATCGGAAATATTAAATTAACTTTTTTGCAAACATATTTAAAGCCACGAAACTATTCTGTTGCATTTTAGAAACTAATCTCTGCATCAAAGTACATAGTTACTTACATATCTTCAACGCTTTGCAATTAAAAATTACCGAACAATAAAAATTTGTTGTTAAGTAGCCAGCGCCATTAATCATTGATAATACGCGGCTAGCAGATATTTACCGGCAGCTAGGATAACTGGGAAATTTTCCCGCGGATCGGCTTCAAATATTTCCGGATGCTGTTGATAATACGCTCCAACATACTGGATAATATACTCATAAGCAAAATCACATTCATACGAGTATCCCGGCGGTACATCCTTGGCCATATTTATCACCGGCAGGCGTTTAATATGTGAATACACCGTTGGATATTTTTTCTGGATAATGGGAAAGATGGCATCATATGTCGGCATCAGGCACTGATAACCATATAGGGCAATATTCGTCATGGCCACCGTAACGATCGTGATATTCATACCCGCCACGCACGGTAAAGTGAACAGGGTCAGCAGCGCCGGAAAAGTGCGCGGAAGTGTCTCCATCGAATACCGGATGAATTAAAAGGAAAACACTTTATCGCCGGTATATTTGTCGGATGATTGTGTGGTGGTGCGCCGTTATTGTGGATCACTGCTCCGGCACGAGAGCGCATCCTGGCTGAGCAACCAAAAAAGAAAGCGTCAATTTATTGATAATCAACGGAAATAATTCCGCGGGATCAACACTGAGAGTCCGCCATTCTTGATACACCCGATCCAGTGATATTCAAACGGTGAAACACCGGAAAGCGTTATAACATCTGGATAAGCGTACATACAGTAATTATCTATGAATCCGAAGGCATGTCAATATTACGTGCGGTATAACACAACATGAGTCAATAAAATTATTATTGACTTTTAAGCATCATAATACACGATTTTTATCAACCGTTTGAATGAACACATGCATGCGTTCCTTTGCAGTCTAGTACACTGTGTTCGATAGATAGTTTATTAACCGTTGATATTTGATCCGGCATAATTACCGTCATTTGCCGCTGATGTGTAACTTCCTTTTTATGCTAAGTAAATAGGACTGCTGTGCTGCAACTCTGCGGAAAAAAACGTGGCCATTTGCAATTTCTAAACATATTATCCAACGTTTTACGAGAAAAAATTTTCTGGTTTTCTTTTGCTGCCACTATGATAAGAATTTATGATTATGGAAACTCGCACAGCTAACTCGCCATGAGCTGGCTTAGCTGGCTGCTGTTCTATAAGTTATCGAAATTACCAAAGCATGATGGCACTGCTCGTAATAAACTGGAAGGCGACGCGCACCGCTTTCATGAATAATAACTTCGACCCCTCCCATGCACTGTAAAACAAAAGGAAGGAACCGGAAATGTTCTCGGATACTTCAAGCAGGAGTACCACGCCTACGCCTCTTAATATTAGCGGAATGCCGGCCCCAGGCACTGACGGCATCTATCGGCTACACCGCCTACACACAAAATATACCTATCTGCCGTATACCGGAAATTATCTTCTGTCGGTTATATTGCAATGTTCCTGAAACTTCCGATTGTAATTCGATCGGTATCTCTGACGGTCGTCATTACCTTTCTAATTCTTTCGACTAGTACAGTGACGACCAAGCTAAAAAATGCCAGCATAATCTAAGACTACAAATATTTATGAGTATTTGATTTCCAATATTTCTGTCGACTGAATTCAAGAAACGGTTACCTTTCATATGAAGTGTATCATAATCACTACGTCAGTAAGCAGTGTCGACGTCATAAGTTAAAAGTGCGTTTACGTTCGCACCGGAAACGCTCGGCCACGCAAATTTTGTTTGTATTGGTCCACTCAAATAAAAGTGTCCCAGAAATGCAAACTGTTTTAGGAGATTGAGAAAGTTTTAAAACAAAGAACAGCCAAATCGTAGGTTGCACACCGCCGCGTTTAACTGCAATCTAATTTACATGTTGAACGTCACTGCTCGATGATCGTTTGTACGGCAAGGGATACTATTTTTATTATCATCAGCACGCGGTGGATAATAAAAGCGGCATTGCAACGTCTTGTACGATCATATTACAACAAAAGCGGTCTTAATATTAATGCAAACAATACGAGTATCGGATTTCTTGAAGCGATTGCTGCAAGCATAAACGGTTAGGGGTAAAAATTCTTGCACGTCCAGTAAAAGTAACTTCCTTTAGTGTAGGCAATGCGTTACCTGGATGGTGAGGTATGAGACCTCACGAGACCGTGAAGCCACTTGATATGGACAGCAAAGGGTACATTGTTTACTGGTCCCATGGAAGGCTGCCTTTAACTTCCGCACGCGTGCAGACGACCTGAAAAAGTCATGCCCAAGAAAATCATCGCTTCTGGGCGCCTTCTGCACATGACAGACACTGTCTGACACCGAAATCGTCTCTGATTGGCCTCATTTTTTCCGAACACAAACTGCCATTAAACAAAAGCGAACCCGGCGCATAAAACGTAGGTTCAGGATAACCGAAACATATTGGATTACTCTACACGAATAATACGAGTATGCAGTAAATAACCAGTGTATTGTGATAAGCGCTGCTGCAGTGCAGTGGAATTACTCCACAGAAAATAGCGTCCATGATTTGTGGGTTGCAATAGCAATGTATTCTTCATCTCTTACCAATGCAAGCCACACCAAAGTTCATCCAATGGAAATGTGCATACATAATGTCTTCGCAATATGGACACTTGTGGCAGTAAACTGTTCGAAATTCCACATGCACATATAAATCCAATAAATTTACAAGCAACCTGCAACGTGCTGTTTTAATAAACCAAAGGTTAGGATCGACCTCATCTTCATCTAATTTAACTAATTCGCCTGCCCAGCCTGCACTAACCAAACCAAGCACTGCATTAGCACAACAGCAGAACTATCCCAATACAAATCATACTTCCGCTTGCCGGTCGTAACGACACATCCGCTGACGACGCATGCGCCGGCCTGAATAACAAATAATACTGCTGTACTGCTGCACTTATTGAAAAATAATGACCGAATTCGGGCTATAACACTAAGCCAGTTGTCGGCATAATCGCATAATAGTTACTATTGTTGCGGCGCGCACGGAATAATGCTTCAAGAAAAAAGTGAGCCATTTGTTTTATTAGTAAATATCACTCGTATAAGTATTTGTCAGACCACGCATGGCGCAGACAGTAGGTAACCAGGCAGACTCTTGTGGATGAATACATTACGACAGTCAGTTCACCAAAATGCTGAGTAAGCCTTTTTTGGTTATGGTAATGCGCGGTAACTATCGTAGCTTGCAATGTGAGCCGCTTTACGCAGTTTAATAAATAACGGTATAAAATGCAAATACAAAGAAAAAATGGTTGAAGCAACGGTCTCCTTTGGAATCTGAACAATTCTGCACGCATAAGCAAAAAGAGAGTGCGCCCGTAAACAATTATGAAACGCCGCAAGTACCTATGCAGATAAATTATCCAAACGCTCCGGACGTGTAGGCGTACACTCCGCTCACGTCAAACTCCGGACGACCGTTCTTCCACAACACCCTTCCCCCGTGCAACTCTCCTGTGGGCGAGAAGCCCACTTTCTCCGCCAACCTGTCCGTCTGGGGATTGTCATCGAGGCAGTCAAACTGTACAATCTCGGTGCCTTCCGGAACCGCATTCAACATCGCTAACGCCAGCTGTTCAGCCACGACGAAGCTATCGGCGAACAACGGTCCGAATTTACAGATTGTATCCCCAATGCACTGCCGAAGCACTCCATAACCGTGAATCACTCCGTCCTTAACAAACGCCGGTGCCAGTATAACCTTAGGGTGAGATAACCAGGCGCGGAGAAACTCCGGTCGGTCCGCTGGAAAGTACGACCGGTCGAAACGACAAAGATCAGCGAAATCCAGATCTTTCGCGGGAATGATGCAGGCCACCGGGAAATCTGCAGGAAGATCCACTTTTCCGGTGTATGGCTTCCGAAAGATGGAGCATGTCCCGGTCTGAACAAATCCGTGGCGTTTGTACCATTCGGTCATGCGCTGGTTAGAGTATAAACCAGTCACTCGATCGCCGGCATGCTGGAGGCATTCCCGGAAGAGTTGGGTCCCGTAGCCTTTGCCTTTGTGTCCGTCGGCCGTTAGGAACGTCCCGATGAAGGATAACTGGTCGCCGTAATTCACGGCGGACACCATGCTGACGATTTCTTTGTTTAGTAGGCCGACGAAATTGGCTTCCGGATCGATCAAGGTAGAGAATTTGATCGAGTCGTATCCGGCGGGCCAGTTGTCCCTGATAGCCCATTCTTTTATGGTTGATTCGAGTTGGTCACGCAGAGCATCTGTATTACAGCAGCGTACCTCGATGTCGGTAGTGACAACACTGCCGTTGTTGTTTCGTATTTCCTCGGACTCAGTCATCGTGGAATAAAAATAATTCAGTTGGTCGCTTTCGGTTTCACCGTGAAGCGAACGTAGATTTAGCTACGGATGTTCCAAATTAAAAGCTTCTTCATGTGTCAGTATTATGTTAAACAGCAAGCATCCTATCCGCATTCCATCCCAGCTGCTGCGCAAATTCACTTTCAAGAAAATTACTTTGTTGGACCAACAAACTGAGAAGGCAGATCGCTGACTGGCCGACGAAGCAATTCTATCGCTTGATCAAATCAAGGAGCGCAGACTGAATTCGAGACATTTAAGATTTTGAATACGGAACTGGATACGAAACGGTTATGGTGCAGTTGAGCTGTTGTTATCAACGTAGCTAGGGCGCTGCGCTGTAATAAACAGCTGATTGGGTATCGTTTGCGAGTGTAGGACGACTTCAAGTTCAAGCACATAGCAGTGACAGCACGATAAAATATTCTACAAGTATCAATGGCACAACGTGTTGCAATTAATTACTGGGACTCGTGTGTGGCACTATGTAATTTGTGATATCAGAACCGGTTTGCAGGCACTCGATAATACGACGGAAGCTTATGCCATGTGGGCTGTGTAATACTCTTTCATCAAGATGTTTATCGCCGCTTTATCTGTACAATTATTATTGTCGTTATAGTTTAATTCCACTGCCGTTTTCATTTTCAACTGACGAAGATCATTTAAAATGAATGAATGGAAAATAACAATAATAAAAAAGGGTGCCTCTGTCTTTTATTACAACGTTTTTAGTTGCAGTTCCTTATAATTAAAATCTCAGAGATTATTTCTATTAATATTTATTTTTTTAGAACGTTTTACCTACTTTTAATTAATCCTACTTTAATTAACAGCTGCTGAAGTGTTAAATAATAATTTATTTTAATTTCCCCAGTGATCATGACATTTCTTTTCTCGGTTAGGCACAATTTGTTTATTTGAGTCCAGTATTATATTAATTTTATGACGACTGTACAGATACCACCATAAATATCGCATATAGCGTATACGTGTATACCGCACCGTATTGTGCCCGGTACTAATATTATAAGTCCGTGCCGGCAACATTATTGTGAATCACAATCGGACTTGAATCGGTTAAGCGCATTTCATAAATCTTTAGCATCTATCGCTACAGAGCACCGTGAAAGTCACTGACGGTACAATAAGGTTTTACAGCGAAATGTGCCTCCCGAGCGCTGCATCTGCAATAAAGATCGTTAATTTTCGTGTGCAATGTAAAAAATTTTTGCTATGCTTTTAGAGTTCACAAGAAAATCTGGAACGGTTCCATATATCACGGTGGCAGGAAGAATTTGATCACTGGAATCGTATTTTCATACCTGGGAAGGGGGATCTCACGCTCAGCAGTAGCGTTTGCAGACCCGTGTGTGGCATTGATGGTTGTCAGGTGCGCAACGGAGTTTCCTGGAGGACGACCGATCTCCAGTCCCGTATCCCCAGTCGGTTGCAAAAGAATCAGGAAGAAGACGATCCCGAACACTAGCTCCTGATGATGCAGCATGGCTGCAGTTGTTAACCTGAAACATCATAACACGATGATGCTCCCGCCATGCTGCATCATCAGGAGCTAATTTTCCTGGAGCGCTTAATTCGTATCAACATAATAAACGTCGAGGAGTCAAGGAGGAGGAGAATTAAACACAATTCAAAAGCTTTGCATGAAAATAAATGATCCCAAAGATATAATATTATAAGATTCGGTTTTAATTCTAGGGCAATGCTAGCTCACCTTTAAACGGGTATACGACCAGTATACCTGGTAGAAAGTTACCCAAATAATGCTGTTTTCAAGGAAAACCGGAAACTCAATAAGAATGCAAAATATTGCCACGAAAAACAGGTAACAGTTGACGTGTCGAATGAAACTGAGATCTTCCCTTTATATAGCTACGTCGCGACTGTAGTCGTTTAAAACGCACCATTAACAGATGTGTGTACCGTCTGTCCAACGTGGCTCTGCCACGCCTGTTATAGGTCCTCCAATCGCGAAACCTACACATTACATTTTGCAACCTTACTCGGCTGTCTTACAAATAATCGAATCTCCCTCGCTCTGAATCATGGTATCTGAATAAGAAAATTAATTAGGAACTGGTTAATGTTGCACTAGACCGTTATGACGTGAATTGTCACACGCGTGGGTCAAAATGGTGTTGTGCTGTGCCCATGATGAGTCACATCGCCATGTGGAGCACAATACGCTATCAACACAACCTGTTGTTCACGAGATATCAAACTAGGTTGTTTACGAGATGCAACCCGTAGAAATCGCTTTCGGGGCTGATGCAATTTAGGTGTTATTTTGCGATTGATTCTGCTGCTCATTCTGCAGCATGTACCTCTTAGCAATTAGAACCGTATACGTATGTATTCTTTCGGCTGTGCAGGTGTTAAACCGTATCAAGGTAGTGAAAAATAAAACAGTGAACGATAAATAAAGAACCGAATGCGACGTGCAGCATGATATCGGCTAGTCAGTGGTCACTAGTCACTAACCGACTACTTCAGTGACTCTGTGCCGTATAATATTTTGGCGCGGCATTTTAACACAAATTGCAATCCCTTTTGCCGTAGCTGTTTGAGTACTCGACGTCGTAGGGCTGCATTACCTTTTTTATATGATAAAATCATAAAAATTTTAGAATTGTTGCTGCCAGCACAAGCGGCCATCTTGCGATAAGTACGATTTACGAACATGAGTACAGGGTTCACATGTTGTAGTTCGTGCATATGACAAAGTGCTAAGGCTTCAACGTGTACAACACGTGCTTATCTATGTGGAGTAGGTCGTTGGATTTTGAGGACGAACCGGTTTTCTAATCCGCTGTTTCAGCAGAATGATATCAGAATTGAATGATATCATGTCATAATTATGTAGCATTGCGTGTTCAATTTTTTCTAAAGCATGTTGTACTAATTGCTGGGATCAGCAGAATGGCAGCAGCTTACTGAGTGCCGCATTCTCATTTTTCCTTACTTATTTAAAACGCTGTGGTATTTGCGTCTGGTTGGTGTATGCTTGCTGCTACAACCTCACGCTGCTTCTCTGTTAGATTCAATATTTACTGGAACTTTTTATTAACAACTGGACTTTATTTCGTTTCGTATAAACCTGGCATAAACTGCAGATATACTGTTACCGTTGTAACTTGTAATCATAACGCTATAACGAAGTTTGTTGTGCATTAATCGCACTTCTCAAAAAACAAAACCTCGAAGAATCTTTTTGTTCCTTTAATCATTTTACGCAGTTTGTATGACGAATGACGAGTACATGGTAAAATCTGCTAGTTTTTTGTTTTTTTTTACTCAAGTGACTTATCGTTAGAATCATATTTTTTTATTGAGGATGTTTTTATTGAAGGTGAGGTTTCTTATTGAGGATCAACGACTGTCAAAACATAGAATGGGCAAAAAAGCTGCATTTCTCAGTGACCACGACACTTTCTATTGGTTAGAAATAGACTCTAATCACGTCTTAGCATTTCTGAAATTCTGGTTGCAATACTACCCTAGTAGTAATTAGCGCACTTTAATATAAGTCCGATCTGGCAATTTATTGTGGTTCACACACAGTCACATAAGCGCATTGACATAAAAATTTAGTAGCTAACACTACAAGATGCCACAAAAATCAGCTGACGGTACAATAAGCTTTACAGCAAACGCGGTGGCTCCCGAGCGGTACTTAAAATATATATAACAAAGATCGTTATGATTAATATTATTATTTTCTTTCTAACATGAAAAGCTTAAATGTTGCGTTTTGATTAAGCGCTAAGCCTAAATGTTGCGTTTTGCTTAAGTTTTGCGTTTTGATTTCACACAAAATCCAGAGTGTTTTCATAAATCTTGGTGGTGGTGGTAACAATTTAACAATAACTGGAATCGCAGTTCCATACCTGGTCGAACGGAACGGGACGATTGCGCGGCTGTGCTGTAGCGTATACAGTATCTGTACCTTGCGTGGCATTGACGGCTAACAAAAGCGCACCGGAAATAGCTGAAGGACGGTTGCCGCATGCCAGAGCCGTACTCCCAACCGGTTGCGGGAGGGTCAGAATAACGGCGGTCCAGAACATCAGCTCCTGATGATGCAGCATGGCTGCAGTTGGTAACCTGAAACATCATAACACGATGATGCTTCCGCCATGCTGCATCATCAGGAGCTAATTTTCTTGGAGCATTTAATCGGTACCTTTGTTATTACCATGGACGAGCCTGAATTACAGATGATTCAAGAGCTTCTTATCAAAATAATTGATATCCGACGAGAAGAGTAAATAGTAAATTTTAATTCTACAGCAGCACAAGCTCACCTCTTGAAGGGTGTACTAATACGCCGAGATTACTTGGTAGCGTCGGAACAAAAGAATGTTGTTCAGCAGCAAAATAAAAAGGAACTGCATATAAATTCACTGTGTGGCTCCAGATAGGTAACACTATAAGTGTCAAACGAGCCCGAAGGTCTCTTTATATACAGCATTGCCATGTTACGCATGATTATCTGTCCAACGTGGCTCTGCCACGCCTCACCGGCAATCCCACTGCAATAAAAAACGTTGAATTTTCAGTTTGTTCGGTTGCTTTGCAAGCATAAGGAATCTACCCCGCTCTGAATCACGCTCTCAGGACAAAAACATGAATCAGGAACTGGTTAATGGCGCACTGCGGCGTGGTGAGGGAGAGGATCGCACGCTGGGGCCACCTGAACGGTGGCACATTTATTTTGCATTGTACCAGTAATGGGGCTTATCGCCCCGCAGAACAAGACATTCCAGCAACCCAACGTGTTGATATTATGCAGAATTCGTTTTTGGAGTGATGCAATAACGCATTATTTTTGCGCTCGATTCTGCTCTACATTATACGTAGAGCTTCCACTTTCCAGTTTCAGACAGGCACATATAGTGTAACTGAGTGTGTGCTGCTGCACATCACGTGATCCATTTGCCGTTCCCGTTCTTGTATGCAACGCAGTAGATCACATAAATTTTCGTATCAATAAAATACTTTAAATTAAAAATGCCGGTTTACAGGTTGCAAGTACAAAATTATAATTGTACGGTACCGTTGCCGTTCGTATCGTTTAATAGTGACTTACACATGCTTCACAATTCAGTTTGTAGTGTTGCAGAGTGGCAATGACCGTACGTATACACGTGGGTCCTGCTTAAGGTCAAGTGCAGCAGTGCTTAACTGCGTGTGTACCAAGCATTCTTGTGTACATAGGTTGATTTTGGAAATTAAACCGGTTTTCTATCCTGTTTTACAGTAGTACTCCATGTATTCGATCAGATGTCATAATTATGTAGTTCGATGTCATAATCATGCCGTAATATGTCTGCACTTTTTGTAAAACATGCTGTATTAACTGATGTGATCAGCAAAACGCCACCAGGTTATTGAGAAGTGAGACCCACGAAATCATTTTTTAAAGCGTTGCTGTTTCTGTGTTTTATTGCTGTACGTATGCTATGCATCAGCTGTCAGCTACTTATCCGTGACATTATTTGAAAATATTTTTACAGACTGGGCTGTGTAGGCTGTATTTTATTTCAGACTTAATACGACCTGTATCTTATTAATTTTATCGTTAAAATTGTTATCATAACTGTTTAGCATGGTCGCTCTCGCAGCCAATAGCGAATAATTAATCTGAAAAGTCTAGAAACTGAGTGCCGTTTGCACAATTATGTACGTATACAGTAAGAAAATTAACATGAACGCTTTTTGTTCCATGCAGAACTGAAGATTCTCACCGTCGGAAACACTATAAAACAAAATAACCGGTAAACCACATCATATTTTACTGCACAAGATCATCCGTCCAAGACAATTAATATATTTTTACCTTTTCCGATGAACGGCCTTGTAAGCCTTGTTCCTTTGCCTGCCATGTGTGGGAGACAAGATGGTGCACGATAATTCCTGATCGCTCTTCCATAACCGCAGCAGCGCTTGCCACATACATGCCAGCATCACATCTGGGATGGAATGCCCCTTTAGCACCGCTGAAGGTTTGCAGCTCCGTATCCACCGGTCGTGGGAAATTCCCCAGCAGTAATGCACTCCAAAACACGAGATTTTGATACTGCATGGTGGTAACAACCTAAAACAACACAAGCAAAATGATGCTTCAGGTACTGCAGTATCAAAATCTCGTGTTTTTGGAAAGTTATATATATATCATGCTAGCACGGAAGTAAAAAATTATCCATGATGCAAGAACTCCATAAACGGCACGCAAAGTCTGTATAACTAAAGAGAGGCTTTAAAATTTTCGATAATTCAACCGCAAAAAATTGAAAAAGGAAAATTATGTAATTATTTCAGTAAAGCAGCAAAATACGTAACGAAATTCTCCATGCAAAACAACTAAAGCGTTTCATTTTTACCGCTATTACCGTGTGCGCACCTCCACAAATGCAGACGTATACGAAAAGTGATGCACCAATATAAATACTGTATGCTACGATAATAATATAGGCCACCATCTACGAAAGACGAAAATAAAAATGTTATGACAGCCATCATTTGTGCTGAAAACTTCCGGTTATATACCACGGGAATATTATCCCACCATGCTTACTCAAGTAATTATTTACCAATATGGGTTCCGCCACATATTTTTGCCGATTCATTTCGGCAATGAGAATAGCAATTTTGTTTTAATTTTGGTGAACACTGAACTGATAAAGTGATTCACCTAACTTTTGAATTACACCCTCTTGAACAGTACCGTGAAAGCGCGTTTAATATGCTGCTCTGCAGAGTGCTAAATCTACAAGCCAAAGCTAAGACAAACGAAACACCCATTAAAATAACTTTGTACAATATAATGTCGCAGCGGTGTATCTCCTAGCACTTTTGCCTATATTGAAAAACAATTCGAAAAGCTAATTGGCTATAATCTTGCCAAAAGCAAACGCAGTGCAAAACAAAACGATATCCTAACCAATAAAACACATATAAAAGTTGAGTAGTTATTTAAACCATGATAGGAATATTCTTGTTGAGCTATATTTTATTCATCGAAGCAGCAAATACCGGAAAGAAGATAAACTGTACGTATGATCGTATGTTTCATATAGCGTGTTTGTCGGAACTTTTTGCACAGATATGCTTTCGGATGCATAGTGAATCTTCCTTTGGACAAGAAAATACGTATGTATAGTCTGCCGGCATTCATTATGATCGTGACATGTATATTGAAAAATACGTTTTATGCGAAACGTAGGAGCGCACGTTGCATGGTTGCAAAGATGGCAACAAATCAGCCATCGTGGCCTAATTTTTCTCCCAGGTTAACAGTACGTACGTCACAAACAAGCCAATCATCTGAAATGCAATACGTGCCAATCAAGGGAGCATTTCCAGGCTTTAGGTTCACAGGGACCTCTGACTTACCGATGCCATAAACTGGCGATTAATTATACAAACTCCGACAAAATTAACCCGGTCGACACCATGCATGCCAATTGGCACAGTGAAGGACCGAATTTTTGCAGCTAGTTCTAACGCTCCTACAGTGTGTTTGTTGGTTTTATTTCAAACGAGAAGAGTGAAATTATAGTTAAAAACGGGAAATTCCACAGTCCAGCGTTACCACAGAGCTCTGGGAATGACCAAAGGTGGACAAAAATGACCAGACTAAGTTCGCGAAGGTCTCGGCCACCTGCCCAAAACCTCCCGCATCCGATAATTACCCAAAAATCACACTTCTAGTATCCATAGGACTTCATGTGAAAATGATCAGGTTGTACATGCACAGGTGGACACCGTCCGCCCACGGCCATTCTAAAAATCTGTGCCAGTTTTGGCACGCATGGGTTTGGTGCCATTCTATGTCAGAAGTTAAAAATTCTATATAAAAATATTGAATCAAGATAAAAAATTGCACTTACAATAAAAAAATCCCAATAAATTATCCCTTATCACTGATCGTGGTTCAGTGGTCATCGAACTGACCAGTGGCCACTTAAGGTCAAAAAATCACAAAAAATCACTTATTGGCCGATAGCGCGAAAATTAAAGATACTAGGCACAGACATTTCGTACTAAACTTTGTTTCGGCATTCCCCAAACACTACTTGTACTTTGTTGTGTACCTAGTCTTAAGGAGAAATGTGCAACAAGAAAAAATAAAAAAGGCCTGCAGATTGAGTGACGTTGTCGATGTCGTTCGGTGCATGGCCGGAGTGCAACAATTAGGCTTACAACCGCCTGCGCCTTATAGCCCCGAGCCCCCGGTGTTTCTACACTTCTGTAATGTTTTGAATATTGCAGTGTCACCTCAGTACTTTGAGTATACATGCACTTCACGAGTATACACTTTAAAATTTAAATAATGTACTATCTCTTTATTAATCCATTAGCATTTATTACTGCATATGCTTAAACTTCCGGTCAGTAACACTTCCGGTTGGACTAATCTGCCCTCTAGGTTAGGGTAGACAGGTCTGCCGATTGAGGTTGCGTCTTAGTAATGACAAAAGCTGCAATCATAACGATAGGTTAACATTATCGTCATAATAAAACCATTTGTATATTATCGTAAATCCAGTCTCCAAGTTGTATAAGGAAAGGTACAGTACTGCCTTTACACTAGTGCCCAGCGTCTAGTGTCGTCTCTGGACTGGACACCCGTGCTGTTACTGCAAGTGACAAAATGACTGCTGAGTCCATGCCCGTCACAATCCAACACAGCACACTGAGACTTGTACTCATTTCCGTATCAATCAAGCTGGTCAACGCAGGATGCTGTTTCTTACTTCGCTTGTTTCCTCAGGAACAAAATTTTTTGGCTTGCACAGCGCTAAGCGATTTGTCGTTGATTGACTTCTCTCAGTTTTTCTGCAATATACTAAGCACATTATATCATGTTTGCGCCGTGTCAGCTCTGATAGGTGGCTCTACGCATTTTTCTTTTTTTGCTGACCGCTGGTCATCTTGCTGACCATTTGAATTGTTGAACTAAATAGCGCTCGTCAAGACCTTCTGCTTAAACTAATCTAAGTTCTTGTACGATTTTTTTATGAATTGTTATTTGAGTAAAAATGTACGATGCCAATTGGCTCAGTTCCCATGCGTGCCATTTTGGCATCGTGACGTCCGGCTTGACCTATGGTCAGGAAAATTTCACAAAAAATAATTTTTCTTAATTGAATTTTTTCGTCGAGGAATACCAATTTTCAGTCGGTATTCCTATCCCTTCTAGTACCCGGCGTTGGTAGGTTAAATCCCGCTGGTCGAGTGTCCAACTCGTAGACCGTAGCGCGTAGCAGTTTGCCCATGTCTTCTGGCTGCTGCAAAATTACGTCGGGCTGCAGTGCAGCACGATAATCTTGCACCTGTACGAAAACAGTCAAGGTAACCGATTTATATCAAAACCGATTTATATCAAAATCTTTGACATCATGCGGAGAATTGCTTTTCCTGACCTTATCATATGTGAAGACCATCGACGTTATCATAATACACGTCATCGAAATGAACACCATGGAATCTAACAGCTCACGCAGCAATGTTCGACCTTCATGGAACACCGTAAAGGACCGGGCGGTGCTCACTAAAGTCAATGTTGTCAAGAAGGATAGCGTTACATGACATAGAGTGCTTAGTTGCGTTTCATTGGCTGTAGTTATCAGCAAGGTTCTCATTTGCGTGGGATCCATAACAAGTTCTTTGGTCAGATGAGTATTTGCCAATCTACCCAACCGGTGGAAAAGCACTCCCATAGAAAACGACCAGGCCGCAAAATACAGTTCCATGATTCTAGCGTTCAAGACTGGTATTAGACCAATTGCCGGCATCACTCCCGCCGCTGCATCCCAAAAAGAGAGTGTGGCGTTGTTATGAGAAAGCTGAGAGCTGGTAGACTGGACCAATAACCGGTAAGTGACCGTGACACATTTCTCGACCGGACTTATCGACGAAAGCCCAAAGAAAACAGCAATTGCGCTCGCTCCAGTGGTGATTGCCACTTTATCTCGGGTCTGTAAATATTTTATGTGCAGGCCGCGGGAATCTTTCAAATGTTGGCGCAGATTGCGGAATCCCCACACGGCAAACAAATACTGTGTTGGTAGGATCGGACATAACGTTAATTGTGTGGCAGCATCGACGACTTCGCCAGGTGACGCAGTCAAAGTAGGTATTTTGACGAATATTTTATAAGACACTCCCGACATTAGGCATAATGCAGTGAAAATTGTGCAGCACCAGACACCGCTAATCAAGTTCTTCAAGATGTGGTGCGGTTGTGATGGGTGGCGATCCCACCACCCTTATAACTGCAAGATCGGCAGCACTGTTGTGAACAAATCGGGAACAGCTAAGGCGGCTAAATAGGGCATCATGAACAGTGTAGACTGTAGTTCGAAATGATGGAGCGCAAGTAAATGACAAAACGTATTTCCATAACTTAGATTCCAGACAGTCAATGGGAGATCTAAAACCCCGTTCTTTTCGCTGAAATTTAGTACAAGCGCTAGCGTGCTTAAGCAACAGTATACGGTGCGTACATACATGTATGATGCTTTGTGTTGTTTAATCTTATACAGCTTAGGACAAAATGGTCGCATACCCAATACCTCCACATTCAGTACGAATGCAGCGCAGTGCACTGTACGACTGAGTTCAAAATATCCGTTTCATACAAGTGCACTGCACCGCTTGCGTACAGAATGCTGGGTATGGGGCTATGCGACCATTTAGTCCTACATTGTATAGTAAATGCAGAGCAGCAACTCTGCTTGGATCAGAAAAGAGTCTATTGGGATGCTGTTAACCATCTCTTTGTCATCCCTTGCGAGTTGAAAGCAACGTTTGTTTTTGAACACTGCATTAGCACACGTTTTGACAACGTCACAGGTCAGGTGAGCTATGATACATAGATATTACTAACCTGACTCAATGTCAAAAATTACTAAAAAGTAGAAACGGTCACCAATCCTGATTTAGGTGCTTTCAACGAGATTGACGAGTTTCCATTAAACGTTCTCGACTGGAGACGATCAAATGCATCTTGATCATCTGCAGCTGAATTCTAATGAGAGAACTGCATAAGGGTTTCTTAAAATTCTTTCGATGATATTAATTTTTTGAGCGCTGTAATGCCATCAGGATTACAGAAAAGAAAAGCCGCAGCCGCCCACAGGCATCACCGCAAAATCATGGAAATACTGATCGTGAAGATATCTTTTACATATCGTGCACATACCCCCGACTCACCATCAGTTTGCATGTACCTAAGCTAAACACACAAATAAATACTGTACCTATATCATAGCGGAAATTGCTGACTGTGGGAGTTACTGAAGGAAAAACACTTATCTGTATAGTAGCCTCATCGATAAAACGTGACTTTTTGAGCAATTATTGTTGGCGTTTACATAAACCTGGCGCCAAGTATTTGTCAAAACTCTCACTCGTAAACCATTCGACCACTGACACCGTTATTTCATAACTGTACGGCATCAAGGCCTGCACGGAAGACGACCATGGGCAGATTCCTTGTTTTACTTTTTGGCCTTATCGCTTTTACGTAAGAAACCTCCGTGATAGTGTTATGTAACTCCATGCATTATAATAATTATATAATGATTGCTGTTGTCATTATCAATATGGACTGGTAAATCACTTTTTAGCGCGGCAGTGGATGTGAGGAAAGATGCCGGTAATATACCGCCACCGGGTGTAAAGCGGATAACCGGAGCAGCCGCCAAAAAGCTACCACGTTTTGATGACACCAGTGTGCGACGCGCTGCTATCCCGGAGTGCTTTGATGCGAGGCAAAAATGGCCTAACTGCAAGAGTATCTCGGAAATTCGCGATCAAGGTGGATGTGGCACGTGCTGGGTAAGCTAGACCATTAAAGCCGCTATTGTAGCAAAAAATAATAACTAGTATTAACTACTCTAGTTTGAGAAGTTAATTAGGTATTAACGATGTTTGATAAAACTGGTTGTGCAGAAAGGAATTAAGCCGAGACCGCCAAATAATATAATAAAATTAATGTGTACATATGGCCAGTAATTTACAGTCTTTGTAGCCGTAGTTATGGTTAATCGTGATAAGAATATTTTCTTTTTGAAGGCCGTTTCAAGCAGCAGCGTCATGTCTGACCGGCTTTGCATCGCTTCCGGTCAGAAGAACAACACTTTCGTGTCAGCCATGAACGTAGCAGCATGCAGTGTCCCCGGCCGTTCACCGCAGTCCAAGTGAGCAACGCTCCGAGCACTGTTGACACACAGAAGCATATTTGTTAGAAATATAGAAGAAATCAGTCATTATCAGGAAAAAAATATTGTTGGGCAGTTACGGTATTCAGATAATTGATTTTGGTCTGTGTTTGAAACGAAGCTGCAAGGAAGGCAGTGAACCGACGAACGCCTACAAATTAGCCATCACACAGGGTGTACTGAGCGGCGGCAGTCTAGAAAGCAATGCCGGCTGCCAACCCTATCCCGTCAAGCCCAATGAAGAAAAACCGCTGACCTGTTCGAAAACATGCACGAATACCGGTGCCAGACCAGACAAGTACACTAGTACGTGCGGCAACGTCCCTCAGTTTAGCAGCAACCAATTCTTGATTAAATTTTGATAGTCGAAGGATTTTGGACCATGTACGATGAGAAACCGAGTCCGGAGCAGATCAAGAAAAACGTTGCAAACATACAACGGGATATTTTTGCCAATGGACCGGTTGTGGCTGTTATCACGGTCTATGGGGACTTTTCTTACTGGAGAAATTACTCAGGCACGTTAAATGCCTATTACATAACGTTTTTAAAGTCTTGCAGGACGACACCATATTACTAACATCGCTTCGTTGAGCTTTAGTCAAAGACAACTTTCCTTATTAGGTGCCTATCGCGGCCCCACTGACGCGCAGGACACCCCTCTGCCCATGGGCCACGCTGTGCGTCTGATTGGCTGGTGTAAAGACCAGAAAGGGGTTCCCTATTGGTTGATGGCAAATTCCTGGGGAACCGCGCGTGCCGATGGAGGTGTGTGGTGGATTGAGATGGGCAAGAATGTCATCGGCATCGAAGACCACGTTTCCGCTCCCATCGTCAAGCTGCCCAACACGTGTGGCTCCCTGTGCGACACGGCATTCGATCAGATTGTGCGCTTCAAACCCGGCGACAACAAATCCAAGGTGTACGTCTTTCAAGGCGGCTGCACTACGGAGGTCACTGTGGCAGCGGATGGGAAGATCACACCGGTCGGCAAACCGGGTCCCATTGCCAAGACCTTCATGGGGCTGCCGGCACCGCCCATTCGGCACTGGAAGTATTATCCACAGATCCCCAATGCTTTGTCGTTAGGCAATGTAAGCTTTGTTGAGCACTATGCTAAAAAACTGTGACGGAAACATCTTCGCAATGGCTTGTGTGATCTATGCTTTCTTTAATAATCATTTAATGGACTTCGTGTTGCAGCCCAACGGCGCCGGTGGATTGTGCGAACTGGTTGCTGGAACGAAGAAATACAGCTGTCCATTCGGACAGGATACCCCACCGGATGCATCATCGGCCGCAAAAACACAGCTAGCCAACGGCGACAAATACATTTACTGTAACGTGATTCATTTAAAATACGTTAATTACACTTGCATGACAGTGCGTATGTTAGTGTATCATTGAGCAAATCCCGTTCTTCGCAGATACGGATGTTGCTCGCAGTCAGCAGATCTATAAATTCCCCGCCAATGATCCCGATCGTGGTTATCCAGTTAGCATTGGGACGACCCTCAGCAGCAAATTTAAGCAGGTTACTTCGCTGTTGGATATTGATGGAACAAAGATGTTAGTCTGTGGGAAAGATAGTGCTGACAAACCGGCATGTGGAACACTGGCGATCGACAGTTGGCAGGTATCGGCAAACTTATTTCTTTTTATATTCTTATTCTTTATTTCTTATCGCTTATTTCTTGTTTCTTATTTCTTACTTCCTGTTTCCTATTTCTTATTCCTTTTTCTTACTCCTTACTCCTTATATTTCCTATTTCTTATTCCTTTTTCTTACTCCTTACTCCTTATATTTCCTATTTCTTAAGTTTTCTTGGTTCTTATTTGTATTTGTACAGCTCACGGGACCAACGCCACTAAAGAAAAGTGTGACGAAATGCTGAGAACTGTTTCCCGGAGCAGAAAATAACCGCGCTACGTCAAACCAAACGTTGATGATACGACTCGCCCGACAAACTCCTCAAGCCACCAAAAATAATACTTTTATTTACATTTCACTATCTTCCTGAGCGTTATTTGTGCCTAATCTATGAGTGTCAATCATAATTTTTTGGTGCGAAACGCTTTATTTGCTTGTCACGTTCTCCGTGGCTTTCACTCATGAGAAGCATAACCTTAAACGTTCAAGGAAAACAGCTACTAAGAGTACTGCATATTAAAGAACATCGTGTGCACATTATATCCATATACACCCAAATGTATGAGTAGTACAGCCAAATGCGAGATGACAAGAAAATCTTATGGCAGGACAAAGTACGGTGCAAGCCGCTTGTTCCATAGCATATAGTGGAGCACCTGCTTTCGAAGGCTGCGCATGCTGTATCAATTACTATCTTGTTTTTTGCATCTAGACGATACCTTCCAAAATGTTTGCCCAAGGCAGGTTATTAAGTGCCTAAAATTTTAGCTTCATGTTGGCTGGTAGTTTAGGAGATAAGACGCGCGGTGCCCTACATCTGTACAATCACCTGCCAATGTGAACGCCAAAATACTCGTAATTACATTATTGTCGGTATTAGCAATCGCATCTGGTGAGTTATCGCAAATTTTTTCAACTAAGCGTTTTAAAAAATTATTATTTCAAGAAAATATTTTGATAACGTGGATGTAAAACAGGTTCCGGCACCGGTCTTGAACAGGACTGCAATAATCCAACGCACGATTATGGAAATATTACCAGATTACCAAGCACCACCAGCTCATTTTCTTTCCGAACCGATTTGATGACAAAGGAAGAATGCACTGCTTTCGCCGCCATCGGGGAAGATTACTGCACAGGTGTTCTAAGCATGATTAACTGCGGCAAACGTTACACCTTGCCTAAAACCTATGTGCAACTCGAATGCCACCGGGCAAACCGTTCAGACATGATGAGATTTACGCGAAGCATCAGTCGAATCAGCCCGAACCGGGCTATGACTATTGTATTGGCAGAGAAAAGCGACCCCAGCGACCCGGTACATCCTGACGTTATTGAACCAGTGCGACTACACATCGTCGAGCTAACCATTAGCTCGAACACATCCGCCACAACATCCAAGGTCTACGAAGCCGGAATCTTCCCCGCGTTACTGCGTTTTCAAGTGCAGTATGGTTCCGGTATAGTTGTTAAAAGGGGGGATTTTTCCCGCATGCCGGAAGTACGGATGATCCGCTTTATTAAGTCTTTCATTGACACGATAGAGCGGTACACGTTTATGGATTTACCGCATTTGGAGACCCTGATGCTGGAGGTGAGAATGAATATAGAGTTGTATCGAAGAAGCACGTGAGAGGCATCTAATCCTGGTCTCATCGACGAATCGAGACACATTAGCAGCGGTGATGTTCAGAAACTACGACGTCTGCACTCTGCACTGTGACTGTTCGTATGCCTGGTTCCGAAATTTCCTGAAGCGGACGCCACGCCTCACTGCAATGAGATCTGAGGGTGAAGTGTTCGTCGTAGGCAACTATGTGTCGCCGGTTGCGCCCTCCTGGAAAAAGAACCTTGACGCCGAGATGCTCAGTGTGGATTGTGCGCAGGAGTTAACGTACAACAGCGCTCGCGTTGGCATGCATTTCGCGTACAATACATCTTGCTACAACTTAAATTGTCGATAGCTGCTTTTTTTGTCCATAGTGTCCCGGTAAATGCATTTGAAATGAGATTTAAGCATTTGAAATGAGAGATGAGCATTTAACTTGACAATGGTTCGGCGTAATAAACATTTTTTGCGCCCGTTTTAAATTACACAATTTGGGACGAAGCTGTCAGCGGTCGTCATATTGTCGTAAATTTATCAGAATTTGTTTTGTTTTTGTTCTGATAAGCTGCAACAGCTGCAGCATGAATACTGCTGTTTCAGATTAAACTGATAAAAAACCGTAAGCATCAGTGATTTATGTGTACTTCTATATTTCCCATGATGCACTGCAATGGACAAGCTTTAACTCTGCACTGAGCCCATGTTGTTGTGCTATGAAAACAGCTGATCACTGACTTTTCTCCACTAATACACCGAGGGTAACGTGCCGGTCTGGATTTCCTGTCAAGTGGCTGCGCACAGGAAACGTGACTTAACATCAATGATAATTAATGAACTGCAGGGGTTGGGCGGTATATTTCTGAAACCACATAATTGTGGCCACAAAATTATTAATTTAGGGCAGATACATTCAGTGTACGTTACCACCGGAAGACACCATGGCAAAGTTTTTTCTTCTGCTTCTGGGCATTGTTGGCGTATCGATAACGTGAGAAAACCTTATATATAATTATATGGTGCCAAATTCGTATGGTGATCCATGTGACGGTAATGCTTTTTTTGATTATGCAGTTCGGCATTCGATTTGCGAAAAGACGGAATAAGAGTGCCGCCGCCTGGAGTGAAACCCATATCCGCAGCAGCCGCCAAAAAGTTGCCTCGCTTCGACGACACCAGTGTGCGACGCGCCGCCATTCCGGAATGCTTTGATGCGAGACTGAAATGGCCCAACTGCAAGAGTATCTCCGAGATACGCGATCAAGGCGGATGCGGCACGTGCTGGGTTAGTTTCATAAAAGCTCACATTTGCCAGTTACAAATTTAATGCAAACCCCCGTTTCCGCTACATAAAATTGCTTCGGTTTATAAAAGCGCACGCGTGTCAAAGGCTGCATTTACTTTGTATGGCACCGTAAATTGTAGCCTAAAATCTCATACTAAGAAATCGGGTTTTGGCAAGAGACAGAAATAGTCGTCGACGTTCCCTTTAAAATTCCCTGCCAGCCGGAGTGTTAGACAGCATTCTAATGAAATTTCGTATAATTAATTATTTTACTTCAGGAATAGCTTCTAAAGTGTTAAGCGTAGAAGGTAGTTTTAAGTTGATTTTGCATCATAAATTATTTAAATTTCCTAGGCTGTGTCGACTAGCAGTGTCATGTCCGATCGACTGTGCATCGCTTCCGGTCAAAAGAATAACACCTTTCTCTCGGCGGTAAACGTAGCAGCGTGTTCCGTTCCCGGTCGATCGCCGCAGTCCAAGTAGGCCATATTCAGCTCGATCAGTGCATTAACGAACATAAATATCACGGTTGATCAAACGATATTTATATTGTTGCCTTATTGACAATACTGTGCAGAATTATCAACGTGAAACATCGTTTCTTTCTAACCCGGTGTACGGGTCACTATAATATATTACATACATCTGTAGTTGCAAAGAAGGCAGCGAACCGACCAACGCCTACAAACTGGCCATCACGCAAGGGGTACTGGGCGGTGGCAGTCTGGAGAGCAATCCAGGCTGCCAACCGTATCCGGTGAAAGGCTATGACGAACAGCCGTTGACCTGCTCTAAAACCTGCATGAACCCCAGCGCCAAGCCGGATAAATACACCAGTAAACACGATTATACCAACAACTACATATTGGTAGATTGGGCAGACAGCGGATGTATGAATATTCAAAATCCTGGTTGATTGTAGTTGAAGGGTTCTGGACCATGTATGACGAAAAACCTAGTCCCGAGCAGATCAAGAAAAATGTGGCCAACATTCAGCGAGATATCATAGCTAACGGACCAGTGGTGGCCGTTATTAAAATGTACGGGGATTTCGCTTTCTGGCATAACTTTTCCGGTAAGGATGAGCGCCTCGCGTGTCTTTGTTCAGAATTGGTTAAACGCACTAGCGGATAATACTCAAACTTAATTTTAAATTGTTAACTTTTCGATTATGTTCCATATTGCTTTTTAATTTTAATTTTTCAAAGTGATCTTTCTCACTATCCTACAAATATTTTAAAATATTAATTTTCAAATTTTTTTTAAAAATTAAAACGCTAAATTATTACGAGAAAAGAAATAATATATATAAAATAATATATAAATATATAAAAATACTATAAATAAATAAAATAATATAAAATAACAATATCAATTTAAAATAATAAAATAAAATGTTAGGAGCGTATCGCGGCCCGCGCGCCGACGCACTGGACACATTACTGCCCATGGGTCACGCGGTGCGTTTGATTGGTTGGTGCAAAGACCAGAACAACGTACCTCACTGGTTAATGGCCAACTCCTGGGGAACGAAAGGCGCCGTGGATGGCGTATGGTGGGTGGAGATGGGCAAGAATGTCATTGGCATTGAGGAACGAGTTTCTGCTCCCATCGTCAAGCTGCCCAACACGTGCGGCTCCCTGTGCGACACTGCGTTTGATCAGATCGTGCGCTTCAAGCCCGACGACAGCAAATCAAAGGTGTACGTCTTCCAAGGCGGTTGCACTACGGAAGTCACCGTGGCAGCGGACGGGAAGATCACACCTGTCGGCAAACCCGGTCCCATTGCCAAGACCTTCATGGGAATGGTGCCACCGCCTATCCGTCACTGGATTTACTATCCCCAAGTTCCAGATGCGTTGTCGCTGGGCAATGTAAGAAACTTTATGATTATTGAAATCTGGAGAAACTTAAGACCCTTTCGAACTATAATTAACATCACAGTTTTGTTTTCCTTTTCTGTATTTGAGTGGTGTGGTATAGTTTGTACAGAGAATGTTTTTGTACTTTTTAACACTACAGTACAGATAAGCTTATTACGATTCAGTTTTTATGATACCCATTCCAAAATTTGCTGTGTTCTGCTAAAGCCGAATATTACGTATGGTAAAATTAAAAAGTTTAAATCAAAAAATAATTATTTTATCAAGAACACTCTTTTCAGCCAAGTGGAGCCGGGGGACTATGCAAGCTGGTTGCCGGGTCAAAGAAGTACGACTGCCAATTCGGACAAGATACTCCACCGGATGCTGCTTCTGCAGCAAAGACTCAGGTGGCCAATGGCGACAAATATATTTACTGTAATAAAAAACTACAAATTTCTCTTATCGAGCTGTTGTAAAGTGATTGAATGATTTTGGTTTTTGAACAGATACGGATGCCGCTCGGAACCAGCAGATCTACAAATTCCCAGCCAGTGACCGTGATCGTGGCTATCCCATTAACATTGGGCCGACACTGAGTAGTAAATTCAAACTGGTCACTTCTCTACTAGACATTGATGGGACAAAGATTTTAGTATGCGGGAAAGACAATGCCGATAAACCGGCTTGTGGGACTTTAACGGTGGATAGCTGGCAGGTAGCTGATTACATTGACTTTTGTCTATCTGTGTCTCTTCTCCAAAAAATGTCATTTAATTTTGCCGGAGTCGTACCTGGGATGGCGGTATTGATGCAATCAACAACAGCGCTGAATTTAAGTTGACAATTATATTGTTCATTTGTTTTGTAGCTCACTGGACCAACACCACTGAAGAAATCGATCGCCAAATGCTGATCGAGCACCGTCAATGCACTCCGATTATCCTTACTGAATATAGTAAAAATCGATTATTTCTGTTAATAAATGAATTGTTGTCCTTCCGTGAAATACGTAAATATTAAAGGATACTGTTATAAAGCGTATAATTAAAATACTAAGTGCGTTAGCTGTGTGAGTGTTTTCAAATTTGCTGTGTAAGGTTATGATATACTGTCACCGTGGGCAATTTTTATCACTATTTGTCCGCGTTGTACTAAATTTTGCCCACGGCTGTTGAGCACACACCCGCATTGCTCGCAATAATGAAAATTAACGACATCGTCGCTCGTTTCTGCATTCAAGAAAACAAGTTACCAGAAAACGGTTTACTGTCTTTCACAATTATAACAAGATGTCGTCTATATGATCGGCATGCTGCGAATTTTCATCGTTTTTTCTCTCATACCCTTCCCTTTCATCGATGCAGCTTGTACGCATCTGCCGTCTGGATCATGTTTCGTCGACTGTACGCAGAACATCTATGCGGTGGTGTGCGAAGACGTTAGCGATAATCAGCTGCAAGCCGATCTCCAGGCTTTTGCCGGTCTGAACACTTCCTTCGCGCTGCATATATGGAACTCGCCGGCCATCCAACGCCTGGGTGGGGCCAGTTTCTCGGATGTACAGAGCCTCGTCACAGAGATCGAACTGCAGAACCTTAGGAATTTAAGCATGTTCCCAGAAATCACCGCGTTATCGGTGCTGAAGAGCCTGATTATCAGCAACGCGCCCAAAATGGATTACTTCCCTGTGGAACTGGTCTCGCCATCTGGTAACTAATTTTTCGAATTTTTTGAATAACTCCCGAACCGGATGTTGCGCGCACAAACGGTTCTCACGCCAGCGTATACAAATCTTCTGGCTACAGAATATTATAAACCGAAACAAAAATGTGTTTGGGAGTGCGCGAAAGAGTAAATTTTCGTGCATGTACACGAATTTTGTACCATGTAGTGATGGGCATGTACCGGCCCACTTCCTAAGTGTTCACAATGCAGTAGCCGTCTCAGCGACCGAACACCGATGAATCTCAATCTCATGGTAAGGTGTGCGGCCCGCACGGGCCGCACCACTGCTGACGAATTGCAAATTTCAAAAATTTTTTTTTGGAAAAAAGTTGTGAGCATATTCGTTCATAAAAAATTAAAGAATTTGCTTTCGTAAAAAAAACGTTGAAATCACCCAATTTCAGGTAAAATAGATGAACGGTTTTACTGTTTAAATTCTGTAGGCGATCTAAATTGTCCTGGTCCGCCTTAGCATTCTGATTGGCCAAAATTTCGATTAAATATTTGTAGTTTAACGCACGCATTTTTAACTTCGGTTAAAAAACTGGCCGGAAGTACGCTTTCGGTCGATTTGGCGTAAAGTAGCGCACACTAGTCCCAGTCCCAAATGGTCACAGTCCCAATCGCTCCCAGGCCCAGTCCGGCACAGCCACAGACGGTCACAGTCACAGAAGGTCCCAGTCGCATAAACTCCCACTCCCACCCAGTCACAGTCACAGACTTTAGCAATACCCTAAATGCAGCGGTGTTGTAGCTATTTTTCGGATACTTTTAAGTACAAGAATTTAGTGAAAAAATTCTGCTTTCTTTGTAGTTGAGAAAATCCTTTTTCGTGCCACGGGAATAGCGGAATTCTACACCACCGACTCCGGGACGGGCAGCATCCTTCCAAACCTGCAAGAATTCCGTGTTCGCGAGCAGAACGTGTCCTTCCTCAACCAGTACTTCACGGCCTTCCCCAATGTAACCATCATCGAAATGTCCAACTGCCACGTGAAGCTAGGGGAAATGGACAGCACGGATTTGCCATTTGTCACCATTAAACCGCTGAAGGAGTTCGTGATATTTAATAACACCTTCGAATCGACCAACTTAAACTTTTACTCCATCATCTTCCTGCATATCGTCAACAGTCTGACGGTGGACGAGAGCAGTAGTGTGGAGATCTCCCAGAATGCATTTCCCATAGGCAAAAAGACCCTGGAGAACTTTGGGCGTCTTTCGCCCATCCGGAGATTATCGTTGCGCGGCAGTTACTTTGAGAATTTTAACACCCTGGAGAATCTGTTTCTCAAGTTCAACAATCTGGTATATCTTGATTTAGGACACACGAATCTTCCCATCTACAAACTGGGAACGTTTCGCGGGCTGCCCAGCGTGGAAGTGCTGCTTTTAGACGGGAACGGTCTGCATGATATTGAATCGCGGGATTTCTTTAACGGCTTTATACCGCGAAATCTCTCCGTGCTGGATGTATCTGACAACGGTCTGATCGGACATATTTGGGGATTTGAGCAGTGGGCGGCCAACCTTGAGTGGTATAATCTCGCTGGGAATACCATCACACAATCCTTGTTCACCAATCGTTCGCAATATTTTCCGAAATTGCGCTTTATGAGTCAGGCTCGCAATCGACGAACCTATACGAAGTCAGCCAATTATAAGAGCATGACACAGCTGAACACGATTGATTTCGGGTGTAATGATTTTCGCAATATTACAAAGGAGTACTTTAACGATCTGCCGGCCTCGCTGAAGGTGTATAATTTGTCGTTCTGCGAACGAAAGCAGAGTGACCGGGTCATGGTGGCGAAAGATGCTTTTACGGGATTTCCAGCCATCAGTGAACTATACCTGGACAGGGCTTTTTTGAAGCCCAATTTTTTCGCGAAACTGCAGGTATGCGGCCTGTGATCATATCAAATTTCAGAGAAATGCCGAGCTAGATCTATTAGAGCTATTGCTTTTGCGCATCCTCAAATTTTATTCATAAAACGAATTTTTTCAGTTCTTATATTTTATTTCCCATTATTTTAAAATGTCATAAACTGGTTTGTGCTTCGACTCGTCTTCATAATTTTAGTTTGCTATAGAAAACTTTTAAGAAGATCAGATGCGTAATTGCCTGACTTTTAAAATGCTGGGCATGCATTTAAAATTTTTTTAATTTTGCCTAATTCGTCGTTCCTAATTATGTAACAAATATTGGGAGCGCAAAGTCAAACGGTTCTCAGTACCGGTACCAGTGTGTGTTACATCTATAAATAATTTGGATGGAGACTGGTGAGTGGCATAAAAAGGTGTAAAAAATGGTTCAAAAATTAGCGCATGGTAAATGTATAGCAGACGCAAGCGAAACTGGTACCACGTACCGAGACATTTTCCATCACCGCACATTTCAAAACAACCCAGTTTTTTCTTTTCAGAGAATGCCGAAAACCAGTGCGCAAGCACTCCGAGTTCTACATTTAGCGTATAATCGAATAGCCTTTCTCCACGGAGAGGGCTCCCATTTCATCCCGTTCACTGGACTGGAATATCTAGACCTCGAAGGCAACCTAATGCAGTCAACGGGAGCCGCAGCATTCTCCCCTCTCAAACGCCTTCGTCGGTTGAATTTATCTAAGAACGGTTTATTTTCCATTGGTCAGGAAGATTTTAAAGGATTAGACAGTTTAGAAGATCTTGACCTATCCGGTAACAGCCTCACCCTGATCGCGCCCAAATCCTTCGACATGTTGGGAAACCTACGCGGGCTCTTTTTACACGACAACGCCCTGACAAAAAGCTCCGGCCCGGTAGCCGTCATTACACCCGGTGAATGTCGTAAACTGACGCATTTCAGCATGGCCAACATCCCCTATGATTGCCTGGACACGGAGGTGTTTGTCCGCTTCCCCGGGCTAAAGTGGGTGTACTTAAATAATTCGGTTCCGCTGTTTGCCGATATGGATCCGCGGCTGAGTATGCTGCAGCAGATGCAGCGGACACCGTTACATCCCTGGGCAAGACTGCGAATGTGCGACAGCGGCACATTCAATCCACGTTGGAATATGGAGACGGCCTTTGTGAAAGTGGTGGTCAATGATGTCAGGCATTCGGTGTATCAAGATTTGTATTTGCTATTTAATACGTGCTTTCAACGACACAGTCGGCAAATACGGAATATCGTGGAAAAGTTGTTGTGTTAATGTGGTAAGAATATAATAAAATTTAATTGTCCCCCACAGTTAATCAACGTTAATTCACCGCGTTGCAATAGTCTTTTTAAAGTGCTGAAAATATGTGCATTAACTGTGTACAATACAGTAAGTAAGCCTTTATATGCATGGATAATAAGGCAGACCATCCATTAGCTAGCAAATCTTGGAGAAGAAGTTTGGAGAAGATTAAACTACTAGTAAGAACGTAAGCTCTTTTCTGTGGAAAAAGCAGAGGTATCCGTTTTCACTTTCCTTGATTACAGAACATTATAAGTCGCATTGTGCGCAATAGCTTTCAGTATAACTAATCCTGCTCCATACTACAATAATTATGGAAAAATTCCTTTTTATGACCCTCCATGCTCCTTCCGTGACTCCGTCACGTACTTCATTATAATTATTATCATTATTTGGGCAATTTCAAAACCCTTACTCAATAATTTAACAAGGATCATGTCAGGGGTAGAAGTACGGAAAATGCCGATATGCGCATTATGTAAACTGGTCAAAGTCGTTATGTTACGCGTAGGATTTCCTACCGTTTCATAACTTTCGCGGTCAATAGCACTGTACAGAGTCTGTACGTTCCGAAATTTTCCCGCAGTATCTCTGTGGCTGAGAACTTGAAACTCGTTATACAATCACTGTAAAAAACGGCGCCAATGCGTTTCACCGTGTTTATCTGCTTACTTATCGTACTTTAATTTTTTCTTAAGTGCTGCGGCAAACGTATCTGTACGTAGTTTGCCTTTTATGCTCAACAGGAAAGTGCTTTATTTGACATACGCAGTTCGTGATTCTCCATAATTTGATTCATCACGTAACTATATTATTGTATTTATATATTATTTCATCACAGTATTATTACGATACTGCCCGATGATCGCTATGATGGTGGATCGCGTCTATACACGTGCACAAGTAGCAATATTCGCAATATCGATCTTCCGTAAGTGGACAAAGTTTTAGTTTTGTTTTTATCAATTTTTATTTAGTTTTTTTACAACTCTTTATTTTTATCACAATATCGTAAACGAAAGTTGCCTTATGCTGCGTAATCTGCCTATTTCACATAATTATCTATTTCTTGTTTCCGATTTCCTGACATTCTGAATTTTCGTTGCAGTTCCGTACGGCAGCTTCGCTCCGTACAACCATTCATATTCTCAGCAGGTTAACTACCACAAAACTCCCCACCGGAAGTGTGGCTTTCCCAATTCGATTCCCCCCTTGGAAGAACATAAACCAGAAGAAGTGAATAACTGATCCTTTGTATTCTAATATAACTCCACAAATTTACGATAAGATATCGTCAGATATAAGTATATACATCCATACCATTTGCAAATTGGATACGTACAAACTGGATACGTATACTTAATTTACTGGAATAATTACAAATCCAATCTGGTAGTATAAATTTTTTTATCGACTGTAAATGTGTTACTCGTTTTGTATACTAGGTACATGGAGCCTGGTATCTTTACCGGCAAATATCGCCGGGCGGGGGCACTAGCATCAATAGTGCATACATTGTGCACGGCATTAAAGCCACGGCTGTACCTTTGACCAACACTTTTGCCGAATATCAGTGGTTACCAAACTACCAATATTCCACAGAGGATGGAGGCACGACATGTCATTACGAGTTTTTTATTGGCATTGTGGGTCGGGATGGTAGTCAGATTGGAGCCGATTATATATCCGATACGAGCCCGGCCTATGCCCCGCGTGCGTTTAATTAAGGGAAGTGGCCCGGTACATGGTACCAAATTCGTGTACATGCACGAAATCTTTCACTTTCGCGCACTCCCAAACCCTTTTTTCTCTTGTTTTATGACATTCTGTAGTCAAATGATTTGTATACACAGGCCTGAAAACCGTTTGCGCGCGCAACATCCGGTTCGCGAGTTATGGCTGTTAGAAAATTCCAAAAAGTTTAAATGCATTCAGGTGTACCAAAAGTCTCATTATGGACCGATCTTTTTCAGATTTTGCACGTAAATGCAAAACGTTCTTCGTGGTTATGTGCATTTACGTGCAAAATCTGAAAAAGATCGGTCCATAATGAGACTTTTGGTACACCTGAAAGCATTTAAACTTTTGGGAATTTTCTTACAGCCATAACTCCCAAACCGGATGTTGCGCGCGCAAACGGTTTTCAGGCCTGTGTATACAAATCATTTGACTACAGATTGTCATAAAACAAGAGAAAAAAGGGTTTGGGAGTGCGCGAAAGTGAAAGATTTCGTGCATGTACACGAATTTGGTACCATGTACCGGGCCACTTCCCTTAAATAAACGTTATGATTTAGGCTAATCATTTAGCTAATCAAATAAATGTTTATTATTCACACTGGCAAATAATTATGACATCACGATATGAGTTATGGTATAACAACGATGTCAGGTGGCGCGCAGCGGTGAACAGAAGGAACCTTTTTGCCTTTTATGCATCTTCTCGCAATACTACTTTACTCTAAACAAAAGGCAGCTCCTTGGCGCCACTATTTTTGTAGATGTTCGTAATAATAATCTTTTGAATTACAGATCCATCTAGCCTTATGGCAATTGTGTACGATTATCGGCGATTCTCCATCGACTACGGATGCGCGGAACCCAATTTGTTGACTGGTATATGCGAATCCCCGGTAGTGTTTGTCAGCACCAGGGTACGCCACCACCAGTTGTCGCAACGAGAAAAAAACGAAATCGACCGGGTCGTCGATGCTGTTTTCGCACCGTACTGTCTCTCCGCCGACGATATCCCGTTGCAGATCCAAGACGATAGGCCGGATTGTAGTATACCGGATCCGCCGGACTGTGCGCTCAAGGAACTGCAGATACTCGGCGCTCAGTTAGGAAACGACGGTTCCATTAGCTGACCTTCTCGCGCTTCTGCAGCTGCGTAAGCACGCCATAAAAGCAAGTTGTGCTTGCTAATTTTGTACTTCATACTTCATAATATTTGTGAATTTCCTTAAATTGTATGCTTTTATTGTGGAAATAATTCTAATGACGTGTAAGAAGCAATCGTCTACATGGCTGGTGACGTCAAAGGTCTATATATCCATAATTATCATACCTTTTTTGGTTTTCTACTCGCAATATACTTACTTCAGAAGTTGAAATAATATTGGAAGTATTGCATTTAACAATTATTATTGCGAAAACTGTAGTGTAGTGGGCACCACTCCAATAAAGCAATAAAGCAATAAAGCGCTTAATGTGCACTGCCCTCATCTTTACGCCCTCGATTCCTCGACAAGCATCAATAATAATACTTCAAGAATAGGCGCATGTTCCTCAGAAGCATACTCGTATAGCTTTGGAATGATAATTTCCGTTGCCGGAGATTTGTTTTGCGTCCAGATTAGTGAGATTACTACTGAATAAATGTACGAGTATGCGAGTTTTGACGTTTGACACGCACACGCCGAAAAAACAGCAAGGTGCGATTCAAGCATTACGTACCACAGATTTATTTCATTATTTGATTTTTATGTCCGCGACTCCTTATAAGCCGAACAAAAATAAATACCGTGTAAGCTGTCGGTTTATTTTTAATGAAGCAATATAACACAACAAACCAACGGTGGGCGTTTGCCAGTATTTCTGTTTCTAAACACCCTGCGGCAATATTGCGGGTTGCCTGATGGCTGCAGATGTGCAAGTTATTGTTCTAAGCGTTGTTTTTATTTTACTGGGACATCCGACGGTTCTAATATTGTTAAAGGTGTGACGTTCGGCTTTTGCGTCAACGAAGAAAAAGGCTGTTTCAGCGCTTCACAACTTTAATTATTTCGCACCTTTCCATATGTGATAACATATCGTAAGCAAATCATTACCACAAAAGAAGTGATTTCGTTATGGGGAATTTTAAAATCCAGCAATAATCGTGTTTTTTCTTGTATTCGCAAACACATATGTGTACTCGTTGCCATATACACCAACTGAAAAACGACAAGAATTTTAATTTAAAGACATTTACATTTGTTATCTAAAATATATTTGTCCTCATCATTATAACGAGAGATACACACATTCAACAGTCGCTGTGGTAACTGGTAAACGATACAAAGGGCGTGGCCGAAAAACTGAAAAAATTTTGAGTACAATTGTACAAGAATGGGACTTGAGTTCTGCATGAAATTATTACTATAAACGACGATATGACGCACCATGATGTGCGTGAGATGGCTACAGAAACTTCTGCAAAATTATTACAGTAACGTGCTATTTCGCCTTTGGCGAAGTGTCAGTGTTCTCAAGGTGTTGTTGATATCAAAGTCGAAGCGGAAAAGTTAGAGAAATGTGTATCTTTTTCAAAACGGATAATTTCCAGCTGACATTTATTGCTGTATACATCATACGTGATAGTGAGCACAATGCGATGCCGCAAATAACAACATTTCTGCCGATTTTCTTAACACAGCTGATACTTGTGCGGATAACGCACGCCACGTGCACACATCTTCCATCGGGACGATGTTTTGTCGACTGTACAGACGATGTGTATAAAGTCGTCTGTGAGAGCATCGACGGCAATCAGCTGCAGTATGATCTGCAGACGTTTGCTGGTTTAAATACGTCCTTCGAGCTGCATATCTGGAATTCACCGGGTATTGGACGTTTAGGCGCCACCAGCTTCGCCGATGTACACGATCAAATTGCTGTACTAGAACTGCAGAATCTAGAGAATTTGGAGTTGTTTCCGGAAGTGGCTGCTCTGATATCGCTCAAGGATCTGACGATAGGGAACTCACCGAAAGTCAGACAATTTCCCATCGAATTAATTCCTCTTAGCGGTAAAAAAAGCATATCGTATGGAACTCGTACTAGATTAACTGCCAACTTTCCGGAACAAGTTCGTTAAACGCGAGGGTACATTCCCTGTAATGTAATGTAAGTTTTTCAGAAATTAGGGTATGTTCAGTACTGCCTTTTAAAATAACAACACAGAAGTTATTTTGAATCTAGGTTCATAAAGCGCGACTATAGTTTATACTTACAACATTGTGAAATCTTTAAGCTATTATATTTTAGTGGAGTCCTTGAACTTCCATGCAACCGGCATCGAACTCTTCTACGCAGACTATACTAGCGGCAAACTCCTTCCAAAAGTCAGATACTTCCGGATTCACCAACAAGCCTTGACTTGTTCGGACCAGTTCTTTCTAACTTTTCCCAATTTGGAAAGCATAGAAATCATCGAGTGCCATATCAACCTTGGCAATCTGGAGGATGCGGCATTACCCTTCTTTACGGCAAAACCGCTCCGAAAATTAGTCGTTACCAATAACACCTTCTCATCGTCGATTGCAAATTTCCATCTTTATATTTTTGATCATATTGTCAGCAGTTTGGTGGTGCATGAGAGCAGTGATATCGAAATATCGGAGAATGCGTTTCCTATTGGGAAGAAAACTCTGCAGAAGTTTAATCAACTGTCAGCTATTAAGCGCTTATCATTACGCGGAAGTTACTTCGAGAATTATCAGACGCTGGAGAACCTATTTAAAGGCTTCAACGATCTAGAGTACCTGGATCTCGGACGGACCAATATCCCCATATACAAACTCGGCATTTTCAATGGTTTACCCAATTTACAAATTTTGCGGTTGGACGGCAATCACTTGCAAGATATCGAAGAACGAGATTTCTTTCAGGGACTGCAAGCAAACAATTTTTCGGTATTGGATGTATCGAACAATAATCTCCATGGACACATATATGGTTTTGAAAAGTGGGGGAAGAATTTAATGCATTACGATATGTCGGGCAACGATGTTACAAAATCCCTGTTTACCAAACGCGCACAGTTTTTTCCCAAACTGCGATTTATGAGCGAAGCTCGTAACCGACGAATATTTACGAATTCATCCAGCTTTACCGAGATGAAGCAGCTGGACGTTCTGGACTTTAGCTGCAACCGTTTCATGAATATCACCAGAGATTTTTTCAACAGACTACCGCCTACGTTGCGGATGTACAATATGTCGTTCTGCGAGCGAAAGTTAACGGACCGTGTAATAGTGGCGGAGGATGCGTTTGTCGGGTTTCCGACCATCAAAGAGCTATACTTTGACCGTGCATTCCTGCGGACGAATTTCTTTACGAAACTTCAGGTACGCTAAAATATAGACTCTCTGAAAGTTGTGGTAAATGAGGTTAGCGTAATTCTGTTCCAACACAATCCAGCGTTCTCACCCGAGCAATTTAATGTCAATATACGTATTAATTTTTATTATAAAGGTGCAACTGCGGTTTGTTCTTAGCTTGTTCTGGGCACTCTAGACATTCCTGCAAGTTGCAGCAACTGTATTAGTAATTTAGGGCAGTATATCTTTCCGCAACTATAGTTGAATAAGGCGCCGTTAAGCGATTGTGCACATAAAAATTGGACGAATTTAAGGGTTACTGCCAATAATGCAAATGGCGCTTAAGCCGATTTTTGAATGAAAACGAAAAAGAGCTCCATTTCTTGTGACCACCAGACTCACCAAAGTGTGCGTCTGCTTTGCCAGTGAAGATTTAGTCAGCTGGTTTAATGCTCTGGTGGTCAAACAAAACGAGAATAATATGTTTTATGATTGCGTCGTAACAAACTTTTTACTTATAGAAAATGCCACCCGAAAGTGCGGCCGCCCTCCTGGTTCTCCATATGGCGTACAATCACATCGCCTATCTTCACGGTAACGGCACCCACTTTAAACCCTTCATTAATTTGGAGTATCTTGATTTGGAAGCCAACCGCATGCAGTCCACCGGGGGCGCCGCCTTTTCCCCGCTGAAGCGACTGCGGCGCCTGAACCTAGCCAAAAACGGAATATTCTCCATCTCCGTGGACGATTTCAGGGGCTTGGATAGTCTGGAAGATTTAGACATTTCCGGTAACCAGTTACTGATGATCGCACCCGGCTCGTTCGATATGCTGTTGAACTTACGCGGATTGTTTCTGCACGATAACAGCTTCTCCCATAATTCCGGACCGTCGGCTGTCTTCGGCATCGGCAGGGGTCGTAACGTAACACACCTCAGCATCGGCAATTTGCCGTACCGCTGTCTGGAGGCAGAGGTGTTTGTCCGGTTTCCAGGGCTGCGATGGATTTACCTAAACGAGTCGACTCCGCTGTTCGTGCACATGGATCCCGTTCTCGGTGTGCGGCAGCAGATGAAGAAGTTCCCGTTGCATCCCTGGGCGGAATTAAGAATGTGCGACAGCTTTCGCTCCAGTACTAATGAATACGCGGCAGAAACGTTTTTAAAGGTCCAGGCTAGTGACCCTAAACATATGGTGTATCAAGATCTCTATATGCTTTTCAATCCGTGCTTTCAACGCCGGTTGAGAAGGATTAAGGAAAAAGTGGAAAATATTTTGTGCCAGTAACGTGTGATATACCGCTGTACAATGCCCATAAAAAAATCGCAAAGGCAAATTGTACTTTGAATGGAGACTTCTCTCGTGGGATTCCAGATCGCTTAATTACCATGTTGTGAGTAGCAACACGCTCATGTCTAAGCTGCAGCTGACTTTAAAACTTCAGGTAGTAGCGACACATTTACACTACATATCCGCTGTGCTCCTGACGGAGCACTACTACAATTCATTTTGTGCACTGTGTGAGCTCACGTCTGCCTCTACACGGACTCAATCCCAATTTTGAATCCGCTCTTCTGTACAAAAAAATTAGCAGATACCCTTCCCAGTTCTACATGTGTTCAGATGCGGACCGCACTTGTGTTCAGCTACCTGGAAGGAATATGATCGTAACAATACTGATTTTAAAGTATGCCGCACTTACTTGTTCTCACTTACCTGAGTTACCTCACTTAATATTAAATTTTGCATCTCTACCTTATATAGTCTTCGTTATCCCAAATTTGAAGTTTCATTTAAAGAACAGTTTTGAAAACAATACTTCAAGCAACTGCATCGATTATTTGGCTTGAAAATAACGTGAAATACTTGCTCAAAATGTATTAAGAGTTATCAAATTTGAGATTGCTCAGATTTGTTTCACCTGTTAATTCTTCTCCTAGTGCAGTTTCAACGTTTTCGGGTGGGGAGAGTTACTTCGCTGACTACTGCTGAACTTTTGAAACCACCGTGACAAGACTCAATTTTAACTCTGACGTTGTATAACTTAGATTTGGATACAACCGCTTCTCAAAGCAACGGAAAAAGATTCAGTTTGTAGTCCGAGCAGCGGTTTTTCTTTATGGGATGGGTTGGTTACCAGTGTCTGGTAATTAAAGTAAAAGGCGCAGAAGAACTTCTTGCACTTTTTTCGAATATACAAAACCATAATAACTTTTAATTATCGATCAAATAATCACAGTGATGACCAGTGCTGTTCAAATTTTGGAAAATATATGTATTCAGCAGCTGCGTAATTATTCAGTGTATGTCAAAAATAATAATTCTTGACGAATAACCCTGCTTGTTAGTAATTCCTAAACCTTTGCTAAAATAAGACATTCTGAGGTCACAGATCATTTTCTCTGAGAGAATTTTCCCACCGATATAAGCAGATAAGGATCACCACACTAGCCGGCGTTTCAGCTTTCTGTTGTGTCCGTTAAGTACATGGAGTTTGAGTTGAGCTATCAGTCTTCACCCATCACCTTCCAGCAAACAGTAAAACACATAATGCCTTTTAAACGCGTTTTCACACTTTCTCCACTTACCCGCGGTTCCGCACTGTTACCGTAGCGTGCACAATATAGCTTAAAAAAGTAAATAGCGAGCTACTTTTGCGGTGTATGTACATGTACAAGGTATGTACATGTTAATTCATAGGTTTCTGCTAACGCACGTGCGGCTTTCCTGCACAATATTGGATACAGTAGCGTTGCATAATCATGAGCCAAATGACGTCTTTTGTTCTGATGCTCAGTATTAGCGGACTTCTGCACTACTGTCTGGCATCCTCAGGTGAGATTTTCAGGTTAGTTTGCCGCAGTATGCATCAAAAAGCCTTCGCAGCTCTCACGTGCGGCAAATCAGAAGAGCTTGCAACAGCGCAGTGTGTGGATAAATATGTAGTTAAAGGTTATTTTGCCGTCCCTAGTGTCGCAAAATATTTAAAAAAACATGCTGCCACATTTTACCAAAGGTCTCAGCCACTTGGTAAAATGATCTTTTTTTACATTACAGCTAGCGATGCGCTGGAAACCGACTGCAATGTCCGACAACCCAGCTCCGCTGCTTACTCTTCCGTAAACACAGTATCGATTTCACTGACTTTTCCGTTACGTACGGATACCTTAACGTGGGAAGAATGCACAGCATACACCACAGCTCCCAAAAGTTTTCTGTGCAGTCCCGCACACTCATGTAACGGAACTGACAAAGATGACTTTCTCCCGCCACCAATGTCCATGACGTTTATCGAGCTAGCTTGTTCGTGGCACAACCGTACGTTTATGGCGGCAGTGACAAACCAAGTGAAAACCATTAGCCCTAATCGAGCGGTGATCATGGAGCTGGACGAAAAGAACGACACAACGGATCCTGTTGACTCTAACGTCATCGAACCGGTTCGCCAGCAGTTAATTTCGTTGACGGTCCACCATTGCGTTACACAGACTGTTACATCGAAAATTTATAAAATCGGCAACTTTCCGTATTTAGTGCGGTTAGTCATGCAAGGTTGTTGGGGACTGATCATCCGGAAAAAGGATCTGGAGAATATGCAACAGCTGCGCATGGTCCAGTTCATTGCGGCGACAATTGAGTCCATGGAACCGTACACTTTCACCAATCTTCGGAATTTGCGGAGTTTACGCCTGGAAGACCAGTTGCGCTATCTGTTGAAGCAGAAAGGCAACCCAATCGATCAACTTTATTTGGACCGCTCTAAATTAATTGCAGACGAAGATGTTGAGCGAATCACAAGCCTTCACTGCAACTGTTCGTTAGCATGGTTCCGGAATTTTCTGCGAGCCAAGCCGTTTCTAACCGCGGAAAAACGAAAAGGAGAGGACTATATCGTTGGGAATTTCATATCGGACACGGTTTTCGTAGATGGGATCTATGGGTCTGTTCTGAATGTGGACTGTGCAAAAAAGGTGTCTATTCATAACGTAGATGCCGGTCCTCAGTTCTCATATAACACGTCGTGCTATAATATAAAGTGCTAGTACACAAAAATATTTCTTTCTGTTTTAACCGAGTTGGGATGCATACAAAGTGCCGGGCGAGCATTGGTCGCAAAAGGCAAGAACGACTGCAGTACTCATGCTTGTACGAGCAGATATATCTGTATGTACGAGTATGTATCCAAATAACCAAAATAAATGGTATGGGCTGATGCTCAGCGATCGCATTAAAAATTCTCTTTTTACTTAAATTCAATTTAAATGCATAGCTCCCCTTCTACAAAAAGAAATTCCGCTTCTGCAACGACAATGCACGAACGGACGCTAGAATGCACTTCAATTTGCCGAATTAAGATTGGAAATAAATGGTCTCATAAAGAGGTAATTAAATAATTTAAATGCACGAGTATTATATGACCCTAGTGAACCGGCAAGGCCACTAAGTGGTACAGCCACGTTCGGACCATCGTGTCCACTTCCAAATTGCGCGGGTTACACAAAAATCCATTTTAGCTTCCGGCAGTGCGATATGAACCGCGAAAAAACGCTTTGTAAATCTTGCCGTGCCCAAGTAAAACTTTTCACATATCTACAGTATACGTATATTGCGCGGCATCGCATTCCTTTTCTATCCGCTCCGTCTTATTACATAAATGTTTAAACTGTTGTTGAAGAGATAAATTGCAATATTCATAACTATCGCGGTTTCAATTAGGTATTTTGATAATTCATGTATTCTCTACGATTATTAAGAAATGAATGCATAGCGAGAACTGCAAAGCCGCAAAACAGCTATGCTACTGATACAGTGAATAGTGATGCATAGGAGTATTTTGTATGATATGATATTATTATCGTGCTTGCAGTCGGATGAACCGCTGCAGGCATAACACTCCTTTAAAATTTTTGAGTCGTCTAACAGCTTTAATAATTGTTGTAATACTGCAAGAACGGAAAAATTGTTTCGCGTGTTGGCGTTTACAGTACACGGTGAATTTCTAATTCTCTCCTGCCACGCACACGTTTATTGAAAACCGTTGTTACATGGCGCTATACTATATCTTCCTGCTCTCTATTTCTGGAGCCCTACAGAACCGTTTGACGTCGGCAGGTAAGATATCTGCAGTAACAAGCTTCGTTATTTACCGTTGTCCATTAGAAGTCGAAATTTCAGTAGAAATTTTATTCTTACCTGCAGCAAGCGCTAAACAGGAAAGCGACTGCAGTGCTCAACAGTCCGCGGATATTTCCCACTCTTCCGCAACCACAGCATCGCATGCACCTGTTTTCCCTTTCCGCACGGACACCTTGACGTTGGACGAATGCCAGGCGTACGGTGCAATACCCACTAGCTACCTGTGCAATCCTGCTTTCTCCGCCCGGGGATGTAATCGAACCGACGATGACGATTCCCTGCTGCAACCAATGTCCAGAACCTTCATTGAGCTATCCTGTTCGTGGCATAATCGCACGTTTCTGGCCGCAATGACCAACCATCTTAAGACAGTTAGCCCCAATCGAGCGGTGATCATAGAGCTGGACGAAAAGAACGATACAACGGATCCGGTTCACTCTGACGTCATCGAGCCAGTCCGCCAGCAGTTAATTGCTTTGACGATCCATCATTGTGTTACCCATACTGTTACGTCCAAAATTAATGCAGTAGGGAGTTTTCCTTATTTGGTGCGATTAGTAATGAAGAGCTGTTGGGGACTGATAATTAAGAAAAAGGATCTGGAAAATATGCAACAGCTGCGTATGGTTCAGTTCATTGCTGCGACGATTGCAGAAATGGAACCGTACACCTTCACGAATCTGAAGAATCTCCAGAGCTTGCGACTGGAAGAAGAACTTCGCTATTTGCTGAAGCAGAGAGCCGACAATAATTCTAAATCGATCCGCGGCAACTTAATTGCGGACAGCGATGTCAATCGAATTGCACGACTTCATTGCAACTGTTCCTTGGCATGGTTTCGTAATTTCCTGCAGGCGAAACCACACTTGATCGCGGAAAAACGGGAAGGAGAAGTGTATGTCGTTGGCAATTTTATATCAGACCGTGTTTTCGCTGTTGGGATGTTTCGATCTGTGCTTAATGTGGACTGTGCGAAAAACGTATCCATTCACAATATTAATGCCGGCCCAAAATTCTCGTACAATACAGGCTGTTTTGATATTCAGTGTTAGGATACTGTCTGCATAAAATTAATATGAGTAATGCCAAATGATTAGTAATGTCACTCTGATAGTTCTACTAATTCTTGGGTCAAATGAATACGAAAGATATATTTTCCAGCTCAGCGTCAGTCGCTAAACGCTCTTTTTAAGAAACGTTAATTATGTTCGTTATGTTTCTACGCGGATTTTTACGAATATGGCCATATGCCCCTTTAACTGCAATCCATTAAGGAATTGATTTTACTCTTCCCAAGTTATGACGGAAGTATAGCCTAGCACAGATTTTTCCAGACGAGTTTTCCCTCGTTGTTCGACCGCCACAGCAGACTGAGAGCGTAGAGGCAAATTCGGCTTAGTTGTCCCAGTTCAGTGTTGCCCAGTTTGTAATTGCTTCGTTGTAACTGTTGGTAGAGCAACGCTGAACGCGGGTCGCCGTTTAGGATGTCTCTCATAACCTGTCAGAAAACAGTTTTGTACACTAAAGAAACACCATGCTGACAAATACATGCCAAAAAGGGCAGATTAACTCCCATCAGATATAATTTATAATTAAAGCACTTAATTTTGATACGCTCTTTGAACATTTTTTCTTAAACACCTAACCGCAAGTGTTATTGAACGCACCTGAATATCTGCATTTTGCAAAAATAGTTTGTGTAAAGTCTACGGAAGCGGCTACGAACCAGGGAGTAACGTGCAACAGCCTTGACCAGGAAATATTCAAGCAGTTAGCGAGAGGCTTTGCTAGTTACTGGATGAAGCATTACGAAACCAACACAAACAGGTGCATACCGTTTTAATGTCTTCCCGTGCTTGTATGATAGAATTCTTGTTATGACCGGCATATTTACCGCGCCGACTAGCCGACATATCGGTCAGCCACTGGGCGATGCGTTCAAGCGGCAGAAATTGTGTGCGATCCAGATGGTCCTCAAATATATCCCATAGTAGCGACCGGCTAATCGATTCCAGATCTATTACCACATGGGCAACAAACGACTTCAATGGACCAATCCTGCGGCACGGAAGACACACTGTACAGTTTCTCCATATAACTTGCTGACACAGTGGTTGGAAAGCACAGTATACGTGGAAATCATCGACAGGAATGTGGCAGTTATAGAAAACGACCTGCTGAATATCCTTGACTATCTCGTGATAAACCAGAAAGTTGATACTAGCACTTGCAAGATCTCGACGGGAATACGGAATATCGCCAATGCATATCCTTTTCGTCGTCGGTCCTACGAACTTTAAGAAGCATGCTAACATAGCGTACATGTGCGTCCATTGACGTGGATGCAGTCGGTACCGGGCGAAACATGGTTTAGTCAGAGATATGGGCACTTCCAGGCATAATTCAGCCGATTTTACAAGGGAATTCCATAAGTGGCAAGTCCGTCGGCAGCGCTGTCGATCGATGGTATCCAAATACTGAAAAACGTCTCTCAAAACCGCGATCGGCAGCGCGGTTCGCAGGCATTTTGAGGTAGGCCGTTTCGCCAAGATACGGCGATACATTTGTTCTGCATGCGAAAGCTTGCTGATTCTGACTTGATTGGATGCAAGTTTAGATTTGGCCGAATGAAACGCTTCCTCCTGCGCAAACCAATCGTATAGTTACCTATTCATATCTACGAGTTTGAAAATTTTAGGAAATATCCAAACATCACTCATAGTAAAACAAGTTTTAGCCTTACCATTGGCCGAAACGGCTCCTCTGTATTATGCCGTTTCAGGAAGATCAACTCGTTTTCCTTTAGTACCACGCTGATTGGCATTATCTTGTGGTGCATTTCTAGTTCGCGTTGAAAAGCAGCACACAGTATGGGTGTATCTTCAGGAAGACACCAGGTACTGATGACAAAATCATTTGGTTGGATGAGCCTGTCTTGAAGTTGTTCGTGTGTCAATGTACTTCGGATTTGGGCAGGTGGCACCAGTTCCTGCAACGTATATCCTTCCAGTTGTACTTCCACGAATGCATAATCACACTGATTGGTCGAAAAGCCAGTGACTAACACAATGGCAGGGTACCACGTCCATGGTCCCTTGGAACCGTCTCGCATCAGTACTTCCACGTGGGCACTTCCCCTCCCGTTTAATTGGAGCGGGTATTTCCATTCCGTTGCCGCTTTGTAACCAGTATATGGCTTGCATGAAAGGCGATATTGGGATTTTTGTAGTAGTTTGTCTGAGCAGTCAAAAATCTTTCCAAACTCTACGAAGAGTTCTGTTTGTGAGGGACAGAACAAATTCACCAACAAGCCGTTTTCCGCCGTATTAACGACGCTGCCATGCCGCAACCGACCGTCGACCAGTACGTCAACCGCGTTCCAGGCGTGCACACGGCGGTCTCTGCTTATGTACAGGTGCATTAATTACCAGGATGTTCAAGATAGAACATGTATAAGCGGATTCTGTAGGTGATATATCGATCAGTTCTTGAGAATTCTCAGCAAAGTATAAAGAGAAAACGCGCGACTTGAAACAGCACAGTTACATATGAGCAATATAGCAATCACTTCGCTGCAATGCAAGCAGTCTCCTGTGGAAATATTTTGAATTTTGCGGGAGAATTTGTTCTATAACCGTAATCGTTAGTACGTTGTATTCGTAATCGTTAATCGATGCATTTACGAGTTAACTATTACTAATTGATACAATGAATGAAGCGTACTTGTTATCACTACAAGTATTGCACTTTATACAATCAAATTCCACAGATACGATAACGGCTTGTGTGTTTCACGTGGCAAGATTATCAGGCCAATGCAGCCAACATACTAAGTACTGTATGTATAAAATGTCTCAGAAGATTATTTATCGAACAATTTATCGAACAATCCGGAACTTCAGTTTATACAGGTCGATCGCACCAAGTGTGGGCAGTAACAAAATATTCCCATTTGCTACCGTTGAACCACATAATCGTTTTCTTATTTTTTTATGATAGTTCGTGTTCTAGAGAAACTTTTTTAGTCATATTTCTGCGGCAGAAGTTAATACGCAGGGAACGGAAGCGGAATTTTTAGTTTCAAATTTGCCCCAAAACTCGCACTGCTTAATAGGAGAAATTCATGTCCAGTCAATAATTTTTTAAAAATTTTGGATGCGTGAGAACTATCAAAGAATATTGTGGTTTTCTAGTGGTCCTTTTCTCACGTCTTTTGAATCAATAACATCTGACCCAAGGTGATCCGCGCTCTACGCAACCACATTCTTCGGATGGTAGCTTTTAACATATAAGTCTATGGGAGACACTTTTGTTTGAGCTTGCTACCGAGCACTGTGCGCTCCAGAATCTTTTGCCACCCCTTAACGAATTCCTTTAAAGCCACTCCATGGTTTACAAAAAGGTTTGTAGAAAAACATCAGATGCTGAATTTTTGAGAAGGGCGGTTGTAATCATTAAAAAACTGACCCCTACCCTCTCCCATTAAGCCCCGCCCTACTCGTTCTGGACGCATCAACGGATTTCAGGTTTGACATCACTGGATCCGCAATAAAAATTTGCACTAAATAAGATGAAAGTAAACAACAAAAATGTTTACAGAATTATTTTTCCAATTATTTTACTCAACTGCCCACACTTGGTGCGATCGACCTGTAATTCCGTTACTTTCACAATAGTACGCACACAATAATGTAGTAAAACTACGTGATCAAAGAGTAAGTACGTTTCAGAAACCTGCCTTTACTTAATACTAATGCTGTCATGCAGGCCAAGCGGATATAAGGGAGATACCTGCATGAATTTGTAAACAGTGCAACTAACCAGGAAGAAGCAATAAGAAATCTCATAAACAACACGATAACAATAATGGCTTCTATTGGTTTCTACTTTCTTACGAAGCATATGTTTTAGTTATCATGAAATATCGTTGAAGCACTGGCACGTATCAGTTAAGAATCAAGTTGCTCCAGATCTGTATACTTACTACTAACTTAATTTTTGTGATTTTGGCTTGCGTTCGTTCGGAAAATTGTTCTCTTTGCCGCCATGAAAGTAGTCAAGAATATAATTCGTGCTATGGGTTCTACCCTGAAGGAAGTCCGGTAGACAAAGAAAGCTCGGTAATGCAAGGGAGGACACCATGCGCTGGTTTGTAGAGCCGAGCCAAAGTTGATTCGATTCGAATCCATGCAAATTTTGTCTATGTCAAAGAATTTGCGCACAATACTCGATAACTGTACCCGATCAAATACAGTATGCGCCTAGGCCACGCGGCTGAAGTTCATTTTAATCGTCTTTATCGACCCATCAAATATGTAGAATAATGCGAATGTGGTAATTTGAATTAGCCGGGTGTCACTGCGGCGCTGCGCCGACGGAGAAAAGTTTGAAAAAATCTTTTCAATCCAATCCGAAATTTTTTTCCGATCTAGAAGAACATAATCTAAATATAAAATAATATTACACGATGTTCCTTGCAAAACCAGCCCACGTTGTGTTGGGGAAAAGATTGCCTACCTGGGTTCCTAGATAGCCGGCGGCATACACTGCCCATTAACCACAGCTGCAGATGCGTATTCACCACGTAGACAGGGTAATAAAACGTCAATACGATCATGTGCGGTAAATAGCAGGCTAAGTGCCACAACGATGAGGCGAACAATATCCTACCAAGAAGAATTCGGCGTTTTCTTCGTAACTGTGTTCTCCGATAAGCCTCGTCACTGTTGCCCGGTTCGATTAACTTCTGTCGGAGCTGGGATAATAAAATTCCCAGGTAGCAGCAGATTGTCCCAGCTGTCGGGACATACACGCCCAGTATGACGCGGACTTCGAAGATCTTTATATTCATATCTGTTGTCGGACGCACCATGCAGATATGCCACGGCAGAACTAATTCCGTGTGCCAACCGCTGCCGACAACCATCGGCAGCGCACACGCCAGCATAATAACCCATCCAGTAAGAATCGCCGCAGCGGTCACGCTGTGTTTGCTTATTTTTGAGCAGTGATCGGGAAAAACTATGGCGACTAGTCGGTTGATGGCGAGGATAAACGACGCCCAACGTGCATTGCCAGAGAAAACGATGAATGCGACGTAGAGGTTTCGACAGCTGGTTAAGGACAGTGTCACCGAGGAAAAACAGAAATGCATTATGAAGCCTGGATTGATTATCGCCGTGATGGCCAGGCTGACGATGAGCATGTGGTGATCTGGACACGAGATTCCGATGGTTTCCGCTGGCGATACAAGATGGTAATAATTAGGAGAATTAATAATAAGGACGTTAGGAACGCGGTGCAAGTTATCAAGACGAATTACCAAACAGTCAACGTACTGGTTTTGGCTTTCACCGACAAATTCGATACGGTATAATTAAGCGATACGTTCATGGTATCCAATACAAAATATGCACGAACAATATTTTAGTCTGCTATAAACAAAAATTTAAAAATAGTATTTGCTAGATAGCGTTATTAAAGAAAATATGAGAGAATTTATGTATATGTGTTATAAATGTATCGTATATATTCACGGTTTGGCCATTATACGAAATTCCTAAATGGCTGAATACCATCCAGTATGATTGTGCAGTACGTAGGTACCTTTAAATCAGCTTTCTGTGATTAAATTTCCTTGTATATTTGTGGCACTCGCAGAGGGTTTTATTTGTCACAAGGTTCGCCTTGGGATTTTGCTAGTTCCGTTATAAATAAGGTAATCTCTGTCCCGTTTAAATTTTACCGCGTAGTACGCGTACTATCTTTCATTTCAAGAGATCCATTCAAGATTTTTCAACGGAATGACGCGTCGACATGCATTCAGTTTCAGTCGCCATCCTAATTTAGTACTAGATAACCATGCGGGTGTGTTTACGTCTAACCGCCTTGCGATTTTCTACGGTATTTTATTATCATAATTGTGACATCTGTTTCTCGACGATATTAATTTTTATTAATAATTGTGGCATTTTATTGTAACTAGTACTCTAGGAGTTTGCCACATTGTCGTTACGGTTCCAAAAGTCCGTATTTCAGCATGTACGTAGTCATTGATCAATTGCACGAGCGAGTCACTGATCGATATATGTACCAATAAAATTATTAATATAGGTTTTGAAATGCATACTATACTTACAGATTGCCTGTTGCATGCTGCTAATATGTATGGATACAGTCTGATGATACACAGTTGGTTGTTAATCTCGGTTATTTCGTACATCCAGACAAATGTCGCGATTGATTGCTATGTACATACTGGTTAGGCAGTTCGTTGATGCGGGAAATGACATGTTTTCTTGTAATATAGCGCACAATGGTAAATATGTTTATCCACAGTCTGCATATGAGTAGTGTTGTCCTCAATCGTCCCATCACCAGAGCAAAGCGCTCAGCCAAATAAATTAACTCCAAATGCAAATACAGTGCCGCTCTAAACTTAAACAGTGAATGATTAATAAACTCAGCAAATGTCATGTTTCTCAGTTATTTGGACAGGATATGCTGACGGTCCTTTCGAGGCATGTATGTCCCCGTTCGCTGATATTGCCCCATCCATTCCATCGGCGAACCCAGGACCTCCGCGGCCCGTCGCGCAAAATACGGATCCCGAATAAACCCGCGGGCCATGAACACTAGATCCGCTCGGCCCTCCTTGATCACACTCTCCACCTCCTCGGGGGTGTTAATCAGTCCCACCGCGCCCGTCATCATTTCAGCTTCCTTCTTTACCGCCTCCGCGAACGGCACCTGATACAACGGACCCACCGGAATCTTGGGATTGGGGTCAATGCCGCCAGTGGTCACATCGATCAGATCCACCTCCTTCGTTTTCAACACTTTCGCCAACTCCACGGTGTCCTCCTTTGTCCATCCGTCGTCCGCCCAGTCGGTGGCCGAGAGCCGGACAAACAACGGCAAAGTGTCCGGCCAAACAGTCCGCACCGCCTCGGTGACCTCCAGCAGAAGTCGAATCCGGTTCTCAAAAGACCCACCGTATTCATCCGTCCGCTTGTTGCTCAACGGAGAAAGAAACTCGTTGATCAAGTATCCGTGGGCGCCATGGATCTCCAGCACCTGGAACCCGGCTTTCAGCGCACGTTCCGCGGCGGCACGGAACATTTCCACAGCCTTTTGAATGTCCTCCCGGGTCATCGCCCGGGGCGCTGGTTCGCTGGGCTTGAACGGCACCGCACTGGGCGCGACACGCACCCATCCACCACGATCCACCGGGATCAGTGTGTCCCCTTTCCACGGCGCGGAATGACTGGCTTTCCGTCCGGCATGGGCGATCTGGATCCCGGCAACGCAGTTCTGTTCCCGGATGAATTTAACGATGCGCACCAGCGGCTCAATGTGTTCGTCCTTCCAGATCCCGAGGTCCTCCGGAGAGATGCGGCCTTCCGGACACACCGCTGTGGCCTCGAAGAACAGAAGTCCGGCGCCGCCGATGGCCCGGCTGCCCAGATGCACCAGGTGCCAGTCGTTGGGAAACCCGTCGTTGGCTGAATACTGGCACATGGGCGAGACGACGATACGGTTCTTCAGGGTGATGTCGCGGATTTTCAGGGGTTCCATGCATTTCGGGATGCAGGTGTGCTGTCCGCAGGGGACGCGACCTTCGCCCTGCAAAATTTCGATACAGTACAAATAACCGAATTTATAAAAGACCGCTCTCCTTAATTTTTGCTATCTGTAGATCCGTTAACCTACTCGATCTGCAGTATGCGATACGTACAGAACAGATTATAATAATAAACATAACTATAACATTAAAATAAACATACTAATAACTATGTAATTCATTTGCCTGCAGCGTAAAGCAGCTCCACCAGTTTATGTAATACAAGAAACAGCCTCGGCTTCGCCTCCGCGTTTCTTGTGGTCCATGGCAATTTTATTTGAATTTGAATGAATATTATTTATTAGATTAACATCAGTCTATTCGTCGAAACATGATCGGTACATGCAATAGGGCAAACACGAATTTTCTATGAAAATCAGTTCATGATTCTCTCAACCTTGAAAGCATTCCCTTTCGCTGTACATACAGATAATTTTACGATATCCCCTACCCGAAAAGAAAGCCGAGATATCAGTCTATAAGGTGTGAAATTTGAAACAGTGATAGTGCACTGGATCACTAGTTCGGTAAGTCATCACTTCACTGGCTCTTTTCACTGGAAGTTGGTGTGTGCCCAGTGGTGTATGTCCGGTCAGTAGTGGTGGCTCGATTACTTGCTTAGCTAACCGGTTCCGTTTTCCGGACAGTAGTGGTAGCTCGGTCACTCATGTACACTGTACAATAAGGACAGCTCGGTCACCCGCTCACCACCCGGGCTTTCTGCGCCGGACAGCAGTGGTAGCTCGGTCACCCGCTCACCTAACGGGCTTTGCACACTGGACAGCAGTGTTAGCTCGATCACACGCCCAACTAACGGACTTTGTACACTGACAGCAGTGGTAGCTCGGTCACCCGCTCACCTAACGGGCTTTGCACACTGGACAGCAGTGTTAGCTCGATCACACGCTCAACTAACGGACTTTGTACACTGACAGTAGTGGTAGCTCGGTCACTCGTTTCCTCTCGGCTTCGCTTCCGCGTTTCTTGAGGTCTACGACTGGTCTGTTCGAATTGTTATTTTAATCGTTTTTATTCATATCTTTTGGCTCTGTGAACTGGACTGTAGTGGTGGACTGGTGGGGCTTTCTGTGCCGGACAGTAGTGGTTGCTCGGTCACTCGCTCACCTAACGGACTTTGTACACTGGAAAGTAGTAACAACTCGGCCACCCGCTTACCTTCCGGGATCTGCACGGACAATAGTGGCAGCTCAGCACTCGATCACAGAACGGGCTTTTTGTGCGCCGGACAGCAGTGGTAGCCCGGTCACCCGCTGACCTAGCGGACTTGGTCACCTGCTCACCTCCCGGGCTTTCTGCGCCGGACAGCAGTGTTAGCTCGATCACCCGCTCACCTATCGGGCTTTGTACACTGGACAGTAGTGACAGCTCGGTCACCTGCTCACCTACCGGGCTTTCTGCGCCGGACAGCAGTGGTAGCTCGGTCACCCGCTCACCTAACGGGTTTTGTACACTGGACAGTAGTAACAGCTCGGTCACCTGCTCACCTCCCGGGCTTTCTGCGCCGGACAGCAGTGTTAGCTCGATCACCCGCTCACCTATCGGGCTTTGTACACTGGACAGTAGTGACAGCTCGGTCACCTGCTCACCTACCGGGCTTTCTGCGCCGGACAGCAGTGGTAGCTCGGTCACCCGCTCACCTAACGGGTTTCGTACACTGGACAGTAGTAACAGCTCGGTCACCCGCTCAACTTCCGGGATCTGTGCACGGACACTAGTGGCAGCTCAGCACTCCTTTACCGAACGGGCTTTTTGCGCCGGACAGCATTGGTAGCTCGGTCACCCGCTGCGCTAACGGACTTTCTGCGCCGGACATTAGTGACAGCGCGGTCACCCGCTCTCCTACCGACCGGATAGTAGTGGTAACTCCGTTACTCGTTCCCTAACGGGCTTTTTACACTGAAAAGTAGTGACAGCTCGGTCACTCGGTCACTCGTCATCGGACAGTAATGACAGCTCGGTCAACCGCTCACATAGCTATCCATAGTGGCAGTTCGGCCACTCACTGGCTTAGCGGGCTATTTTAACTAGAATGTAGTTGTAATTTGGTCAACTAACGGGCTTGTGCACTGAACAGTGGCGATAGTTCTGTCTATCGCTGCTTGGCCGGCACTTGTTTAGAAATTGTCCTCGATGACAGCGTTGGATATGTAGTCGTTCTTGTCGCAATAACGCCAACGGTCTGCTAATTAAATTGATTCTGATATTTTAATTAGTGGAAAATACTTTCATTTTTTAACTATATTTTATTTGGTTTACGTGGCAACATTGCCTGGTTAAAAATACCACGATGATAATTATTATTATAATAATTTGGTTACATTTGGTGAAGGTAATCAAAACTCTTCCGCTGTGGCGCTCGAAGCGGGAGAGGTTTTAAAAGAAACGAATACTATCTGGCCGGGTTTTCGATTACGGGCTTTCAGAATATAATATTGGTTTTGGTCAGTCTTTTCTGGTTTGCCGGCTCTGGTGTATCCCATTCGTGGCAATATAGATCTGAATCTTGATAACATAACCTAACAAACGCTATTTCTAATTATCTTACACGAAAACCTCCAAGATGAAAACTTCACACACAAGAAAAACAAGGACTTCCAGGTCTAAAATTTTATGAAGCCATTTAAGTTGTCTTAAATGCACCGTTTGAAACAAGAACAGAACGATCGAAATCACTGAAAACGGAACGATCTGCTTCACGATGCTGTTTATGCTCATACAGAAAGAGGAAAGTCATCGAACGGGAAGAAGATACAGAAGTCTTACGGTCACTTACCCAACAATATACAGAGGGAAAAAATTGTGCGAAAATAAGCTGATTCTATTTATTTTGCCTTACCGTTTCCGCCATGGCAAGATTCTGGATTATTCAGATTTCACAATAGGAGCGAATACTTTATTACAGGAGAAAGAATGCAAAACCTCCAAACTAAAACAAGCATCAAGTCTTGGCTGGCGTAAAACCGAAGTGATTTACTGTGGCAGTCAGATTTTGCAAAATAGTGGCAGCGGCTAAGGAATATCTTTATGACTGTGCAGTCTTTAAGTGAACTGTATGTTGACTGTGCCCGTGTGGTGCAGATTCTATAGTTCGATCGATCGGTAAACTACTGTTTTCTTCATGGCCATGTGCATGGAGCATGATACCGGCAGTACAAAACACGCACAATACAGACAGACCGGATGGTTTTGCGATTTTCCAGGTAATTCGCCGGCTGTTGTGTTTCGGTTTCTAGCACCCGGCATCTGTGTTTTAAGCTGTTTACGCAACTGAATCTGCACCATCGTGTACGAGTGAGTCTACGGAGAGTTTTCTACAGCAGCCCTGTCGGTAAACTGCCTACAGGTATGAAGGAAGACCTGTACCGCCTGTACTATAGTGCAGCATTTAATTAAATGACTGTCTTATTCGTTATAAAAAATGCACTTGTACTGAAACTGCAACCGGAAATACGGGGGAAGACACTAGACACTGACAGTGAAATATTAGAATAATACAAGCCGAGAATGGTTAAATACCAGCTGACGACTAGGGTAAATTTAATAAGTGAAATTTTTACTGTACTTTTATGCATTGGAATTTGTTAGAACGGGACATTCTAATGTAATAATTTTACGTTGGATTAATCTGTTAAAGTATCGAAACAATAGCCGCATATCTATATTCCACATGCTGGGTATTTCTCATCGTCAGTGCATGCAGCCAGAACGGTACTTACATGTACATACTTGTATATTACTGCGTATAAATCATTTTACCTGCCTTGTGTAATCCATTCTATACAACTATATTTATCGTTAGTAATTATGTATTAATAAAAATATATTCTTGTATTCGATACAGTACTGTACCGGCCGGCCGTACTGTATCCGACCGTACTGTAATGTATCGACTGTATGTACACCTATAGATATAATGATTTTATTACCGTATTTTCTTACGGCTACAATAGATACAATAAGATATAATAATAGTATAGATGACAATAATAATGGCAAAATGGTATTTCATCAATTTTATCTGACCGGTCAGGTAAATTGATGAAACACCATTTTACCGTTATTATTGTCACCTATACTTGGTACCAGGTTACCGCAAGAAAATACGGTAACATTTTACCATTATTATTGTCATCTATACCGTGTTCGTTGTCGTCTTATTGTTTTCTGTAGCCGTCAGAACATACGGTAAGAAAACCATTAGAAACGCACATACTTTAGTAAAGTACCTACATACAGTACTTACAGTACTTTACCATGCTCGTTATTTAACGAGAATACAGTTTTAAAAAAATTAACTGAGAATCCGGAAGGATGTTACAAAAACCATTTCCTGAAAAACGGACCAAGACTACCTGAAGGCTGAATCTAAATCGCTCGCTAAAATATATTACACTCCTTACGCCCGATAAAATAATATTCACGAACTAAATTAAAATAAATCTGAATCAGTTAGTATCGTTAAACCCTCAGCGGCCTCCACTGGCGACGCCTTACACAGGAACAAACATTATAATAAATCATATTTTACTCAAAATAACTACGATAACATTATCATTGACAAACATTTCTCCTCGCATTTTTATTAACAACAGAATAAAATGTGTACATAAGGAAAAATCTAGAAATACTCGTATCACAAGAAATGTTGCGAGGTCAGGATGCATACAAAAAGTACAATCTTCATTCATTCCACACACAGTGAATCGATTAACCTGACCACTAAATATTGCATGACCACTGAGAACCACTGACTATGCAATAAAGTAAAAAAGCAACAGGGGAAATTTAAAATTTTTGTGCGAAATGCAATTATTTGACCAAACTGTTAGTGATACTGTCGAGGCTTAAATGTTCCCGCTCGCTGATACTGTCCCATCCATTCCATCGGGGAACCCAGCGCCTCCGCGGCCCGCCGCGCAAAATACGGATCCCGGAGGAACCCGCGCGCCATGAACACGAGATCCGCCCGGCCCTCCTTGATCACACTCTCCACTTCCTCGGGCGTGTTGATCAGCCCCACAGCGCCGCTCAACATCCCGGCTTTTTTCTTCACCGCCTCTGCAAAGGGCACCTGGTACAACGGACCCAGCGGGATCTTGGGAGTGGGGTCGATACCGCTCGTGGTCAAATCAATCAGATCGACCTCCTTGGTTTTCAACACTTTCGCCAACTCCACGGTGTCTTCCTTCGTCCACCCACCGTCCGCCCAATCGGTCGCCGAGAGCCGGACGAACAGCGGGAGCGTGTCCGGCCAGACTGAGCGGATTGCTTCGGTGATCTCCAGCAGGAACCGGGTCCGGTTCTCGAAGCACCCACCGTATTCATCCGTCCGCTTGTTGCTCAAAGGAGACAGGAACTCGTTGATCAAGTACCCGTGGGCTCCGTGGATCTCCAACACCTGGAACCCAGCTTTCAGGGCACGTTCCGCGGCCGCCCGGAAGTACTCCACGGTCTGCTGGATGTCCTCGCGGTTCATCTCGCGGGGCGGTGCCTCGGTGGGTTTGAACGGCACCGCACTGGGCGCGACGGGAACCCACCCGCCTCGGTCCACCGGAATCACGGTGTTCCCTTTCCACGGTGCCGTATGGCAGGCTTTCCGTCCGGCATGCCCGATCTGAATCCCGGCGACGCAGTTTTGCTCCTGAACGAATTTGACGATGCGTGCCAGCGGTTCAATATGTTCGTCCATCCAGATTCCGAGGTCCCCCGGGGAGTTGCGTCCCTCCGGGCACACCGCCGTGGCCTCGAAGAACAGGAGTCCGGCACCGCCGATAGCCCGACTGCCCAGATGCACGAGATGCCAGTCGTTGGGGAAGCCGTCGACGGACGAGTATTGACACATGGGCGACACCACAATGCGGTTCTTCAGTGTTATATCACGGATTTTTAAAGGTTCCATGCACTTCGGGATGCAGGTGTGCTGTCCGCAAGGGACACGGCCTTCGCTCTGCAAAATTCGATTAGACGATTTTGCTTAAGTCTCCAGAATAAGGTACACCCGAGCGAGTCGACATACGTGCCAAAGTCAGAATAGTATGTACAGTACAAGTTTTCCGTAGATTACATGAGCAGCAACTGCAAGATCCCGAAGTAAAACTAAAAATGACACCTGGGGTAGGCTGGGGTAGAGCAATTACATACGTGTATAATAATATATAGAGACCTTTATAGTCTGTTTTGTTTCTAAAATCAAACAAGATGCTTCGAACAAAAGAGAAATTCAACAAGTATCTTCAGAAAATTAATATAAAATATACAATGAAGTCATTGAAGTGGATGCACTATGCAACTGCCATTGCATACTATTCGGGCTTACCGATTCAGCCATGGCAAATTTTGCGAATAACCAGTTGCCTGGGAGAACGTCCTAAAAGGCAAAACACAACATTTAACGAGCTGAATGCTAATAGAAGCTATTTATATAGATATTACTATTAGAATCCTACAAAATACTCGCAGCAGCTGCTTTGAATATTAAATTTGATTGCTGCGCAGTGCAGTACTTATTAGTACAGTCGACTCCAGGCTCTTCACGGTGGTAAGCCACACTGTACAAGACAGCATCATGTCACGCGAACGTGTCACTCTATGCTTGCATTGAGACTGATTGAGTTACGTACTGTATTCGCTCGCACATCTTGGACCACAGAGTGTGTGTGGGAAAAACGCGCATTCAATATACACTCTAACCGGGCCAAACGCGCGATTCGCGATTTGATAAATTTCTGATGTCTTACAACATCTGGACTGAGAACTTCTTGAATAATGAAAAAAATTAGAGCTCTAACAATTTTTATCATGTTTAGGCTCGAAAGCAGCCATTAACATACAGCTTTGGCGTAAGCACGAGTTACAAACAGATTTTGTTGTGGTTTTTGGGTGCCCCTGGAGGGTACGTTCCGCGTCAACATTCTTGATGGCGATGAACCACCGAACAATGCGAGCTTCCAGCTACAGAACCTTTTTTTTTCCAGAGGTTGCCATTTAAATGAAAAGACTTGATTTAATAAACAAATTCACAAGAAGAACTGTTCATCTTGAAACCAAATGAGGAATATTTCGTAGTCGTGCATTTTGCCCGGTTAGAGTGTGTATATTGAATGCGTGTTTTTCCCGTACACGGACTCTGTGGTTCAAGATGTGCGAGCGGATACAGTACTGCACTCAGTGTACTGTATTACAATACCATGTGCTGTGTTATGCTCGTATTTCTTACTTGCTATGGGCAACACTTGTGCACTTGTACTGTGTACTGTATACTGATACCAGTGTTATTTATTTTCTTATTTTACCATGCACAACACGTGCGTACTGCACTCTGTTATTTGTATTACAACACCATGTGCTGTGTTATGCTCGTATTTCTTATTTGCTATACCGGCAACACTTGTACGTACTGCACTCAGTGCTGTATTACAATGCCGTAAGTGTTATAATATGTTTTCTTATTTGCTATACCGGCAACACTTGCACGTACTGCACTCAGTGTACTGTATTACAATATGCATGTAACGTGTTATGCTCGTATTTCTTATTTGCTATACCGGCAACTTATTTGCGTACTGCACTGTACCAGCAACTGTACAATGCATGTGCTGTGTTATGCTCGTATTTCTTATTTGCTATACCGGCAACACTTGTACGTACTGCACTCAGTGTACTGTATTACAATACCATGTGCTGTGTTATGCTCGTATCTGTATTTCTTATTTGCTATACCGGCAACACTTGTAATAACAGGACGAAAACCGGGCGACTTTGCGGCTTTCCAGGATGTTGTCGGCTGTTGTAATCAATTTGTGTATGAAATAAGTCGTATAATGTACCTATGTCTCCATTTTATTTGCTATACCGGCATCCTGCATTACGTACGCAGAAAACCACGATTTTGCGGCCTTTCGTAGATGTCACGTTTGGCTTGGTTGTAATCAATACCTGGTGATAATCTAGTTCGTATAGGCCGTACAGCTTGTCGTTTTGGACCCTCCTCCTGGTTCGCTGCGTAGTTTATGGTTACTGTATTGCGATAATAACGATGATAATAATAATAATAATCGGTAATCTGCCGCTGTTTATTTATTTGGCCACGTCAGAGCCCTAAAAGCACAATTCATAATTATTATGATAGTATCAAGTTATTGGGAAATTTAATATAATTTGTTTATAATTTTATAATGGCTAAACGGTGAACATCGATTTTTTTCAAAAGTGCTATCTGGCAAGTGGAGTTTCAAAATTCTTGTTTCATAAGATTGTACTTCGTACAACCGTTCTCATGCGTACGTTTTTTAGATACCATGACCGGAAATCCAGCTTATACGAAGTTTGCTGCGTACAAGTTGGTTTATACTGCGTAGGTACTGTACAATAATGTATACATACACTGTACTGCATTCATATTTCTATTGTACAAGTACATACATGCTACTTCTGTTGTTATTGCCTTGCAAAATATATTACTAGATCAATTACTGAATTAATTTGACTTAAAACTAATAAACACGAATATCGTGAAGTAAAGGCAAATCGAGCTCGCAGATGTTGCATTGCTTTTATTTACCGGATCGTTCGTAAAGGTTGGCATTTTTTTAAACGTGCACTGTGTTAATGCATCATTAGCATTGAATGGCAACAACATAATATTTTGGGATGTCAATTTCTTGCAAAAGTTGTACGGTACACTGATTTATGTTACATGCAGACTGATGATGCAGTCATAGCAGCAACATGCGTCTATGGACATTTGACCTTCCACTGCTGACGGGTGATAATTTTCTCAGCGACCTGGTTTCCGGTATTGACATCCAGACAGAAAGCTCCCACCATGTCCTGCTGTTTAGCCTGGAATTTCCCGGTGTCGTCACAAGCCGGCACCCATTTATCGGCGACTAAAATAAGCGTCGCATTTGGTATAAATTGCATTTAGCCGTATATCTGTATGTAACTTTATAATTACCTTGTACTTACCAGTTAGCACATCGTGATAACAAAATAACATCTTAAATATTCACTTTTCTAACAAGTTATAATAATAATGTACGTAATTATTGTATGTAAAAGTACAGATATTGCGCACGTACAATGGACGACAAAAAGAAGTTGAACCGATCGGTCGGTCCGCGGTTCAAAAATAACCTCGCAACGACACGCCACCAGTAACACTTGGACGCTTACTTCTTTCGTTGCACGCTACTTTCAAACGCTCGCGCTCCGTGAATTTTGGAATGCAACTATACAAATTGCATATCAAAAGGCGTAGAAAAAAATTCAAAACTTTTTGATACTAAACATGTTGCTGTTTATGGCAAATAACACAAATTCTAGCCATTCTGCCTTCTCGTAGACACAGCAAAGAAACTGTGCGCAAAATTGTTTGGCCTTCAGCCTATGCTTAAGTAAATGAGAGAAACAAGCAATGATAATTTGTTCAGTTTCCCATAAATTGCCACTTGTTTGGAATCAGAAATTTTGTAATTTTTTTCTGGATCTTTTGAGATATTGGTTGGGCGATTCTATTTCGCAATTCACGAGAAATGGGTGGCAGAACAAACTGTACAACGCGCATCACATCGCCTGCACTGGGCCTGAACAGAGAAGCGCTTGTCTGCGCAATATATTTTAAAAACCAGCCATCAACTTCTTTTTGTCGTACATTGTACATGTATCATGTATGTGCATAGGATTGTACTTCACATCTACTGATTTTGCATAAACATTTACTTCTATGTAAGTTTCCAGATAGCGGGAATGGAATATACGGTACTAATACATTGCAGGAAAATTATAAAAGAAAGAAGCGCGCTTACTGTGCTGGGATAAGGCCTGATCACGAGCCTGCTTGCACGTGCACTTCCCAACGTTCTTTTCCCCTTGGAAGGACTTGCCGTCTTTTCCTCGAATCGTCTCGAACGAAAAGCAGTCCGACTTGGGAGGCTTGGCACTAACCACAGCAGCGCAAACGACGGACAGCAGTATAAGTTGAACGGCGAGCGACATTTCTGATACCTCCAGTAACGCTGATTTCACCACAAAAATTGGAAAAATTAAAGAGGAATACTGCTGCGCTTGGACCACCGGCGATTGTTTTTATGATCACCGAAAACGCTCCAAGCAAACCGCATATCTGTATATACAATCACCAAAAAATTACTCAACCGGATCGATTCGCCTGTTATAGCTGCTAATGGCCGTCGTTTTCGGCCGTGTTTTTTTTTTATTTGTCGAATCTTCCAACTCCCATTCGTGCCAAGAACTCGATGGTTAATTACCCGCATCTGCCAAAAGCGACCGGTCTGTAGCTAATTGATTCCTTAAGTAGTTACATTTTTTAAACTCTTACACCGAATTTTGGGTATGAAATACGATTATTGTCTACGTGGCAATGGCACGTCTCATTTTTCGAGCGACAATACGGTCTCAATTTGCCGCGGGATCCCGCGGCGAAGACCGTAATGGCGCTAAAAAGATAAAATCCATGTACAGTATATATACTCTGTATACGAATCCGAATTCGTCTCGGGGTACGTGAAAATAAGTAAAATGAGAACAACGAAAATAAAGTATTAAAACCGAGAGAAAAGAAAAGAAGATGGATGAATAAAAAAAAGTACAGAAAACATAAGAACAAAAAATAAAAAAAAATCCAAAATGGTAGCCAGCTTAATTGTAAAGAGCACAAAGAAGTGGTGAATGCCGGTATAGTAAGCAAATCAACAGTACGGCATAATTACGAGAAATTAACAGTAAGCCTGATTACTATATACAGCGGTGAATTACTGCATGATTTAGCCGGCCCTACTATAATTTAGCGGCAGGTTCATTTACGATCTACGAAACCGGAATTAAGACTAAAATTGTTTAAATTAATCGCTTAATGGCTTAAATTTGCAGCATCGATTGCGATTGCTTTGTAGTGTAAGAAAAAAACCGGTTGTATTGTTTCCGATTTGTTTTGCGGCCTACCGGTGGTTTGACGGAAAGTACAGGAATGAGTACGTTTTTTTACATTGTGTTATTAACAGAAAATACTGGATTCGACGGCGATATTACAACATGTACAAGTACTATTGAGAAATTTCGAAGGTACTCGCACTCGTCATAGACGCCAGGACCAAGCAGGTAATTATAAGTGTCATTTGCAACTTCCAGCAATAGGAATTCGAGTTATTTCAGTAACTTGCAACGACTGTGCGATGAATGTGGCGCACAAAAACATATTTTTTGGCAGTTTTTAGGGAACGTGCACGTCGAAAACGGAAAACCGGAAACGTCGAGATTCAAATTAAAAATTATATTCCGTTCAGATCGTGTATCGTTTGTTCATTTGAAACGTGTTTTAGGGACAGCGTTCTTCCATTTGAAAAAATTTACGGGTCCCTCTTGACGAAATAACCTGGTAACCGAAAATCCGGGCATTGCCAGGACTCTTAGCACTTGAAGTTGCGATCGCGTTGCGGTTCACTAATTTGGTCGCCTGTCTTGGTGTCCACACAGAAACCACCGACCATCATGAGCTGTTGGGCTTTGAAGGCGCCCGACTTGTCGCAAGCAGGGTTAAACTGGTCTGAAACTAAAAAACACAGATGTTGCGGCGTGGTGTAAACTGAAAAATTATATCATAAATACAAAACTAAAAAACGGAAAGCATGAAAAATTTTGGAAACAAAACCATACCACACTGCCGCACCGTGCGGCTACCTTGCATCTCTTATCGAAAGGGTTTTAAATTTGTATACATACTTCAAGTTGATAATTGTTTCAGAATTTGTAGAATAAGAATGTTAACTTAAATTGGATCGAGGGAAAAGCACCGCATAAACACGAAACCGTGTAAGTAAAAGCTGCTGGTATATACTACAGTATATACGAGAAAAAAATGTGGAAAAAACAGCGCCATCAAATAAATAAAATTTTATTGTAAATATCAGTCAGCATAAATGTCACATGATGTTGAAAAATGCTTTCTTTCTAGAAACTGATAAGCAAAGTCCAGAAACACAAATATTTATTTTATGGTATTTATTATTTAATACAGGTCCAATTTTCGTATTTCTCCGGTCTTACTATGTTTAGCAATCTCATCCGCCTCCTTTTTGGCATCTGCACAGGAACATTTGCCGACATTTTTGTATCCTGCCTTAAGTTGTTTGCCCGATTTGAGCGTGATAGGAACGATGTCGAAGCATTTTTAACACCTATTTCCGGTTTACTTCCTTTATCAGCGCCAGATTTTGATGGTCCACCAGCAAATACGATCAGACAGCAGAGGAGCGAAATAAGCAGAAAATTGGTGATCAGTGACATGGTTGAGACCGTTTCGTGACTAGTTTGAAATTTTGTATAAAGATACTGCGTGTGTCTGTAAAAGCCTAATTCCAAATATTTTTCAGAAAAAAATATGGTCGACTGCTTAAATTTGCAGCATCGATTGCTTTGTAGTGTAAGAAAAAACCGGTTGTGTTGCTTCGCTTCCTGATTTGTTTTGCCGGCTACCGGTTCTTTGGCGGAAACTACAGGTATAAGCACATTTTGTTTACATTGTGCTATTATAGTATAACAGAAAATATTGGATTCCATTGCGATATTACAACATGCCGTCTGCACAAAATAAATATTTTTTTCTCATCCATATTAAATTTTTTGTGTAACAAGAATGCCTTCGTGTCTGGTTCTTACGTAATACGAATGAGACACATGCGGCTTCAGCTTGTACATTGTTATCTTTCTAGCATTAACGACAGTCAGAAAAGAATAGACAGGCAGGAACTTCTTTATCATAGCTACTTCGAGTACTGCTTCAAGGCTGCCTGATCAATGAAATCGTTATCATACAAAATACTAATCCATTTAATTAATATAAACCGGAAACAAGGCATGCGGAATTAGAACGGCAAACTCAGTTTCCTTTGTTCACTTGACCAACGCTTTAATGTCGTAACGTAACGTTGTACAGTATAATTTCGGCGCGCATGTTTTAGTATCCATTGTATACTGAATTGTAATTACTGACAGACTGTATTGTATAATGTGTACTGTAATGTACACATACTGTACTGTATAATGTGTACTGTATTGTACATAACAAATACTGTATTGTACACTGTATTGGTAAAATTTAATACTTATGCTACACGGTACATGACAGAAGACTAGCATATTACTGCATGCGTTTGCTACCACAAACCGCCGCCTTGCTGATCTCTCCTAATTCAACCTGCATGAATGTGAATGTTACTGTACGAATACCGATCGGTGTTAACAGAAAATTATTAAAATTGGATGCATTACAAAATTTTAGCAGTAATAATCGCAAAAGGTGAGATAAACACGAGTACTGTAAATCTTGCACGCTTGATGATGGCACAGGACAAAGCTGGACTTAATTTCTGTTTTTTAAAAGGATTTATATCGTATCCAGTTTCTGCCATCTCGGCAGCGTTTTTTATAGCTACAGATACGGTTTTTCGACGTAGTATTGTCGTAGTGCGATGAGCGTTTCGGACATACACGTCTAACTTTAGCCAGGACAACTTTTTTATCTGTAGGTTTTTTAGCAAAGCTTGTCCTGTCCAGTTACCGTCAGTTTTTAAGTTTATTAACTTTCCCAGACAATGTCCAATTTATTGGCATATGTCTATTTCTTAAGATTTTAAATAGTGGTCTGTAGGAAAGTGATAACTGGCTACCGTACTAACTGTACTAACGAACCAACTCAGACACATCTGCAGTTGTTCATTCAGTGATGTCCACAAGATGTTCATAGATGTTCTGTACAACACTCGCTTATATGCTAGATTGTCATTTGTCAACCAAGCCGAGTGACCGCCGGTGACAAGAAAGGCCAATCAGGATCGGACAAGGGGACCGGTGGGAAATGCAGACCTAGCATAAAAACAGAAAGAAATTTATTCCACAGAGCTGTATAAACTGCAGCTTTCTAATACATATGCTGCACGTGAAAAAGAGCGGCTTTAAAGCACATGAGAAACGCAAGTTTTGAGCATCAGCATCTGCGACAAACCTTATCATGTGCCGGCATGGCTGCTGATGATTAAGTAATTCGGTGTTTTTATAAGTACTTTTAATTATACGCTTTGTATACGTTAGCACTAACCAGGGCCCGGTCACCACCTCCCCCCTCAGAAAAATCTCATCTTTTGTTTGAAGACACGATAGGTATGGGGAACACTTAAAAAAATACTTTCATCGGCAATGGTCCAGTGGGCGTGGCCAAACACGAATTTAATGGTTGACATTATTGCATGTATTGCCATGGTTGACATTATTGCACGTATTGCCACTGCCGTATTGCTGTACATAATCATGGTGCTACAGATTACATTGATAAATTTATTTTGCGAGTTCTATGGTATCCATTACCACAATAGTTTTACTCCTTGATCTGATTTTGCTTCCTCATTCACTGTTTTGAAAAAGAAACATTTTTAAAGAGTCTCGCCACGTATCAAGCTCTAAAATGCATGGATTTGCAGCACACGGTCTGTTCGGGTTTCAGTACAGGCTGTACAGCCGCCACTGGCGCGTTCTCTGACAATTTTAATTTTTCAAAACAGTGAGTTAGGAAGTAAATCAAATCAAGGAGTAAAACTACAGTGTTAACACCACAGAATTCGCAAAATAAATTTATCAGTGTAATCTGCAATACCGTATGTGCAATACAACAATACTGCAATGGCAATACATGCAGCAATGTCAACCATTAAATTCGTGTTTGGCCACGCCCACTGGACCATTGCCGATGAAAGTATTTTTTTAAGTGTTCCCCATACCTATTGTGTCTTCAAACAAAAAACGAGATTTTTCTGAGGGGGGAGGTGGTGACCGAGCCCTGGTAAGATTCTTCGCGCACGCGTACAGATAATAATAAAACTGCATGACTGGAATCATACAGCAGAATTTACTGATTTATAAAATGATTTGTTGCTGATTTTAAAGTTAATATGAAGCGTAGCCGTTGGGATCTATAGTCTCGCATGACTGCCCAACACCACCTATGGATGCACATGTAGATAGACAGCCATAATTTGGGGTGCAGGAATTATAAGCAAAAAAATGTCCATCGAAAACTCGTAATATCTTTTGGGTGGCCTGGCCATGGAAATTTACGATTCAGTTCGCCTGTCAGGTAGTAAAACAATCTCGTCCAGACCCAGAACAAGTAGTACCGTACCAGCACTTATTACTCGTTCACTATTAATCAGTCGAGCTTTAATCCGTCATAGTTCAAAACTGCGCTTTTTTAACGCGAAAACCATTTCTATGCAAAAAAAATTACCCTTCCTGTTCTTTGATTTATAGGGCAATAATCCGACGCAGCCGTATAATGACCAAAGTTAAGAACAGCACTTCTTTTAAGGGAAAATAGTTTTTAAAACGAATTACTCTCAAAGGACATTTATAATGCGCTTTTAACTAAAAAAATATTTTCACGCATCAAAATATGTATTACCCATCCGTGCATTCCTCAGTCCTCGTATATCCCGTATACGGCACTGTATCGTGCATTAATTGGCTCATGTGGTGAGTTTTAATTACATTTCTTTGAATGACGAAATCAAGCCATGTCGAGCTCATTTTGCGATAATTACAGTGCATAAATCTTCTATCTAGTCGATTATTTTGTAGTCGATTAAGAACTACTCTGTTAATGACGATAACCTTCCAAGTTTGACCTATTAATAGCGACTGTAGGGTACTGTCACATGTTCCTCGCAGCAGTTATTGGCAACCTTGTATTCACAGAAAGCTATAATAAAGAAGAAATCACCAACACATTATTCTGCGAATCGATTTACCCTTTGAACACACAGTGCATGTTCAGAGGAATAAACCGAAACTGTATAGACTGCAGTGTGTTCGCCACTCGGTTCAGAAAGTTGAAAACTTGGTGTAAACTGTGAACTTACCTTCGATTTCTTTCCGCATCGACATCATGGCGTTCTCTCAACTGACGACTAGCATGCACAATTACCATTTTCCTTGTGGCTTCCATGAAGATATGACGATGATGCATGCACAGCTACTGCGAAACAATCCCCAGGTAAGCGAGCTTTAAGGCGAAATTTTCTTGGCAATATGTTTGCATGGAGTTGTGACCTTTCGCAGCAGATATCGAGCTGCACGAGCAGTAATCAGTATCGCACGCGCGCCTACACAGCGAAAAACTGTGCACTCGATACCCTGATGTTATTTGGAGGCTGTTGCGAGGAGGACAACGCTTTCTTCTTCGAAGCTCAGGTTGAATCCGTTCCGAAAAAGTTACGAATTGAGGACGGACGGTAAGAAGAAATTGTATTATGTATAAAGAAATCTCAATCTGTTGATGCACACGATACTAGTGTCTTTTTAGTGGCGTTCACTCAGCATTACCGTTTCTTTTGAAGAGTGGTTAACGTGATCCTTTCTCAGGTTTTCCTCGACTTTTAGCGATTATCCACCGAACGAAGTGAAGTTTCACGGTATGACGACGGATAGCTTCGGACGACCTCGCGCTGCGCCTGCTGCGTAATTGTCCGCGTTACCTTAGCTCAAGTCCACTGCTTAGTGACTGGGTAGCCTAACAAAACTTGATGTTTTGAGTAACCGGGGAAACCTGATTTGCTGTACAATACATAACTTCATTTGGGCATTTACGGATTACGGGTTTCAGGGCCAACGAATATTGCACGACGCACATGCCGATGACCTTTTGGAACGTTGCTCCTCTGAAACACTTCGCAAATACTTCTGATTAATTTTGGCTCGAAGTCGTTCTATGATTCGTTCATCCTTTTCACATGGTGTCACATACTTCAACCGCACAGTTTTCCAGAGCACGTAATATGCACCTCCGATATTTTATCAATTAGTCGCACCCTGTTATTTTACTGTTTTATCACTTTTATGTAAAACGATGCGGTATCTGTGACGGCGTGCGCCGTTAAATGAGCCGTTTAAAGAATTATGTGCCGTAATAAACCGTCCTTTTTAAGATTCTCACGAGAAATACCAGTAACTGTCCGCCGACAGCGGATCCCCTGTACGCTACCATTCCGCTAAAGCAGCTGACAACGGCGCACCACAACAGACAAAGCAGTAAATAATAAGCAGGCAAAAGCATGTATAAGAAGACGAAGGACTGTACATATGTCTTGATAACCGTATATACATTTTGTTTGTACGCCGCTATCAGATGGTCTTTATGGTATACTGGACTAACGCTGGCTAAGTCGCTTGACAACGTAAATTCCACATTCTGAATAGCTGGTAAACTGAGAATGATTTACTAATTATCTGCCACAAAAACGTCACAAAGAAAACAGGCAGTTGTGTGCGCGCGAGTGATCTTGTTCTTTTACCACCCGCCACACCCTACTGTTTTCTTCTGTTGTTATTTCGCGTTAACTCAATAAAGGGGTATTCGGTTTGCTCAGGGATCTGGTCGCTCTCTTTAGCCGGTCCCCGGTCGGTCGGCTTCCCGCTGACCCACAGTCATCGCACACAGCCAATCACGAGAGTACCAGCAGCCGGTGTTCCAGCGTCCACAGTGGACTTCGGAAGCGGTAACATTAGCAATAGTAGGCGAACGAAATAAATTTTTCTGGGACGAAAGCTATATTATCGTGAGTTTGGCGCCCCGGCAGAAACATGTACCAAACTCGATAATACAGAAACCAAAATTATACTCCTGCGGACCACTTAGTAACGGGATTACTTAGACGCGCCACAATCAGCCTTTATTGTTTGTGGTGACGGTATCCGGAAGTTAAACTCGGTGCAAACATCGCCGGTCTGCTCTTTCTACGCGTTACTACGGTACCAGAGCAACAAGTAAAATTTCCAACCCCATCTTTTTAATTTTACAAAATTTCCAAGTTTTTGCCAGTTCCACACGACAGAACGTTTCGTTACCTCGTTTTGTTGTAAAACAAAGCGAACGTTGGCCAAATAGATAGAAGAGAATTTTGTAAATGGGTTTATTTTTGCATTTTTATTTGCCAGCGTGTTTTTGTGCAGCAGTTAAAAATTAGCTGAAATTCTCATACACACAAATACCGGCGTGATATTAACTGAGAGTCATAATCTACAAAAAGGGAAGGCATGCTGCGGGTTTGTTATTCGCTGGTAAATACGCCATTACTCTTATCGGATCCTTGTTCCCAGGAATACAGCTGTGGGGCAGAATTGTTTGTTTTGCAAAGCAGTAATTGCCATACCGATTCCAGTCGACTGCTCCCGCTGAAAACAAATCTACATACCCCCGCAAAAAGGCTAAAAATAAAACAGTGATTTCAATCATTTCAAATGATTAAAACTGTCCATAACGGCCCAATAATGCTAATACTAGTAATAAAGTACTGATGAATATTCATGCATGCACACGGTGTGCGTATCGCACAGTTTTTTACTGCGATTCTGTGGCTACAAAGACGGCCGGGTGCCACATTTACCGAAAACTCTGCCTTTGAGTCGGTTTATGTAGTTCAAAATTGCTTCTCCAAGTCCAAGGTACAGTTGCGGGTTTCTTCGGTTAAATTGTAGATGGTGCAGGAACAGAAATCCTGATCAAGCGAATTCATTTTCTCCCGCTTTCTGTCTGATTTTGCTTAAAAATTCACCGTCATGTACAGAATTCAGAAAACCATCTTCAGTTCCTTGCATCGCGACCGGGCGTGGGCCTACCAGGAAATCATGACAGAAGCCATGTTTGTGCTCTTTTTGGGATGTCATCTATCGCTGAAGTTTGGCACACGCATTTTCCCTGAGTGGCAAGACACGCGAGTAGATCCCGACCACCCATCCGGTTTGGATGAAATCCTACAAGTGTTCTCCGGTTACGTAAGTAATTCTGTTTACATACATAATTAGCGTGTGCTGGTGCTAGTTAGCGTTAAACATTAATAATTTTGTACCTATCGCTCAATCGGAATGTTAACTTCTAATTAATCGGATGAATGCCCCAACACCTGGTGGCGATTTCGTATAAATACATTGACCCTCGCTGTCGCGAACTTAAAACTTTTTATATCTTTCTGTGTAATTTTACAGCCTAATGAGTTCTGCACATTTTGGTATGAAAACTGCTTGTACGCACATCAGCCGGCTGGTAAGATATGGCAAAAAGTACATAAAAGTTTAATTAAGAAAGGAAAAAAAGTTTAAGCGCATCATCGTGCACATTCAGTTGTCTTGAAATTGCCTGTTAATACTCATAACGAAATCAATATTTCTGACTTTTTTCCAACTTTTGAAATAAGTTTTTATAATTTCGCCTTGAATGTTGTGCTTCTAACAGCAAAATTTCCTACATATTCGAATTAAAACCTTTGTTTTTTTTGCACGATAGTAATACGCTTAAACTTTTTGTTCCCGTTGATTTTCCATGTTTTGCTAACCGGATGATCCGTGAACAAACGGCATCCAGACCGCTGTCTACAAACCACATAACTGGAGAGTTTTCGGAGAGACTTCGGAGAGTTTGCTAAAGGGAAAATAACAGAAGACGGCCGTGTGTATAATTTTGTAAAAACTCTGTACTTTACGGAATCAGCAGAACAGGCGCTTTATTATGTTCATTTCTTCGTACGCGCAGTGCTTTTCTTTTACCTTCCGGGAATGACAAAATAACATTTCCGCAACACGTTTTTCTCTGCTTACTAAATGGTTGCTTTATAACTCAGGTTAGAGTTTTTCTTGGTATGCAGAAAATGAACGGCTGCAAGTGGGATGACATTGTATCACCGTGGCTACCGCTGTCCACCACCCCGGTCTTCAACGCCACAGTTTCCTCGACCAGCCACTCAGCGTTGGGCTTCATCGGAACAGTGGCGGTGCTGGGCATAACGGCGGTATTGGCGGTCTCCCTTTCTTTTGTCCCTGCTGGTCAACGTGTTCTGGACTTCGGCCCCGTGGACGGGTCACCTGTCATACTGCCGGCGCGTTACGACGGCCGTCGGTTTCAATCCGAACTATCGCACCATGGACAGTCTCGAGCACTGTGTCAATCCAGACATGCCATGGCGACCTTACATCGCGTTTCTGATCATGTATCTCGGTGTCCCTTGGGTGTGGCTCGTTGGTTGTGTGCTGCCGCTGGTAGCTGTGGCGGGAATGATGCTGGCGGTGATCAGTAGTGTGGTAGGTGTTCAGGCCATCTTTCCGTGCGTTGTGGTCGGGGTTTTTGCCATCGGTATCCATTGTGTCGGAAGAATTTGGGGAGTGTGGACGACTGAAACGTACTGGACAAGGATGAGCCGTTTTAGAAGGTGGGTTTCATCCCGGCTGTCCGAGCCCTGCCGATAAAGTCAGTGTACTACTTTTTCAAAATGCAATTTGCGGTTATGCTTCTACATAATATTGGTTGTGAAAAATAGTGTTTACTGTTTAAAAAAGATTAATGTTAGCCGAAGACAGCTTTTTCTTACTCAGTTAATTTCTTAACAACGTTCAGTTTTCGTGTATAATTGTGCGGGAGAAATTAACTAATTATGCGGAAAAATTAACTAACAATATTGTTCATAAGACCGGTAGAAAGTTTGAGAACCAAGAGGCGCCTGCAAATGCAGCACCGTAAAATGCAAGCTTATGCAGCAACGCAAAATAGGCGGACAACATAGAAATAGTTTATAAACTGTCCAACACGGGCCAGTACTAACTTATTACGTCACTTTAATATTAACAACGACCAGTAACTGCTTCCTGTGTCACATTTGGCTTTTATTATATCACATTATAGTTAACTTTGTTAAGATTATGTGAGATGGGAAAGTATCAGCGATCTATTTATTAGCTGTAAGAGCTTACATATTATTATTTGTACGCTGTGACTTTCGCAGCACACGGTTTTTCAGAAAGTTATGCGGTTCAACTTCCTCTGTGATGGATAAACTGCCCAAATTGTCGGAATCGCAGAAACCCACACTACGCGTTTCCAACGGCATGGAACCGTTGCCGTATATGATCCGATTTGTCAGAAAAGCCTGGATGTTTCTCTTCGAATGTACTGTCTTAACCGGCTTTACCTACATTCTGTCAAGCCGCTTCCCCCAAACAGCGCGCGCACTGCATGCTCTCACAGCACCGGAAGCCGGCAACTGGAGTTACTGGACATATAAAAACTGCACCAAATGCTGCTATAATTACGCCACGGTATGCCGTTCTCCAGATTCACGTACTCTACGAAAACCGTAGGAGCGATTTATAGTGCTTACCTTTAGTCAGGACCGCAACATGTACAAAAGGCGGACACAGTCGTTACCATCAGTGCGTATTAAGTTGCAGCTTATCCGGTGACTCAAATCCGTGTTTCCGATTTTTTCCAAACACACATTAATATGCGGTTATTTCCGGATGTTCTTGCGCAGTTGTTCAGAAATTATTCGAATTTTGCAGGGTATGGGTGACATCACGGCGATGCTGTCATATTGGATCGATTTGGGATATCCGCGCTGGAACACCGACAGTGCCACCCTTCTGGATCTGTTCAACTCGACCTTCTCCCCAGCCGTGAATCGGCTGTTCTTGGCGTGGACAGGCTCGATACTGGTCACGGTGGCTTTGCCATACATCCTCATCGGCATTTTCGTCTTGTGTGCCTTGTACAATATGCTGGTTGGAGGCTGCACCAGCATGTTTACTGGGTGGTCAACAACCGCCACGAACGTTAGCAAAAGGTCAGTTTAATGAATCGCCGAATCAAGAGCTATAACCCAGTGCTAGCGATTCATGCGCTTGTCCGCTTGCCTGTCCGCAGGTTTCATTATTAATTTTTCCAAGGACTGGTCAATAATTGTTTTTTTTCCATGGCTTGTACATTTTAAACTGAGCATAGGTAGAAGATGCCTGCCAATGATGACAAACTTCTGTTGTCCACTGCAGTGAACCACCGATGGGTCAGTGGAAGGTATCTAAGGATATGCAACTGTGCAAGGATCAGCGGAAAACCCCCGGGGACTTTTGCGTGTGTGCATTGTGGGCCGAAATCCAGCGCCTTCTGCTGAGCGCTTTGAGCCGGATGTGCTTCTGGTTGTTTACCGTTTTGCCGCTGGTGGAATGTTTTTGTCCGGAACGATATCAACTGGTGGTCGTCCTGTTGCTGCTTAGCTGCTACACGGTCTGGCTGTACGGAGGGCTTATCCACTTCCTTTACCGGTCGCATCGCTCCTGGTTGAAATGCTCACGCACTTGACGAAGGAGCGCACAATCTGCATTAAAAAAAGTACCAGGAAAATCCGTATCCGGTTGTCGATTTCATATGCTGCTGCTCTGGAATTCCTAATTATGTAGTTTCATCTAAAATTTTCCACTGCGAAATACTTTTTTACAATTTCTAAAGTCGGTCACTGTACATGTGTATTCTTCCACGCAATATTCTACGCTGTTGTTCATTTCGATAATGTCACTGGACAGTATGCATACCATTATTTTTGCTTAGCGAAGTATAGTGCTTGGACTTTTTCAGTATGTATTGTATCAGCCTTTCTTGCCCTGGCCAACTGCCACCGGCTAACAGGGTTTCGTACACAGTTTCGAAAGCGGTTTCGTACATTAATTTAATTGCTTACTATTACACTGCTAGCAGAATTCGCTATATTCAAAATAATGGTGGTGCGGATTTCTCATTTCAGGCGTTCTGACGTGCCGAGCAGAATGGCATAAACCCGCTGCAGCGGGCGATTAAAATTTAATTTTGCTTTGATACGTCAACGGATTCTTGAAAAACAAAATAAAAGCTAAACAGTTTAAAAGACCCCAACCAGTTCTCGTGCGTACGAAAACGTACTACCCAAAGTCGTTTACAAATTTGTCATAATAACAGCGATTGAAAGATATTGCCAATTTGCCAGCAAGCCCCGTGGCATGCACTCTTTCCAGAAGGCTTTTTACAGGTAGTAAGATGCTTTATTATAGAAGAAATTGATTATCAAAACAGTATTCTGCGAGTCTAGTCATTCTTTGGACAACAGATACGTATTTTGCTGTAGGTGCAGAGGTCTCTGCGGCTCGTTGAGTAGTTCGGCTCAAGAAACCCACGCTTGGCTAAACTTATTTTCAATTACTCTTCCCGCGTTGACGTCGGCACTCTCTCTCTCAGCGGAGAAATAATATGCTGGAAAGTAATTTTCTCAATATTTTCTATGAGGACTGGACGATGATGCAGAAAAAGCTGCTGCAAAGCGGTCCTAAATCAATCAAGCTGCAGGATGACATTTTGTGTGCTTGCGAATTGTAACCTTCCGCAACATATCGAGAACAGGTGCTCATCAAAGAGTAACCGGTAGGAAGAGAAGAGGTATTGCGTTTAAGTTTTGAAGTACTTAACGAAATCTCGAGCCCTTTAATTGAGACAGTTTCGGTCTTTGTGGCAGGTTGCAACCATTTGAAAAGCTTGACAGATCCACAAGTCGACTAAGCAAACCTCAGAAAGTTTGCTTTTGAATCTTAATGAACCCATATCGCGCACGAACGGACACCGTGCTTAAATAACTAGGCACTGTGTACTCATCGGCACCAGGCCACCGAGTCGGTGGTCTGGTGTCGGCAAGCGTAACTGCAACGCTAGAACTGGTGCTGCTTTATTTAGAAATCAAATTTATCAAAAATCATAACGAAATGCACTGTGAAGTGCTGTGATGACCTTTGTGGCGATAAAACTTCGACCATGGTATACCATGGTACCTTGTTAATTGTTGCAAAGTTTAAATCCCTGCTGGTCGCGCTGCGTGGGTGAATGTAAATCTGAACGTAACGGGATTTTAATCTTGTTGAACTGAGTTCGCAACTGGCCCACACGCCAACATGTTGTGCACAGCACGGCTAAGCGCTTGCATAATTAAAATGCCTCTTTGCATATTTTTGACTGTCCCATCCTTTTCGCATGGATAATTCATTGGTAGTGGATCAATGATGCACTCTGTACTCTGTACATTGGCTGTATCTGTACATTGTTTTTCTAGTGATTCCGAACAGTATCAAGGTGTTTAAGCTCACAACATGGAAATCCTTCGAATTACAAACCTTTGACCGTCGCTGTGTCCACTTAGAGTAGCTTTTGCTGGTTCAAACGGCAACATAGTATTATTGCTGTGCTTCTACTGTATCCACGCAGGTCACGTCCCACGCCAAACACATACCTCGCTGCCACGCAAACGTGGTGCAGCCATCTGGGCGACGGTCCGATGTGTGGGATGTACCTCGCGGCTCCAATTTTGCAGGGATGCCGGCTGATACTAACGATCTGCACAAAATACTGTTCAGGCCGCCGTGGCGTGGATGTCTTCCGGCTGAGAATGCGCAGGACAACCCGTGGTGGCCATACACATCAACGGGCTTGTGGCACTAAGAACATGAACGTGCTTCATAGATATTCACCCCCAGTCTCAGGCCGACTGATATCTTCACGGTGTCATCGTCCATGAGGTTGCCGATGTGTGCCGAGGGCAAGGCATTTAACCATATGCCGGCTTCCGGTGTCGACTGTGCGAGGAGGCGGGCCCGGTTAATTTCATCATCGCGAAAGAAGTTGTTGTTGTTGCTTCGATTGTTTCTCACAGACGTCAAGGAAAAGCTGATCGACGATTTTGGTCAAATCTGACTCCGCTCCGTAAACGAACTTCAAATTAGAGAAAAGTTTGGCTTTCTCCAAAGCAACCAAAATTTTATGAGCCTTCTCGCCTGCGATTTCGATGTCTTCTTCGGCAACATTAACAAGAATTTTCTCTTTTGAATAATTCTCGTTTACTTCCGTTTTGGCATTATGATAGATTACCATGCAGACCAACATTTTCATAACATCCAGCGCAATGCCGTCACACCATTTTAAAAATATCTGATAGTCACAACTGTCTATGACGGCGGTCAGAAACTGTCCGGTCACTTCGCTTCCGGTGACATGATACAACAAAATGCTCAGCAGCTTTTTCGGATTGTTTTGATGGTACACTTCAAAAAACTCTTCACGTCGCTGTGAGCGGGTGGTTTCCTTGGCCGATGACATCTCTTCCATCGCTTCCCACAGGAAATGCAGAGTGACCTCAATATCTCCGTAGTTTATCAGAGCATGGATTCTGCTGATGTCGCTTTGGATTAGGTTTTTGGCTTCGCTGACTGCATCTTCCAGGCGTCGTTCGATGTCTCGCAGCTCTACTTTCTGATCGAACGTCAGCAGATATACCAAGCGGCAGCTTCTCTGGCGTCTTTCGTTTCTGGGTCGGTTTTATCCAGCGATTCATTCAGTTTTTTCACTCCGAATTTTCCAGTGCTATGGTTTTACCGATCTCTTTAGCTACAGCAACCACCGGAAGAAGAACCAATGAGGCCATCTTGGCTTTGGTACGAGGATGCGCGCAGTCGAACCGACAGTAAATTTTTTCAGCGAGACCAACCGACAACCACGCTCACAAGTGGATTATTTTTTCACATAACGGCCACCCGTGGAAGGGAGGTGTCGTTTGCACTGTATGCGTGGTACAGGTGACAGCCATCCGTGGATGGTTGGCAGTCGCTTGCACTCATGTGCACGGTTGTCGGTTGGTCTCGCTGAAAAAATTTACTGTCGGTTTGACTGCGTGCATCCTCGTAGTCTAATAAAACAACAAGAAATAATTTTGTCGATCAGGCATGTACACTCGCAATATATCCCAGCCACTAACCACCGAATTGGACGAGATTTATTATTATAGAACTCGTGATTTGTTACGTCTTTTAGAACCGACCGTTTCCAGTGAAAGTAATAATGATTCTTAATACTGTTCGCTGCCTTGAAAACGTGATCGAAATCACTTTGACATACTAGCTGGTGACTAGCCTGATTTTATGGCCACCCGGGTGTTACGATTCCAGCATCCTGGACTGTACTTTGGACCAGCGTGTGGATCGGACATGTGCGGTGCCTGTGTGAATGGACCATTTACGGCGTGTGCGACTAGTGGAGTATTGCCTGTGTATTGTGGCTTGTTTATGTTAAAGACGTTTCTCTGTGTTGTTCATGATAGTATCACTGAGAATGATTGATTACTCTATTTTGTTGCACTTCTGCCTGTCTTTAACCGATCGCATCTTGTTATTGTAGCCAATGTCCATTCGGAATATTCCAGTTGTTCTCTTGTTCTATGTAGACTATGCTGCGTTTTAGTACATAGAGAGTCGCGGAGCTGTAAGAAAGTTACAGCTGTCACCCAGTTTAATAAACGATTATTCGTTTTCGTTAGCGTGCGTCTGCGCAGCGTATGTTAGGGTTTTATCACGGGCAGAAGTTTAACATTGTCATTAATGCTAATGTCTCGAGAAACGCTAACAAAGTGTTGGGACATTGGCCAACCCAATGCTCGACTAAAAGGTAGCTGCGGAACATGCTCGACCACCGGAAGGAATGCTTGTTGGTAAGAGAATGCAAAGTTTTGGGATGCATAATGCACTTGGTGCGTGCTCGCTCCAGGAACCCTGATTCGTGGCCAGGGTGTATATGAGGATGCGAATGCTTGCTGCGTTTCCTTCCGGTGCGGTTCCGTGGCGGGAGAGAGCAGTGAGATGGGTTGTGCCTTTAATCAAAATTCAGTTGCTAAAGGGTGGGATGGTGGGCAAAGAAAAACACACCAAAGGTCACTCACAAATACCGCAGTGGACAACAGAGCAGAAATACAAAACAAAGCATTTAGCAACATGAAATGAAACGCCAACTTGACAAAACCGAGCTCAGAATGCAACTCTGCTATAACCAGCGATATTTTAATGCACAAACAGCGCGAAGAACGAAGGCAAGATGGCGTCCGGCAAGAGGTCAGCCAATCACTGGCGGGGGTGATAGCTAGGCAGATAATCAGGAACTTTCTAGAAGGCCAGCGTTTCTCTTGACTGCATTAACCTAAGTTAGCGATGCAATCGCTAATTTCTAATGCTATGCAGAATTAACGCCTGTGATAATAGCGTTACCATCGTCTTGTCCTCGAAAATAGAAAAAAGGCTTTATGTTTGAATAATATGCCGCAACTATAAAGAAACACTGTAACCACTTCCATCAATAAATCAATAAGAACTTAGCGAGATTTTACACAATAATTTCATTAATTGTGATAAAAACGGAAATGTAAAAGCAGTAACCCGCTCAGGCTAAACTTAGAGGTCAAAAAGGATGCTAAGACACACTGAACCGTTTCCCATTACCAACTCAAAGCGCTTAAATATCGTCACTGTGCTCGTAGACAAACTTTGCGGCTTTTTTCTTCAGCTGCTGCAATCCACGTTCTTTCGCAAAAAGGAGGTAGCGCAGCGCAGTATTCACATCGATTGCCCCGATCATTACCATCTCACAATGAGCCCGGAGAACATCCATATCATATTTGTCCGCTGCGTCATACAATTCCGGAAGACTCGTTGCAGGCAGCTGCGGCAGAGTGCCCGTGTAGGCAAACTTGACAAGTGCATCCAGAACGCCGCCATCGACATCTTTAATGGAACACTGTCCTGATGATTTCTCCTTCATGTCGTGCTCGAACATGGCAGCAAACACCGACGAGTTAGCAGCTAGAACAGCCCGATGCACGGCAAATCCTTTTCCATCGCGCGCGACCAGTTGACAGTCCGATAGTCGTCCACTCTCCAGTAGAATGCCGAATTT